TTCTTTCAACCACAGCTTCCGACGAATTCACTGCAAACAAAATACAGTCACTACGTTTTACAATAAATCCCGTGAAGCACTTTGAGACATCCCTTTGACCGAGTGCTATATCAAGTGAAAAGATTTTTTTTATTATAAAGGAACTGTTGTGATTTGTGACACTGAGTTTTCATTCATAAAAGTTCAAGAATCCCAACAGCACCATCCCAACCCTGAATTTTTATCTGAGAAATTCAGCAATCATTGAAATAGACCAGATAGAATAAATCTGAGTGTAACAAAGTGTCTTTGTGGGTATTTTTCCACTAAATGGCACTGGTGTAGGTAGTTCAAGGTCCTGCTGCAGTGTTGGATGCAGACAGTCAACACTGAAATGCCAGCATGTTAAATCTTGCACTCGTGTTAAATGCAGTTCTTATGAGTAACACGTGAACATTAGACATTTCAACAATGAGCAGGATATAAATGAAGAGACACACACGGTTTGCAGAAAGGGGAACTGCTAAGTCTGAACTCTAAACCCTAATCTGGTTCCACATTTTCGCTGCAATAAGGATAGATTAGAGTCCAGAGTTGAAACTTTTCTCTCATTGCGGAAATTCTGATCACAAAAGGCTGAAGGTGATGGAAATGATCTGGAGAATCATAGAAATTTGCAGCACAGAAGAAGGGAATTCGGCCCAATAAAGTCCACAGTGGCTCTCAGAGAAAGATGTTCATTCAATCCCACTGCCCTACCTTATCTTTTCAAAAAGAAATAAAGCTTATCTTTGCATTTGATATATCGCCTTATCACTTTGTATTTCATTTGCAACATTATAAGCAATTTACCAGCTGTAAGTTAGGAGTGATATGATTTCAAGCCTGAAAACAAAGCTTCATGGTACTTAAAAGGTGAAAGCTTCTTTAGGATTTTTTTTAGGTTTAGTAAGAGTTTGAACGCTATCTGATCCGGCTGTTGTCGCTCTGGCTGTCGAGGATCAGTGTTTGGAGGTTTGGGTGACATCTCTGCAAATCTCTGATTGCTGGCATTTCAGTTTCACAGAGGAAAGAGCAGTGAAACCCGGAAGTTTGGCTCCCAGGCAAACCAGAGTTCCCAGAATTGCACAGTTGGCAGAATCCCAAAGTTTGACCACTGGTTACAAACCTGCTTGTAAACTAGATACCTAGTTTAATAGGCTATTAAATCATGCTTGTCCCTTTCAAATTGTGCACATTATTCTGTGCTGTAAATGTTTATGCTTCTATTTCTCAAGTGTGTGTGATTTGGCTTTCTGTCATAACAGTGAAGCTGTTCTTTTCAAAATATCCCAAATTGTATAAAGTGCTTGCTGATTTCATGACTTTAAAATGATGTGGAATATTAACGATTCTGAATCAGCGAATGTTCCCACACATGATCTATAAGTAACCAGTTTACTGATTAAAACATTTATTTTTGCATTTGATACTGTGCCTTTAATATCCAAAGGATGTCTCAAAGTGCTTCACAGGAAAGCGTAGTGACTGTGTATGTGGTCGGCAAACATGGCAGCCAAATTTGTACAATTAACAACCATGAAGCCTAAAACCAGTTTTATTGGGAAATTGTTGGCTAGGATACTGGGAAAAACTCCTGTCTCTTTTCAAACAGTGCCATTGCCAAGATGTATTTTGATTTTTGCAATGAGGTTTAAGAGCATACTTTATACATGAATGACCTGAGATATTCCTCATTTTTCACCTATTTACAGAAATTCTGTAGTGATGGTTATTGCCTTTTGTGAGCGAGAGAGATCAGACCATTGATTTATCACTTTGGCACAACAATTCAAGGCAAGGGTAGGTAGAACGCCTCAGTCATGTTTGAAGGAATGTCACAGCCACTGAGTAGCAGTGAATTCAGGTCAAAGAATGTGCACACTAAGTGAATGTTGAGATTCATAAAAGGGAGTACAGACAGGCTCAGTTCCAAGTTCATAAACCAATTGGCTGACTCGTCACAGAGAAGGCACTGCCCGGAGTAATCGAACACGACTGTTACAGGGACAGTCGTGAAATATGTGCTTGGTCCAGAACCTCACACGGAAGGCAAGGTTCAGAGAGGGTCAAAGTCAGAGCTCGAATGCAGCTGACCTTATGCTGATACCATCTATCATAGGCTCCTCCCTCTCAAAGTTGGCCGGACTGGATGATGCAGAATAACATAGTTAGTTCTGCTGGATCGCTGCCTGGTTCCCATGGAATTGTTGGCACCTTTTGTTCTCTTTTGCATTTATTATTTGATCCCACACCGTATCCAGCTCGAGACCTCTTCTTCTTACACCGAGTGAAAGGCATTGATTGTGGTCTGGTGACTGGACAATGTAGGATTCCAGCAAACAATTCTCCCAATTAAAAGGGCTCCTTTTGACTGCTGACTTGATCAGATGTGTCCCTAACATCTGGGGCTAGGAATGTTGTAAATGAGATTGCAGGTCATGTTCATAATAATAATCCTTGCATTTGATATAGAGTCTTGATGGAGCAGGCCGGATACAGCTGCTCCATGTCTCCCACCCGACTCGCCCTACCATCGGTGGCCGGGCTTTCAACCTCCCGGCCCCCGCCCTTTGGAACTCCATCCCACAATCCCTTCGCCTTGCTCCCTCCCTTGCCTACTTCAAGGCACAACTCAAGACTCTCCTTTTCAACTGTGCTTCAGCCGCCCTCCTAACTCTCTGCCCTCCCTTAACCCAATCCTGCCCCCCACACTCGGATCCTGATCCCCAACTGTTCAGCGCCTTGGGACTTCCTCCCGACATGAAAGGTGCTCTACAAATGTAATTTTGTTGTTGTCTTATCAGGTTATTGAGATATCTCAAAGCACTTCACAGAATATACTGTAAAGTGAATTGATTGTATATTTTGTGGGTGAAACACAGCAGCCAATTGCGCACAGCACTATCCTACAAAGAGTCATGGATTGAGTGACCAAATTATTTTTTTAAAGGGATTATTTCTCCTGCCAATCGATGGAACAATTAGGTTCCTACTTACTGCTAGGTAAACCGAGGTGTGTGGAGTAAGGAGACTTGCCTAGGGTTTCACCCTGCCCGGGAATCAAACCCGGGTCCTCTCTCTTGCGAGGCGATTGCTCTAACCAATATGCTACAGAACTCTATATAACACAATTGTTTTTATTTAATTGTAAGAATAATAAGAACACGTGTGTCCTTGTAGCGTCTTATAACATAGCTGTTAGTTGTGTAGCAAGGTTTGGACCAGGACAGAGAGCTGTCCGTCTGTTGAATTGGGCAAAGTGTGAAGGGGGAATGGAAGAGGGTTGTGATACGTGGCACAGCCAAGGACCCACTGTTCTCCTGCAAACTGGTACATGTGCATAAAAGCTGTGAGCAAAACGTATGCCAAATCACAGGATCAGAGCTGACGCCAGCCACACCCTGTGATCCTGCTGCTCAATCTTTGCTCAGTGTGATTTGTTTTTCTTCCCGCTGTGAGGTTTCTGAAACTAAAGACCAAGATATTGTAGAGGAGCCCAAGTGTCGTAATTGTGCTCTCCTCAGTCTTTGAGAACATACATCTCCCCCTCCCCTTCCCCTTCGAACCTGCACCTGGTTATAACTTTTAGCAGATGGTGGATATTTGTGCTGCAGTAAAGACTTCTGCTGGATTGTGGGTTAGACTGAAGTTATTTCACTAGAGAGCCTGGCTATTCTAAGGTGTGTTGCCTGTTAAGATTTTGTTTGTTTACTTAGAAAGATGTTTTTTTTAGTACGAAAACAGAAATTTGGTAATTTGAGAGAGAAATTTTTAAAAACTTCCGATTTCCCCTTTAAAGGTAATTTCTATAATACGAGCATGTGTGAGTGTGTGATGTGTGTTGTGTGTGTGTGTTGGAAGAAAGGAGTTTTGTATGTGTCTCTTAAATTAGAATATAAATCTGGTGCTGCTAGAAAACTAACACGTAAAATCACCTAAATAAGCCCAAATAAAAAATAAAGAAAATAAAAAATATTTTTGGTTCTTTCCTCCTCCATCCCTTCAGATCCTACCCTCCGCTCAATATATATATAATAAAAATGAAACATAATATAAGAAAAAAAATAAAGTAAACCAGGATTTGAACCTGTGACTTTGTGGCCTGTTATGGCTTAGTGATGTATTCAAAGAGACTCCGCAAAATATATTTTTATTATAATAATCCTTACTAATATCAAACTTCTCAAAGCGCTTTGTAAAGCTGCTGTAAAGTGTAGTGACAGTGTATTTATAGGTGAATGGAGCATCCTGATTTGCACATGGCAGTGTCCCACAAACACACCAGAAATGAATGAGCATTTTTTTGTAATCTAGGGATTGTTGAGCAGATCCCTGGGAGAAACCTCCATCTCTTTTTAAACAGTGACGAGGTATCTTCAATATCCAGCTGGTCAGGTAGACGGGACCTGGGTTTAAAGTTTCATCTGAAGGACTGCACGCTTTATAATGCAGTGCTTCCTCTTTGAAACCTTTGTGTCAGATTGATTTATCTTAATATATATTTGCTGTGCAAATAATTTAGAGAGAGTAGAGAAAGCAAGTGTTTATACTAGGGGTGGAGCCCAAGGAATAGTTCAGTGATCGACCACGTTCTCACAGGATTTTCAACAATCGCTGAGGTTCCCACATAGCTCGTCACCACCAAGTTTTGTCCTTGGCTCTATTGTATTTGAGGAAGGAGCAAAACTCAAAGAAGTGAATGTAATATCAGGAAAGAATTGTCTTTTTACTATCAGTATTTTATTGTCAGCCAGGATACTAGGAGAAACTTGTTTCTCTTTCCAAAAAGTGCTAATGCCAGGATGTAGTTTGATATTTACAAAGAGGTTACTTACGCATGTACTTTATCTACGAATAACCTGAAATATTTTGAATGTTTCATCTGTTTATTGATGATCAGAGTCCAGGAACAAATAAGTTTCTTTTGTTAATTTGAAACGCTGTGTCAAAAATCAATTTAGTTCTGGACTTTATCCTAGGTCTGAAGTCCTGAGAGAAGCCAGTTGGATTGGAAGATGATGGCAAACTTCACGACTCAGATCCCCCGCGAGGAGCTGGAAGAAATGAGGGAAGCTTTTAACAAGATAGGTAGGAATTTTACCTACTACTATATTTAAACATTATGATTCAGGGCTCCCTTTAGTTGGTCAATGCTGCACATTGTGTGGTGCTCAGTCACACTGACCGAGAAGATCTCTTGTAGACATGGTCCAGGGTGGTCCAACTGGCAACATCTGAACCATTTCCATCTTGACGAGCAAATACAGGCGACGCGCAGGCCCTGAGTCAATCAGGAGACAGTCACCACGGGCTCAGGCTCTGCCCGCAACGAGACTAGTCAATCATGGTAAAATATTGCTTACACGGCCCGTGGATGTTTCTCAGGTCCATTATTCATCCCTCAGCAGCCAAAAGGTTGTCATAGTCAATCACAGCCCAGGACAGCCGATGTAGTACTCGCTACCTTTGGTCGTTATCTGTTTTCCCAGATCATTGTCAATTTCAACTGGCGCTTTTCCATTAATAAGGTATGTGACAAGCTGGAGCTGGTCATGAGACTGCAGGAGTAGAAACCAATGCTTCTTTTAAAGTCCACAATTATTCTTTATTTTGTTAGACATTAAACACTGTGGCTATGTCAGCCACTACGAGCTCCAAGACCTCTTCAAGGAGACAAACCTCCGTCTGCCTGGCTACAGGGTGCGTGACATTGTGGAACAGATAATCACGGCTGCAGATCACAACCAAGATGGGAAAATCGACTTTGACGAGTTTGTGTCGGTGAGTTAGAGGCAGCTTTTAATTTTAATAATAGAAATAATAATAATCATTCTTGCATTCGATAAAGCACCTTATCACGTCGATGAGACATCTCAAAGCGCTTCACAGAATATACTATAAAGTGAAATAAAAGCAGAAGTCGCTGGGAACACTCAGCAAGTCAGGCAGCATCTATGGAGGGAGGAAAGTGGGTTAACGTTTCGGGTCAATGACCTGCTTGGCCCTTTGTGAAAATAAAACCCAGGATTCTCTCTCCTACGGGGCCTTGCCTAATGCTTAAACCCATCAGAACAAAACAAGTGCTGTGATTTCCCCAGGCTGGCTTAACTCTGGTAATTAAAGAACAATAATGATAGCAAAAAGGTGAAAGTACAGATGGTTAATTTATTTATTGGCACATTGCATTCCTCACTCATAAACTCACAAAAATATTTCTTTCCTCGTTGGACTTTGCTAAAGGTAGATATGACATTGAAATAAAAAATCTTTTCACACATTGAAGCGATGGACATCAAGGTTCAGAAAGAGTGCACTTTGTCACCTTTGCTTTCGAATCATTAGTATTGAGCGCTCTCAGGTCAGATGTTGAGAAAAATTCCCAACATCACAGCCTGATGTGTATATTCAGGCATGGAGTTAGTTGTCGTGTGAATACCTGGCTTTCTACTATAACACTTGGGGGTGTTCTTGGATACGACTCGCTATGCTGTGTTGAAGAAATTACTACTAGATCAGCTCCATGGATACAATACAGAAATACAAATTTACATTTATCATGGTATCTTATCTCTGGGTGAGAATTACACACTCTTTCCAGGTGCACTCTGAAAGGAACAATCCTTCTCTTCTTATTTTATGTCGAAGAGCGGTCTCACAAAATACACCCAACACGTGGCTTTTAATAAAATATTTCTTATTTATTCAAACCCATATAATTCAATATATATTCCCGCATTCGGAGCAATGGACGCAAAAATAACAAACACCCTTCCAAAAAAAATACTTTGATAATACCTATATTAATATAGATTATTACATCATTTTAATGAGGCATAATATCTTATACTTTATAAAATATCTAAACCACTGAGCCTCAACACTTGGACCATAAGGGGTAAACAAATAGAGTAACCTTATCCCAAATTCACATCTCTTATGAGTTCCTGAGATTCAGAGTTTTTATAATTAATGATATTAAAGTCAAATGTTATGTCAAAACTTAAAAACTCAACAACTAGCTTATATAACTCCACTCCCTCTCTTTTATAGCTCAAATGTGCCCATGTGACTTTTTACCCATTCAGTTCGCCACACTTTGATAAACTCAACTCCTAATTGACTAAGAATTACCTCCTTCAATCAATCCTTCGTACTTTGAAATTTTGACAACATAAACTCATTGATTCAACTATCGTTCAGATCAAAGTAACCATAAAACCCATTAACTCACAGAATCTAACAAAAAAGCCATCAAACGAAAGCAATTAACCAATATTTTTACCCCTTAAGAGTAAACAGAGTAAACAGACTACGTTCCAAAGCTCTGGACAGCCTGGGACCTGAGCTGGGTGTGGGAAAAACTTTTCATGGAATTGGTTTTCTTTGCTGTTTGGATGTGCTTCACCTGTTGCTGATCCCAGCCATGTTGTTTCTCAGACACTAACTCTTTCTTTCTCTCTCGCTATCTTTCTCTTTCTCTCTCATGCACACACAAGCTCATATACACACTAGGATGCACAATGTCCTGCCAACAATGCCAGACTATATTTGAATCTATCTCTCAGTCCTTTACAAAGCTTCTCTTCCAAACTTTTTTATGCATCCTGCCTCGACCACTCCACCCGGCAGGGCATTCTGCATCCTAACAACTGCGNTTTTTTCAGTGAATATTTTTAATGAGTGGACATATGTTTTTGTTTCAAAATGCCAGGTTTGTCAGGAGCTTAAAGACAAAGACATCAGCAAAACCTTCCGAAAAGCCATTAACCGAAAAGAGGGGATCTGTGCTATCGGTGGCACCTCTGACCGCTCCAGCGAAGGAACTCAGCATTCCTACCACGGTGTGTTGCCCATTCCCTTCATTGAGATTTGCTGCCTTCCCAGACAACAACAACTTGCATTCATAGAGTGCCCCTCACGCAGGATAGCGTCCCAGAGATCTTGACAGTGGCGGAGAAGGCCTCAGAATAGCAATGAGTGCTCTGTTTGTAAAAGAGTTTAGCTGAAGCGAGTTTAGCTGGAGAGGGACAACTAGTGATGAGTTCATACAAGAGGTTAGAGTGCTTCTAGCTGACTCAAACTGGGGAAACGAGGTGAGCTAAGAACAGCAGAGAATTGATGGGGAAACAATTTGAATGGATGACTATTCTCTTTTGTAGTCAGTGCTGCATGTGTACCTATTCCAAAGAGGTCTATGATTCACAGCTATAGTATAATTTGTTTTGGGTCTATATTATGTGCCTCCTCCTTTGCATAGATTATTAGATAGTGATATAATAAGCCTTGTATTTGATGTAGCACCTTATTGTGTCATCGAGATGTCTCAAAGCGCTTCACAGGATATGCTACGTAGTGGTTGTGGGTGTATTTGTGGGTGAACATGGCAGCCAATGAGCACACAGTAATGTCCGATCAAAAGCCAGGAGAAACTCCCTTCTTTTACAAATAGTGTCGTGGGATGTTTAAAGTCCACCTGAACAGGCAGATGGGACCTTGGTTTAATGTCCAAAGGATGGCTCCCAGTACAGTATTGGAGTGTCAGCACCAACGTGGGGTGTGAACCCACAAACCTCTGACTCAGAGTCATGTGTGCTACAAAATAGAAAAATCCCATTATAAATAACCGCACACTTTAAAAGTCTCCACACGACTTCACTCAATTGTGCCTTTTGGCATTTGATTTGTTTTTCTGTCCCATTTTGGTGCCAATTTGCTTATTCTCCAGCAGGCAACCTCAGACTCACCCTCAGTCCCCAAGACTTGGCTCTCACCAACTTGTGTTAATGCTTTCAGAAACTGGGTCACTTTCAGGGAAAGAGAGAGCACATTCCATTCAAGACACTGGGAAATTTCCACGTCTAAGTGGCATACATGTGTCAAGCACTAGTTTGGATAGTCTGACACATGGGGAAACCAATCACCATGCTTGAAATACCTGGCTGGCCAAAAAAGAAACAGTTGCTCCCTGTGTTTTATTTAATGTAGCCAGAATAGCCTAAACTGTTTATTCTTTCAATTTACAGAGGAAGAGAAAGTTGCCTTTGTGAACTGGATTAACAAAGCGTTAGAAAACGATCCAGATTCTAAACATTTGATCCCCATGGACCCGAGCAGTGACCGTTTATTCAGTGCAGTTGGCGATGGAATCCTTCTATGGTAACTTGGACTTGTTTTGCTTCTTCTGCAGCTTTGGTATTGTAGAAGGATGGGGTTACCGTGGGATAACAGGCCCAGATCATTCTAAATCTATAGGGACTTTAGTTTATCAGTGCTGCAGTGTTGCGTAAGGACTCTTTTCTTGTAAGTTAGGATGTTACAGAAGGTGGTTGTTTTTTATTTGGTCAAAAGACAATAATAATAATAATAATCCTTGCATTTAATATAGCGCTTTTCACATCGGGAGGACGTCCCAAAGCGCTTCACAGAACACACTGTAAAGTGAATTGACTGTATATTTGTGGACGAACGCGGCAGCCAATTGCACACAGCAATGTCCCACAAACAGTCGTAGATTGAAAATGACCAATTTATTATTAGTTTTGGTTTTGGAGGGATTATTATTAGGCTCTGTGTGGAGTAAGGAAACTTGCCCAAGGTTTCGTCCTCTGCCTGGGATTGAACTCAGGTCTCTCGCTTGCAAAGCGAGTGCTCTAACCACTGAGCTACAGGACTCCACAAGGCAAGCGTCCTAACTCTAGCTCTCTGCCAATGCTACTATGTAAATTCTGATTGCATGAGTCAGGCCTTACTGGACTGCCTGTCAATCTTTGCTTCATTGAGACTGCTCTGTTCCAGATTCCAGCTACATTCTGTTAGATATGGTGAAGGGAGTCAGACTGAGTCTGTATTACTGCCACAATTGATGGGAAATCTCAGATACCCGGGACATTAAGTTAAAATCTCTCCTTTCTCTCCAGCAAAATGATAAACTTGTCCCAACCAGACACAATCGATGAGCGGGTAATCAACAAAAGGAAGCTTACACCATTCACTATTTCTGTAAGTATTCGATTGCCATCGAGAACAGTTACAACCAAACAACAGCTGGAAACCACTGAAGCGCTAGATGTGTAGTAATGTTATTCATATGCTGACATGATTTATTAACTAAAGATGCACTTGAAGGTACAATAAGGAGACTTTGTGTAATAAACATCATTTGTGAACTGGAAACCCGAGGAGGTGACTTCTCTGCTTGTCTTGACAAGGGACTAAGTTCATTGTGCTCTGTTCAGCATCTTCTGCTTTTGAAGGACTTCAACCTCTTCCAGATTCAAGCCCCCACATTGGGATTTTGAGCTCATAGCCTAAACTGACACTCCAGTGTAGTGCAGCAAATGTACTGCATTGTCAAAGGTGCTATCCTTCAAATTAGACATTATACTGAGGTCCCAACTGCCTGCTTGGTTGGACGTCAAAGATCCCATGGTTCTATTTGAAAAGGGAAGGATGTTTCTCTCTCCCAGTGACCTGGCCATCAATCCCCCAAATAAAATTGGTCACTCACTTCATGGCTGTTTCTGCACAAATTGGCTGTTGGTTCGAAATACAGTCACTGCACTTTACAATAAATCCTGTCAAGCACATTGAGACATTTTGATGAGGCTATTGGGAAAGGTGGGTGGGGGGGGCTAATGGAGATTATAAACAGTGGCATGGACTAGTTGGAATGGCTTGTTTCCTTGCTGTAACATCTATGTAATTGTATGTAAACGTTAATTTTAAATTCTACTCCTGGGGCTGAATGACACCATTGTCTAATCCAGGCTTTCTATTTGCTGCGTTATCCACTGTAAATGGATTATTTACCGCAGAATGAAATTAAAGCCAACCGTGATGATTAAGGCCTAATGGGACTTATTATTTCTTCCACAGGAAAACCTGAACCTTGCTTTGAATTCGGCATCTGCAATCGGTTGCACAGTGGTGAACATTGGAGCTCAGGATCTGAAAGAAGGCAGACATCACCTGGTCCTGGGTCTTTTATGGCAGATTATAAAGATCGGCCTCTTCGCTGATATTGAAATCACCAGGAATGAAGGTGAGAGGGCTTCCCCTCTGTACCCTCTGTCTGGCAATAGGACATAGCCTTGCGTTAGAGGTAATGGGAGTATTTTTTTATAAAGGAGGAATCATTTGAGGCTTGTAAAGGGAGAGGAATTAGAGAATCTGTGGATTGTTTTTAACATGGTGACTCCTCCATGTATACAAGAGACATAGTGAGATCATTGCAGCGTTGAGAATTTTAAGCACAGAGCAAAAAGGAGACCATTTGACCTTGATTTGGACTAGATGTGATCTATTGATCTAAGAGATCATTTGGTACAATTACACCCCTCAAGTCTATAGGGTATCTGAAACCAACAGAATACACAAACACCCTAGTTTCTACGGCAACCTGGGAGTTTTCACTTGTAGCAATGAATCTACATTGGTGGCCAATGAGGAGGTACTGTGGTCAGGCCTCTCAGAGCAAGGCTGGCCTCATTGTGTTCCATTGCATTTCCCATTGCTATGATTTGTTCCTTTCCACACCTGGTGTGTGATGCTTTGTTCAAGCAGTAGGTACGAATATACATTAACATCCTATGAGAAATTGTACTTTGCTGATCAAGTTCTATGGTTCTTTCCTTTCAGCTCTCATAGCTTTGCTGATGGAAGGTGAAGAGTTGGAGGAACTGATGAAGCTTTCGCCAGAAGACCTCCTTCTGCGTTGGGTCAATTACCATCTTTCAAATGCAGGATATCAAAATATCACCAACTTTAGTCAAGACATCAAGGTGCTTTGAGATCATAAATGTAGGCTGACATTGCAATTCAGTCATGAAAAGAGGCGATGGATTGTCAGGTGCCTTCCTTCGGATGAGACGTTAAACCAAGATCCCATTTGCTTGATCAGATGGACATTAAATATTCACTCCGTGTCCTGGCCAACAACAGTAGGCAATTGCTGTATCCAATTTGCGCACAGCAGTGCCCCACAAATAACTATGAATGAATGACCAATTTTACGGTTACCCAAGTAACGAATATACATATGTGAGCTGTGTGTTTGTTGATAAACGCAGCAGTCAAGTGACATTTGTTCATAATGCTTGGTAAACCTTTGAAACTGTTTGTGTTTCTGTAACAACTTGTGTTTTCATTGAAATCCCATTTATTCCTAGGACTCCAGGGCTTATTTCCACCTCCTCGATCAGATTGCACCCAGAGGAGATGGTGATCAAATGAACATTCAGATTAACATGTCTGGTTTTAATGTAAGTCTTTTTGTGCATTTTTAAAATGTTAAACAATGGCACCTTCTCTCTTTTCAGAAATGATGTTGTTGTCTGTTTGCTCTTTCATGATCTTATAGGAAAAGGATGATCTCAAGAGGGCAGAATACATGCTCCGAGAAGCCGATAAACTGGGCAGCAGGCAATTTGTTACCCCGGCTGACATTGTCAGCGGCAATCCTAAACTTAACCTGGCCTTTGTAGCCAACTTGTTCAATACATTCCCAGCTCTCAAGCCAAACCTGGACTACGACCTCACTTTGTTGGAAGGTATGAACATTGGATGTTGAGAAGTGTGTCACTGATTCTTCATGAGAAATGTGATCTTAAAAGAGGAACCAAACAACCAGGAAAACCCACTCCTTTCATTACTGAGTCTTGTTTAATGACTCCAACTATCCCTTAGCTGTTTCCTTGTTCATGTGGTCACAGCACATTGGCCTCACTTATTTAGATCATGCTTGTGGTGATGCAATGACAATACAGTGATCTGGCCAAACCCATGGTAGATGGTTAGGAAACAGAATAATAGAAGGGGAGAAAGCCTAAGGGATGTGCTGAGAAGAATAGATTCAGCGTAAAGTAATTTAGAGGAACTGATGAAGTCTTGTTCCCAAGTCCTCCATTGAAGGACAGTAAACTGAAGTCCCATCTGCCTGTTAGGTGGACCTTAAAGAATCCAGGGCACTACTTGAAAAGAGAAGGGAGTTTCTCTCTCTAGGTGTCCCGGCTAACAATTCTCCAGAAAAAAATAGTCATTCACTTCATGGCTGTTTGTGGGACACTGCAGTATGCAAATTGGCTGCCACATTTGCCTACATAGACATAACACTTAACAGTAAATGCTAGTTAGCCCTTTGAAATATCTCTTGACATGAAAGGTTCTATGTAAGGATTATTATTTGTTGTTCGAGATGAGTTTCAGTATGGGCAACCCGGTTCTTTACAAAGTATGTAAAGAACTTCGAATTAAACCACGGGTGAAAAGCTTTCAGTTCAGGCCCAAGTAACAATTGGTGCCGAGCATTTCCTCCAGACCAATTGGCCGTTTTATCCACAAGTGGGAGGCACTCTATAATCCACCTGAGAGCCAGTGTAAACACACGCTGCAGTTGACATCTGTGAATGAAGTCAGTGATTGTAGTGGATGCACCGCTCTTAAAATGTTTTGAAATGTGTATCTTTTTTGCCTTATCTTTTTTGTCTTCCTGTTTTGACTTGGTGATTGCAGACTTGGCCCCTCCCAATGTAGGTACTGTATTTAGTACTGTTTCATGTGCTCTCCTATCTCCCCTCTGCCTCTTATTCCACCCCCCCGGTTCTGACCCACTCATAGTTTCATTGCTGTGTTGATTTGTTTGAATAACATGTCTCTCATTTCTGGGAGCTCTTAACTGATTGCAGTGTTTCCTGGAAGCTGGTTGTTGTGTGGAACAGCCGAGCATGTTGTTGTACTCTGGGTGGATTGAAGTGATACCATGTTTAATTTACACAGAAACCTGGGATAACGGATGACTGTCAGTCAGTCACAAAACACGATTTAATCACAGGCTTCTTAATGTTTACGGAAGTCCCAGATCTCTTAAAAAGCTAAATGGCTTAAATTTGCTGCCAGCTATTCGTTACACTTCATAATTATATATAGTGTATAGCATCTTTTTTTTAAAGAAGAAAAAAGATTGTGTTAAATGTTTCATTGAGGCAGGTCCAAAAAGCACAGTAGCATCAATGACAGTAGATGGAAGGGAATAAGGCTGAGTAAATTTAGGGCCAGGAAATTCACAACTTATTGTCACAGGTACTGTTGTTGTGGATTTATTTTTTTCTCTTCCCATTGTTTTGCCACTAATAAAACTATACACTATATAGCGTCTGACTTAAAGATGTTCCATAGATGCTAATGGTAGTTTCTTCAAACCTATGAAACTTACTATTAACTGATCAGCTGCACCTTCTGAAAATAAATATTATGGTGATTTCAATTTGAATGCTCAACAAAGCATTCTGACTCAGTTGGTAACGCTCTCGCTTCTAGGTCAGGTTGTGGGTTTAAGTTCCATGTCGGGGCTTTGAACTTGCATAGGCTAGGTTGACTCTACATTGTTGTAGGTGCCGTCCTTCAGATGAGACATTAAACCGAGGTCCCGAATTAATTTTATAGTATATTACATGAAACGCTTTGAGACGTCTCAATGACGTGATGAGGTCCTGTATCAAATGGAAGGATCATTATTATTTTTTCGATTCCTAACATGGGGAGCAATTATAGCACTGCTTGCACCTCCCTAGTTCAGATCAGTGAACTCAGCAGAGATTGGGAACTGAGATCTTCTTGGTCTGTATAGCTCAACTACTGATTGGATAAACCTACCGAACTATCATGGGAGCTGTATGTAGGCAGAATGAATAACACTAAATAAGTCACAAATATTTCTTTGAGACATTTGATCGCTGCATCTTTGAGACTTCTTTAGGTGTACTGTTTTTCCCTTTATATTCGGCATGCTTTTATTTTACCTATGTTGAAATACCACTTGCGAGTTGGTGTCTGCCGTCTTGTTTTCCTTCAGTTCCACTTTGGGACCATCGTCTCTAGGTATTGAGTTTAGATCCCCAGACGTCATAAGTCGGGCTGCACAGTGCTTTAGTCAGACCGCAGCTCGAGTCCTGCGTATAGTTCTGGTCAGCATGACACTAGAGGCATTGTAGAGGAGAGCAACGAGGATGTGTGCTAGAGGAATGAGCTATGAGCAACAATTAGACAAGCTAGAGCTCTTCAGTCTTGAGAGAAGGTGACTCATAGGGGACCAAGTGGGTGTATCAATTTTTAAATGGATTGAATATATTCGATTACACTGAGACAGTAGAACAGGAGGACACGGATTTAGAGCTGTAAATGGCAATTTCAGGACAGACATCAGGAAATTTTTCTTAATGACTAATGAATGGATTATTACTCATTTAACTTATTAATGAATGATGCTTAATAAGACCATAAGACATAGGAGCAGGAGTAGGCCATTCGGCCCCTCAAGCCTGCCCTGACATTTAATAAGATCTTCTAACCTAATTCCATTTACCAGCTCTACCCCCATATCCCTTAATCCCTCTATCCTTTAGAAATAAGTCCAATAATAAATCCTAATAAATCTAAATTTCATGTGATGATTACGTTGCTTAGAAAATAGCAGTAAGTTGCTCTTTATGTTCTCTCTCTCCCTTCTCTGTACTCGTGAAGTGGCTAGACTAGCTGGGGTGTCATTCAGAGGGTGCCCATCAGCACCAGCCTGTGACTATTCATTTGTGAGCTGAGATAGTGCTGTTGGCTGGTTGTTCGATCACAGGGAGCATCACAACCAAGTCTGACCGCATAGAACAACTTGCATTTATATAGCATCCGTAAACACAGGGCAGCATCTCGGAGTGCTTAATGTGCTGGATGCAGCTGATATTGTTTTCCCATCCCTCCATAGCACAGGAGGTACTCAAGCCACTTGACTGCCCCACTTGACTGACAGCCACTCAGCACCGAGCACTGACCAAACTGGGACTGTTCACATCTGTATGGCTCAGGTTCTCATTGAGCCATCGTTTTACCCACTGAAAGCCTCTGTCCCTCCCATTGAATGTACTTATTACTTTTACCACCTGAGACGTCGATGTGAGTTTAGTTTAGTTCTGGGAGCACATCTTACATGGATCATTTTTGGGTTTGCTGACAAATTTGTTTCTTGTAAGAATTGTGAGGAAATGATGTCCACACCAATTGACATTTTTGTTCCAGGAATGAGATTGATGCCCTTCACGGCTAGCCCTATTTGACTAGATAATGTGGAGCAAAACAGGTGCTCTCTCCCCAATGTCTAATCCTATTTACCTGCTCTTCACCTGCCCTTCAATATTTTTCCTTCAATATTTATTGGAATCCCTTAAATCTTGTTGTCAGTAAAGCTCACTAATGTGCGCTAGAAGCTGTTCTAGCAATGCACATGAGGGGGAATTAGTCATTCATCAACATCGTACCTCCTCCTGGGGAGGGTTTACCTCTTGGGCATTATTTTGCATGTTGCCTGATTGCAAGTCTATTGTATCTAATAGAGCAGTTGGTAATAATCTCACCTCTGAGTCCGGGTTCGAATAACATGTTGAGACTTTGAACACAGTCTGGGCTAATGCTCCAATGCAGTGCTGGGGGTGTGCTGCATTGGTGGACCTGCCTGCTTGTTCGGATGTGACTTAAAGATCCCACAGCAATATTTGAAGAGCAAAGTATTTTTCCCAGTGTCCCTGGGCCCCCCAACAATGCCCACCCCCCGCAAATAAAATTGGTCACTCACTTCATAGCTGCTTGCGGAACATTGCTGTGTGAAATTGGCTCCTACAGTCACCTACAAAATAGTCAACACACTGACAGTAATTTGAGATGCCCTCTGAACATGAAAAGAGCTATATCAAATCCGGATCTTATTTTTTTTTCTATTTGTCATCTTATCCAGTTCTTTCTATTTCTCCAACTTTCTTATGTAGGTGAGTCGAGGGAAGAGAGAACCTTCCGGAATTGGATGAATTCACAGGGGGTGTGTCCCTTCGTCAATCACTTGTACAGGTAAAACTCCTCTAGCTTTACAGTTTTCCTGAAGCGAAGCCCTCTGATATCTGTTCTGCTTGTGAAGGTTTGGAAATCATAGAGTTGCTATATCAAACTGAAATCAAAAACCATGGGAAAAAAAACCCAATGCCCAGTACATCAGCCAGTGTCTTCACACAGAAATATAGCTTGGTTAATGGTTCGGAACTAAGCCTACAGAATGCCTCATTATCTGATGGCATGAAACCAGGGAGTGTTTTTAATATATTCCGTTTCCATCTGCTTCAGCATCTGTGGGTGTCTTTGTGTGTCTCTCTCTCTCTGTATATACACACAGGTGTCTATCTTGCTCTCTCTTTGTGTCTCTTTCTGTCTCTTTGTGTGTGTGTGTGTGTTTGTGTATGTCTGGCCTTGTTGCCTCTCTCTATCTCTTGCTCCCTACTGTTATTTTTTCCTTCACTTTTCTTCCCTTAGGTCGTTTGCAACGTTTGTAGCTACGAGAGTGTAGGATCAATGTAGGGCTTCAGCATTCTTCTCATTAAAACTGCAGACAATTCTGAGGAAGTTTATTGATTTATTCTGAATTACTGATCAGGTATTGATTGATTGACTGGTCCAGGTTACAATGTTCCCCTGCTCTTTTCTCAACTAAGAGAAGCGGGCAAGGGAACCTTTTCTTGGGGCTTTGCCAGTCTTAGTTGGGAGGGAGTGAGTGTCACTCAGGCTTCCTTTGCAATATTGTTCTTTTCATTTTATAATAGTAATCTTCGGCTTTGATATAGCCCCTTTCACGTCAGGACAAGATCTCAAAGCGCTTCACAGGGTTTGTTGTAAAGTAAGGTGACTGATTTTTATGGGCGAACATGGCAGATAATTTGTGCGTAGCAATGTACCAAAAAACAGCCTTTAAGTGAGTGACCAATTTTATCTGGGAATTGCGTTTTGTTTATCTGGGAGATTGTTGGACATGACACCAGGAAAAACTCCCTTTTCTGTTTGACTAGTGCTGTGGGATTTTTAATGTCCTCCTAAATAGGTAGAAAATCCTCTGCAGCACTTTAAGACTGTCCTCGACGTGAAAAGCTCTGTCTGAAATGCAAAGATTATTATTGTTATTGTCCAACCCTTGCAAGTTTATTTGAGGCATAAGATCACAAGAGATGAAGAAGTCCTTTTGGGCCATTGACCTCATCCTTCTGGAAATGCAACCTCATGTGGCCAAGAGGAGATGGATGTAAGTGCTCTGTGATTCTACCCTGCGCGAAGGGCACTACATTAATGCAGGTTGTCGTTGTTAGATGTACGCATAATCTGACATTCAAGGGCAGTGAGTCAGGACACAGAATTTGTCCCTTTCTAACCTTGCATTGTAATTTCAGTCTGCTGCTATGCCTTGCTGTTATCTATGAAATGAATCTCACAATCTGCTTGTTTCCTTCTATCCAGTGATATGACTGATGGCTTAGTAATCTTCCAGCTGTATGAGCGCGTCTCTGTGCAATTCGACAAGAGCCGTGTCAACAAGCCTCCGTATCCAGCGCTTGGCGCTAACATGAAGAAAGTAGGTTGAAGTTATTTGTTCTGTTCTAAGCATGAAAATCTAATTACATTTATCCAGTGCATGCAGCAGATGCAGCCACATAAAGCCTAACCTCTCATGGACCAGATTGGCTCATTGGTACCGGTCTCGCTTCTGAGTCAGAAGGTTGTGGATTCAAGCCCCACAACAGGTCTTGGAATCACTTTGTCTAAGCTGCCAATTCCAGGGAATGTCTCTCTCCTGGTGTCCTGGCAAACAATTTCCCCAAATGAAATTGGTCACTCACGCCATGGCTGTTTGTGGGACGTTGCAGAACTGGCTGCTGTGTTTCACCCACAAATTGCACAGTCAAACGCTTTAGAGTATATTCTATGAAACACGTAGTCACCTTGATGACATGATAAGGCGCTATATCAGATGCAAGCATTATTATTATTATTTAGGGCACCCACTCCAAATGGAAAGCTCGCCATAGACCCTCTCTGGACTCTTGAGAAAATCAAGGAAAGTATCCACAATGTTACTTTACCACGTCTCCACTGTTCAAAGCAGATCTCCCTCCCTGGAGTTTGACGAATTCAACCTCAATTATGAAGCTGGTTTTCTCTCATCCTTAAAAAGAACTTGCAGAAACGTCCAAACCTTTTGTCCCCACAGCTTGAAAACTGTAACTATGCCCTTCATCTGGGCAAGACCAAGGCCAACTTCTCCCTGGTAGGCATTGGTGGGCAAGACTTGAACGAAGGCAAGCCAACACTCACATTAGCGCTGGTGTGGCAGCTCATGAGAAGGTAAGCATGGTCTCCGAGTTCGACCTTCATTTTATTGATACAACCCTGGGCGCACTGAGGAACTGAGTGAGAAACTGCTTTGGGTTTTCCCAGTGGTTGTTTATCATGGAATCTAATTTGCAGAAGTATTGAAAACTGCAAGGACCCAGATGTCTTGCGTTAACCTGGTTAATCGACCACCATCTGACTTCACAGATGTCTGAAATGGGATTTACTTACACAGTGGCTGCTTCCTGTGTCGCTAACACTTGGTAGAGGGTAGCTGTAGCACAGGGACATGGGCAAACCTCTGCTCTGGAGCTGTAAGCTGGACTATAAACTTAAAGTCCGGATATGAGACTTGAAAACACAACCTTCTGACTTGGGGATGAGTATTTGCCTCGCAAGCGGGAGGAATGGTTTTGAATCCCAGGCAGGACAAAACTTTAGGCAAGGTTTCTTACTCCACACACCAACCAGGCCAGTCTGGTGCAGAGAAACGAGAGAGAGAGAGTTTATCTCAGTGTCCTGGCCAACGATCCTCCAGTTAAATTGGTCAGTCACTTCATGGCTGTTGTGGGATCTTGTGGTTTGCAAATTGGCTGCTGCGTTTGCCTTTGAATACACAGTGACTGCGATTGCACTAATGTGCCTCGCAAGTGCTACCTTATGGGACTCCATCTGCCTTTTTTTTGTGTGTGTGTGTAATGTGGGAGGGAGAGGGAATAGGGTGAGATGTTAGCCTCAAAAAAAATTGTGGCTTGAGTAAATAAAATAATGCTTTGTATTTGCAGGTACACACTGAAGGTACTATCTGATCTGGGAGAAGGGGAAAAGGTGACGGATGATTTTATTATAAAATGGGTGAACGAAACACTTGCAAATGCAAAGAAGAGCAGCTCGATTACTAGCTTCAAGGTGAATTTTCTTGGGGGTTGAGTTGCATTGGAAAGTGGGGAACTGTCGGGAATGTTTAGCAGAGCCCCACTCCCAATGAGTTTAGTGTTGGACTGAGTGTTTTAAGCACGTTCTGGGAAGGTGGTTCAAAACTGCAAGTGTCCACTGGGGGGAATCAGCACTCCGTGAAATTACACTGTTTCAAGCCCACACTCGGAGCCGAGCTGAACATGGAGGAGCATGTTCGAGACAGCCCCCTCTACCCCACCCACCACAATCACCGTCATCCTGAATGAATGTTGAAAGAATAAGAAGCCCAGGACTGAAATCTGACCCCTGGTGGGAATCATCCCAATTCAGTCCCACAGGATGTTGTGAATTCCTTGNTTTTTTTGTGAAAAAAACACATGTTAAAAAGCCAAAACAAAAATCAGGTTTTTTTGCCAAAAATAGTTGGTTTAACCTTAAGCAACTAACCGATTAGAAGGTAAAATGCAATTTTCTCTCTGTTACCTTGAATATTTTGCCCATAAAATATACAGTCAATTCACTTTACAGTATATTCTGTGAAGCGCTTTGAGACGTCTCGAAGACGTGATAGGAGCTATATCAAATGCAAGGATTATTATTATTATATTCTTCACTGCAAGGCTGACATGCCAGTGCTGCACTGGGGTGTGCTTTGTTCTCCTCACGGCTGATATTTCAATGCAGGAAAACCCATGATGTCATCCTGCGAGTGAAACGATGACCTCACACTCGTGTGCATGTTTGTGTGTTGTGGGGGGCGGGGGTGCGGATGGCAGCACATACTGAGCCAGCCTGCATAATGGCCCAAAGTTTCTCTCCAGCTCCCACACATGCCTGCCCCTGACCTCACTTCCTGATCTTTTTGCAAATATCCTATACTAACAAATTGCCATTTGTTCTGTATCTCCAGTAAACGATCCTGCACCAATGGGTCCTCCACCTTGTCAATGCCAATAATGCTTTCTGTGTCTGATTTCCCCGCAGGATAAAAGCATCAGCACCAGTTTGCCAGTTATAGACTTGATAGATGCCATTGCCCGTAACGCAATCCGCTACGAGCTGGTCAAACACACAGACTTTTCAGACGCAGATAAGCTGAACAACGCTAAGTAAGTTTGCTCTCCAACATCAACTCTCGCTATTCTTAGTTGTCTGAAACTGTTTTATGTTACAGTGGCCGAAGGACATCTTTGCCGTGGGCACCAATGCTGCCTATTTTCTGCCCTTCGCACTCCCCCCCCTCCCGCCACCACACAACAACAACAACCACAAAATTATATTTATATAGCGCCTTTCACATACATTGGAAGAATGTCCCAAGGCGCAGGACAGTTAAAATAGCCGGAGGCATGATCGCACGATCAAAGAGCAAAGTCTTGAGACAGGCCTTGAGGAGGTAAAGGAAGGTCGGGGCGATGGAGGGATTCTGGGGTGTTCCAGGGGATGGGGTGCAGAAAAGTTGATGGCCTGACAGCAAATGGTGGGAAGTTCAGGGCGGGGGACATGAAGCAGGCCAGTGCCCACCAAGCAGTGGCAGCGGACAGGTTGGTATGATGTTAATAGGTCGCAGAAACGCTTTCATATTACAATGGCCAAAGGACAGTTTTGCCATGGCAACAAAAATTTGCATTTATGCAGCACCCTTCATGCGGGGTAGCGACCTGGAGAGTTTCGTGGGCCCCAGTGCTGCCTATTTTCTATCCTCCTCATTCCCTTCTCTGTCTTTGGCCTTAACGCCATTCTCCTCATCTCTCTTTCAGATACGCCATATCTGTGGCAAGAAAAATAGGAACGCGAGTATATGCTTTGCCCGAAGATCTGGTGGAAGTGAAGCCAAAGATGGTGATGACGGTCTTCGCTTGCTTAATGGGGAAAGGCTTGAAGCGGGTATGAAGAGATGCGGTTTCACCAAGTTCACACTCATTTCCGTCCGCCATATCAAACCAGTTCACAAAATCCATCTGTCAGATTCAGGTTTTCTTTTCTCCCCCCTTCCACCCACCCCTTCCTTCCTGGAAAAAAAATAGTTTTCAGCAAAAAAACATATGAGACACACGAGACTATTTTCAGAAACAAAACGCTAACTGGAAATTTTCACCCTTGAACGCTTATGGAATTCCTGTCTCTCCATTTGAAATTGACCTGTATTTAATTTTCCTATTGATGTTAAATTAAGATTTACACTCCTTCCAGGTTGCTTGTCACTGTGGAATTTTTTTTTGTTTGTGTCAATTGAAATCACTGATTTGTTCACTGTGCTCTCACAGACACTGGTTTCTCAATTTATCACAGAATTTAGTGATTTATCACTGTGCCACTGAATTCACTGGATTGGTCTCTGTGCCCTCACATGCAATGATTTATCACTGTGCTATCGCGTCCGCTGACTTGACATTGCACCATCCATCAATTTGTGTCTACTTTGTCCACATTGTAGCACATGTATCCAATGAGGTTGTTTCCAGGCACATTGGTGATGGGAGTGAGCTTCTGGACGGAAATAAGCGCCGAGTATAATCCCATCTATAATCATGAAATTGCACCTATTGAACACAAAGCATGTTGTGGATGAAAGTCGCAGAGTTGCCATTTAATTGAAGGCTTTGGATGTGGTTCGGATCGGGTAATTAGAGAGCGAGCAAGAGGTTCCTGAATGCCGCCAGGGCTCAGAGATTGAATTACTGCTTTTAACTTCTGTTGAAAGCCCCGGCGGCCGTTACATAACCAACAACGTTTTCAAAATTTACATGAGAGGCCCGAGTGACAGATACTGGGCGATTGCGAGGTTGTGACCATGTGGCAATGCTGAGACGCAAGACATGCTACAACAGTGGCCGCGAGACTGTCTCGCAGTTGATCGTGACAGCAGCGAGCCAGAATGCTGTGCAATTCATAACATGCGGTGCGAATAAATCCTGATAAAGGCAGAATCAGTTTCCTGAGCAATCGTAGGGGCAAATCTTTACAATTTAGCCATTCAATTGTTCTTGCGTTTTAATCAAACAGTTATTGAGTTTCTTTTGGGTCACATGCTGACTTGGTGATGCTTCCAGCAGCTGAGTGTGGCTCAGTTGGTAGCACTCTTGCCTCTGAGTCAGAGGTTGTAGCTTAAAATTCCATGCTCGGACTTTGAGCTCTTTAAGCCTGACATTCCCATCTCATGCTCGGCGAGGCGAACTGTCCTGTCTTCTTGTATAGGTGGATGTTAAAGATTCCATGGCACTCTTCGAAAAGGGAGGAGAGCTTCTCCCCATGGCTTGAACAACAACAACACCACCACCACAAGTAAAATTGATCATTTACTTCATGGCTGTTTGTGAGACATTGCTGTGCACAAATTGGCTGCCTTTAGTTTGTCTATATGTTCACAGTCATGGGGCAGCCTCGATAGTGCAGGGGTAGAGGTACAGTTTACAGACCAGGAGCTCACTGATTCAAATCCTGGTCCACACTGAGGTTTCTGGTGTTGGTCAGGGCAGCAAGGGGAGGCTAAATTGGCCCTATCCTTCCCTGGGTTAGAAGGCAAAACCAGCCAGGTTACCAGCTCCTGGAGCCCCTGCAGCCTCAACCTCTGTTGGTTGTACATGTGTGTGACAGACAGGTGAGGACAGATCAGGTTCAGCTGTGATACCCCTTTCAGTGCGTCAACCTGCCTTCGCTCACTGCCAAAGACTCACAGAGGAACTTGGATGGGGGGATAGCAGAGGGCAACCAACAGCTGTGGAACTGTACAACAGTGAGAGGCCAGACAAGGAGCAGAGAGCCAGAGTGGAGAAAATTAGCTTTGTGGTTTAGACTTCCATTGACGTTACTAGAATGCATATGATTTCAGCAACAAGTCTTTGCATTCAAATAAAGTATTACACCTTGACTGTTGTGGATCTCCGTGTTAGTTAGTGTGCTCGCCTTGCAAGCGAGAAGACCCGGGTTCGATTCCCAGGCGATTCCTTACTCCACACGCCTCTGTTTACCTAGCAGTAAGAAGGAACTGGGTTGTTAGTCAATTGGCGGATCGATTTCTGGGGGTAATAATCCCTCAAAAAAAAATTGGTCAGTCAATCCACAACTGTTTGTGAGACACTGCTGTACACAGTTGACTGCCGCATTTTGCCCTGAAAATACACAAAGTTAATCCACTTTACAATATATTCTGTGAAGCACATTGAGACATCTCAATGAATTGATAAAATGCTATATCAAATGCAAGGATCATCATTATTATAAGTCTTTGTTCATCTTTGGTAATCTTGCCTGTGCTGCAGTAACTGGCGAAACGTACATGGTGCTAACAGGGCGAGCTCTTGAGCAGAGTGAGAGCAAGTAAATTCAAGCGTGGGAGATTTATGGTCTCATAAAATAAAATTACTGAATTCTGAAAGGAAACTGGAGAAATCGTATTAAACTCTTCTGTAATTCTTCCCATAGACAATAGACTGCTAGCTCTCTCTGTTCACACTCACAAATGAGGTAAAGCCTTGGAATAAAAAAATAATATCTTTGCCTAAAAGATTTTTACATTTTCTCCAACCTTAATATTGGAATAACAATAATAATACTTGCATTTGATCCAGTGCCCTATCACGTCAACAAAATGTCTCCCATGTGTTTCACAAGATTTGTTGCAAAGTGGAGTGACTGTGTATTTGTATACAAAAGCAGCAGCCAATTTGGGCACAGCCTTGTCCCCGCAAACGCCATGAAATGAATAAACAATTTTTGTTTTGTGGGCCAGGACACCAGGAGAATCTCCCTTCTCTTTTTGGATAACCCACTGGATCTTTAACGTCCACCTGAACGTGACCTTGGTTTAACGTCTCACCTGAAGGCTGCTGCTGAATGCCTTCTGTATGACTTGCTGCACAGGAAGTGGAGGATGACTATGAATGACTATAACAATAATAATAATCCTTGCATTGATACAGTATAGTGTCTTATGTCATTGAGACGTCTAAAAGAGCTTCGCAGAATGTATTGTAAAGTGACTTGACTGTATACTTTGTGGGTGAAATGCGACAGCCACGAGTGAAGAGCAGTGTCTTGCTAACAGTTGTGGATTGAGTGATCACGTTTGGGGGGAGAGATTATTACCTGCAGAAAGCCATGTAATAAACAGCCACCAAACATCGCTGAGACCCTCTGCACAATTCCAAAAGCAGTGATTGTTCAGACGGCTGAATTCTGTACTATGTCTCTGAATTGCCCTGCAATAAAAAGAATGCTATTACATCAGTAATATTATAGTTATGACTTGAGACAACAACAACAACAAAATTACATTTCTAAAGCGCCTTTCACGTCAGAAGGATGTCCCAAGGTGCTGAAGCAACACAGATGCAGTCTTTTGGAAGGGTAACTTTCTTGCAGATTAACTTTGAATTGAAATAACTTGAAAAAATCAGTGACCTCCTTTGCCTAAGCATAAAATGTACATCTCATGATCACTTAAAATGGCACATCGTTACTGCAGTAACAATTACACAGTAATTAATGAAGGCAAGAAAAGCAGGTTAAAAAAATGGGCCCTTCATAATTAGATAGTTATCTGGGGAGGACAAGTTTGCAGGGTTATGGGGAGAGAGTGGTGGAGTGGGATTGAATTGTATAGCTCTTTTCAAAGAGCTGGCATAGACATGATGGGCCGAATGGCCTCCTTCAGGGCTGTATAATTCTACTGATTCTATGATTCATGCGATGATTATGGGTTAGAGATCTGAATTAATTCACCTTGCTGCTTTGCAAAACACTGTTACCTAAAGTGGGATCGATCTCAGGAGTTCACTATCCAGAAATCCAATTAATTAAAATCTATTTAGATAATAATCCTTGCATTTGATATAGCACCTTATCAAGTCAATGAGATGCCTCAAAGTGTTTCACAGAATATACTGTAAAGTGAATGGACTGTATATTTTGTGGGTGAAAATATAATTATAGAGACACAAAGTGACTGCCAGTGTGAAATTAACTCCGTTTCTGCTTTACTCTCTTGGTTTATATGGTGATAACTGGATTCAGTTTTCTTCACCAATGCAAGGCACCCGTCGCCACCATCTCCATCTCACGCTAAATGCCACCAAAACCTTTGTTTGTGCCTTTATCACCGCCCATCTCGCTGGTCTCTCTCCACCATCCATAAACTTCAACTTAGCCCAAACTCTGCCACCTGCATCCTCATCCTACCCAATCTCTGCTATCCCATCACGTCTGACCTCTCAAGGCTCCCTGTCTCCCAGCGGATTGATGTCATGGTCCTCACTCTCACCTTCACTCTCTATCAACAATACCAATAATACCAATAACATTCAGAATAACACCCTTCAAGCAGTATAAGAGTCTCAGGGCACTATCACCTCTTTATCTCTCTGATCTCCTACCCCACACCTCTGCCCGTGTCCTCAGTGCCATCTGGTGGCCAAGTATTCAGATACTACCCACCAAAGCTCTGGAACTCTCTACCCCTCCATCAGCCTCCTCCATCTCTCTCCTTCCATCCCACCTCCTCTCCGCAAGTCCTTAAATCCTGCCTTAATATCGATCGATCGATCTTAAGAAGGAGGATAAGAAGAAAAAGAAGAAAGATAAGAAAGCTGAGATAGATAGATGACAGTGAGGATTGACAAGAGACAGAGAGGGAGGTAGAGAAACACATACACACGTCACACTCTCACACATATATCTCACACACAAATACACAGACTCACACACAGACACACACACAGACTCACTCACACACAGACACACACACAGACTCACTCACACACAGACCCACTCACACACAGACACACACACAGACTCACTCACACACAGACTCACTCACACAGACACACTCACACACAGACACACAGATAGACACACTCACACACACAGACACACTCATACACACACACAGACACACTCACACACAGACACACACACAGACTCACTCACACACAGATACACACACACACAGACTCACTCACACACAGACACACTCACATACACACAGAATCACTCACACACAGATACACACACAGACACACACACACAGACACACACACAGACACTCTCACACACAAACACACACAGAGAATCACTCACACACAGACACACACACAGACTCACTCACATACACACAGAATCACTCACACATAGACACACACACACACTCACACACAGACACACTCACACGCAGACACACACACAGACTCACTCACAGACACACACACACACAGACTCACTCACACACAGATACACACAGACTCACACACACACAGACTCACTCACAAAAACACACACACACTCACACAGACAGACAGACACACACACACACACTTACATCACAGCAGGGAAAGCTGTTTGTTGCTGTGGGTGTCTGGCTCCTGATTAAAGAGATGGTGGGAGACAAATGAGTCTCTCCTGGGAGCCAACGTGGTGCAAACACAATAAACGAAAGGAAGAAATCTCGCGGTGTGTTAGGGTTTTGGGGTTTTGTTTTTTAAGACAAAATTGTAATAAAACAGGAAAATGATGCACAGAGAGAGAGAGAGAATATAAGTTGCACATGCGCGCTGCCCATCTGTCTCCATCCCCAGCCAGAGGCACAGACAGGGAGACAGAGAGAGGCACAGACAGGGAGACAGACAGGGAGACAGACAGGGAGACAGAGAGAGGCACAGACAGGGAGACAGACAGGGAGACAGAGAGAGGCACAGACAGGGAGACAGACAGGGAGACAGAGAGAGGCACAGACAGGGAGACAGACAGGGAGACAGAGAGAGGCACAGACAGGGAGACAGAGAGAGGCACAGACAGGGAGACAGACAGGGAGACAGAGAGAGGCACAGACAGGGAGACAGAGAGAGGCACAGACAGGGAGACAGACAGAGGGACAGAGAGAGGCACAGACAGGGAGACAGAGAGAGGGACAGACAGGGAGACAGAGAGAGGGACAGACAGGGAGACAGACAGGGAGACAGAGAGAGGCACAGACAGGGAGACAGAGAGAGGCACAGACAGGGAGACAGAGAGAGGCACAGACAGGGAGACAGACAGGGAGACAGAGAGAGGCACAGACAGAGGAACACAGAGAGAGAGAGAGAGACAGAAGGACAGAGAGAGGGACAGACAGAGAGAGTGACAGCGGATAATCTCAGCAAATATTACAAAACACCTCCTCCTGTCGCTGCTTTTATGGGGAATGCAAACGACGGAAAACGGTGCAATCAAATTTGCTTCGATATATAAACGCTACACACATATATATATATATATATACACACATTATATATATATACTTCTTATATATATATAAAAAAATATATATATATATATTTATATAAAAGAGGTGCGCCTGGCGACGTTTTGGGGGAAATTTTGCCCAAATACGGGCAGGGAAAGGCAGTGGGAGGTTGTGAGGAGGGGAAGAGGGTTTAAAAAGGGGGTGAGGGTTTGGACCTTGTTTTTGTTTTGGGGGGTGGGGAGGGGGGTCCCCTGTGAACAGCCCCAAAAGGGGGTGACAGGCTGAGGGATGCCCTGGTGCCCACAGTATGGCCAACCTGTACCAGAGCACCGAGTCCTCCTCTCCCAACAAGTATCTGGCCCTGAAGGACGTGAGGGAAGTCAAGGAGGAGACCACCATCGACGAGAAGCTCTTCCTCTTGGCCTGTGAGAAAGGTAATGGCTTTGCACATAATAATAATAATAATAATCATAATCATAATGATAGTAATATCTCCTAATACCCTCCTTCCCTTCTTTCTGTCTGGGTCCGCGGCTCGTGTTGCCTCCCGTGAGGTTATGATTAGCAATAATCATCATAATAATTCCTGCATTTTTACACAGCACCGTATCGTGTGCCGTCGGACCATCTCGAAGCGCTTCGCAGAATATGTAGAGGTATATGTATGTATATATGTGTATATATATATATATATATAATCCGTGCATTTTGGTGCAGCACCTTTCACGTCGGGAGGATGTCCCGAAGCGCTTCACTGGATTTTACTGTGAAGTCGAGTAATCGTGTATTTTCTGGCAGCCAATTTACGCGCAGCAGTGTCCCACAAACAGCCATGGAGTGAGTGCCCAATTTTTTTTATATATGGGATTGTTAGCCAGGACGAGGATCCATTTAAGTTAACCCTGGTCACTCGATGGGCCGCACTTTAAAAGCGAGTTATACATAATACTGTCGCTGAAAATATCTCCCTGCGATTGTGAGCTGTCATTGGCTTAATGGGAATGTCACTCATGCAATGCAGAATGCACAGGTTTGAATATACATCTTATATTAAAAAGAGGAGGGTTGATTTAAGGAAAAATTCTAGTACAGTATATCAATGTGATTTTAGAAGCTAATGGGTGGGCCAGCAAATATTACCCCAAGGGCCGCCTGTAGTAGGGTAATAATAATAACCCTGTTTTATGACGTGCTACAATGTCAAAATATCTCAAAGAGCTTGACAAATAACTGCTGTAAGGTATAGTTCCAATCAATTCCAATCCCAGTCAGTCCACACTGCCTCTTCGCCCTTTCGAGACTGAGAAAATTAATATCGCGTCTGAAAACCCTGTGTGCTCAGTGTGGGGGCCTGGGACATGGGCAGAGGAAGAGAGAGGAAATCTGGGGGTCTTGGTGGAGCTGTCTTAACACCCTGGGACAATGTTACGCACGCAGTAATCCAAGACCGATTTGGAGATTTCGATTTGATATTTGGGCAGTCCTTCCTTGGACAAGTGCTGCTATATGCTATCACCAATTCCAAGTTCTCTCTTTCATTTACAAATACGCAGTCACTATAATTCATGGTGATCTCGTTTAAACCTTCTGACTCGGAGGCGAGATTACTATCAACTGAGCAAGGCTGAAGATCCCATGGTACTGTTCAAAAAAGAGAAGGGAGTTTTTTTTCCTGGCCAGAAATCTTCTAGAATAACTAATGGATCGCTTTATGGCTTTGGAATTCGACTGTGTGCCAAAAGGGCTGTTGTGTTTCCTGCAAAAAAAACACAAACCCTTCTCTTGTCTGCATGCCTCTAGTTCAGTTGGAAGATCTTTGCAAAGTGTTCAGTTGTTTTGCTAAATATTTTGTTTAAAGTTTCCAGTTGTGTGGCATCAGCACAACAAGACAGGGTTAGTGTGAAGTAAGTACACATACTGTCTCTGTCCCTGGGATGCTTATTGAGTGATCAAGTGAAGAAAACGACAATAATGAGCCTCTCAGGTATTGCTACAGAAGTAACCAGAGAACAACAGAGAATTAAAACAGTATTGTCTCCAGTACCAGACCAAGTGATGAAATAGCACAAGGAGAACAACATTTCAAATACTGCATTTAAAGCTGATATTAATGTAAGGTCGATCATGTATTTCAACCAAAAGAAAATTGGTACAGTAAAATTGGAACAAAATGCTGATTCCAGTATTGCTAATAACAACAACAACAACAAGATTCCATTTATAGAGCGCCTTTCACGTCAGGAGGACGTCCCAAGGCGCTGATAACAGCACCATCTCGCTTCTGGACTCTCCTGTTGCTTTGTTGTGTGGGACAGATGTTTGGTCTCTGCTTGCACTCTGTTAAACATTTTCAATGTTCTGTGTCATTTGATCTTGTATTCACTTGGGTCCCTGCAATCAGCTGGATCTCTCTACCACGCTACACGTCACTTGAGGTTGAAGAGTTATTTCAGTTAGACTAATTCACTTTATTGTTCCAACATTCCCTTGGGAGGGGTCACTACAAATCCTTAAAGTACAATTGATCGAAAAGTTACAATTGTTATCTTTTATTAAATATTCCCTTAAAAAATACTTAGGATGAGACATTAAACTGAGGCTCCTTCTGGTCAATCACGCCATAATTGTTTGTGGGACGTTGCTGTGCGCAATTGTACTGTTGCCTACAAATACGCAGTCACTTCATTTCACAGTAAATCCTATCAAGCGCTTTGAGGCATCCTTCCGACATGACAAGGCACTATGCCAAATGCAAGGATTATTTATTATAATTTGAGATGGTACTGTAAATCAAGTGATACATGATTCGCAGGAAAGTATATTGAAGGAATTGTTGTGGCATAAATTCTAACCATTGAGAGTGAGGTATGTGCCAGGAGCACTCATGATACAGCCTCGTCAATTACAGTATCCTTCACATGTGGTACTCGGCTGACTGCTGCTTGTGGTTCCAGGCCTCTATCCGTGTCCTACCCAGGTCCCTGGTGCAGGTTTTCTGACTGATTAGGGTTGGGGGTTGTGTTCCTCTTTCCTCTTCTATTGCGTGCTCTCCAGGAAAGGAAGGTGTGTATGTTGTGTGTGTATGTATGAGTGGGGGGGTGTATTTGGAGGCAGGGCTGTCCCACCTTCCATGCTCCAATCTCCTTTCCTGGTGAAGCGTTCCTGACAGAAGCCTTTGAGTAAGGCATGGTTTGGGTTGAGTTGGGTTGTGGTCCTTGGCAAAATATTAGCAACACTGACATATACAAAAATAGCGCTATTTTTGTGTACGTCACAGTTTATTCCACAAGAAAGGGAGTGCTCCTCGCTGTGAGCGACGGAGTCACAGATTGCTTGAGAACGCGATCCTCGTGAGTGTGTGAAGATAAATTGTCTTGAAGGCTGCTTCTGCCGGGGGGTGATCCTGAACAGCACGTTCTCGTTTAAAGTGGGGCATTCTTTTTTAATGTGTGTTCCATTGTAACTGTCTGCCTTGCTGTGTGTTTCAGGAGATTATTACATGGTGAAAAAGCTGCTGGACGAGAAGACTGGCGAGCTGAATATTAACTGTGTGGATGTCCTCGGGCGCAATGCAGTCACCATCGCAATTGAAAATGAGAATCTGGACATCCTACAGCTTCTCTTGGATCACGGCTGTCAGGTTGCCAGCATTTTACTCTCCGCGAGATCTCTGCGAGATCTACCTGCAATTAGGGCTTTAAGCGATCGCTAGATTTGTTTTGGCCTCAGAAGGTCATTCAGCCCATTTCACCTCATCCTTTCCGATTGCTCGCTTTACTGTTCCTCCTATCACAGCAGCACGGAGCTTTTTTTAATGAGTCCCCTTAACCCACTCTCCCGTGCAACCTGTTCCAGTCGTTAATTACACCAATGACTTGCATTTGTGTTAATCCCTTGTATTAATATTAATCACTACCCTGCGGGAAAGGTGCTGTGTACATACAAATTGTTGTTATTACCTTCTGGGTAAAGAAATACTTCCTGGTGCAAACCCTCGACATGGAAAGTCCTCCTGAAGTGATGTGAGAGGTCCTATACGAATGTAAATTTATTGTTGTTGTCATTTGCAGCTCTGTGTATCAGCCTGGCGAAGTGGTAGCACTCTCGCCTCTGAGTCAGAAGATTGTGGGTTCAAGCCCCACTTCGGAACTTGGAATCACATAGTCTAAGCTGACACTCCAGTGTGGTGCTGGAGGGGTGTTGCATTGTCGGAGGTGCCATCCTTCAGATGAGGCTTTAAACCGAGGTCCTGTCTGCCTGTTTGGGTGTATGTTAAAAGATCTCGTGGCACTAATCGAAAAGAGAAAGGAATTTCTCTCGGTGTGCTGGCCAACAATGCCCCAGATAAAGTTGTTCACTCGCTCCACAGCTATTGGTGGGACATTGCTGTGTGCAATTGGCTGCTGTGTTTCACCCAAAATACACAGCCAATCCACTTTACAATATGTCTTATTAAGTGCCTTGAGACGACTCAACGACCTGATAAGGCGCTATATCAAATGCAAGGATTGTTATTATTATTAAACCTGTGTGCTCTTGATTTATGATCTTGGTGCAGCTTGTAGAAATGGCTCAATTGATTTTTTTCTCTTCCCCCCACTCCCCTCCTCATTCCCACTCCCCACCCAGACTACAGATGCTCTTCTGGTGGCGATCGGCTCTGAGGTTGTTGGAGCTGTTGACATTCTTCTTAATCATCGTCCCCGGCGTTCGTCCAAGCCAACCATAGCGGTCAGTCATGTTCATGTTTCCTTCAAGAGCTGTATGCTTGTTCTTTCTTCCTCTTTGCACAACAGAGTCTTCATTGCTTTGCACAATTAGCCTGCTACGTTTGCCTACAAATACACAGCCAGTCCGCTTTACACTAAATCCTGTGAAGTGCTCCCAATGTGAAAGTTGCTATACCAAATACAAGGATTATATTATTATTGTTATTATTGAAATGATGTTGTTAAGGAAATTGGGACAGAAACGTTTGGTCTCCCCACAATGCAAATAATTATATTGGTAAATATCGATCTCTGTCAAGGGTAATGTTACTGTAAATATCGTTGGATTGTTTATCAGGCATTGCTTCATGTCAGTGCCAAACATTGCTACATTTGATATTTCAGGCTTATGTAAGCATCCTACATTTGGCTGCCTGCAATCTTGATGTTGGCACTCATGCAACAAGTTAAGAAGCATCTCAATTATTTCAACTTTCGCTTTCATCCAAAAGGGGGCAGGAGTGGAGTGTTTGCTGTTTGCATTGCTTTGGGTGGTTTTGGAGGTAGAATCGTGGGATCTTACTGCACAAAAGGAGGCCATTCTGCCCATCATCCTGTGCCGGCTCTTTGAAAGCGCTACCAACTAGTCCCGCTCCCCCACTCTTACCTCATAGCCCTGCAAATTCTTCCTTTTTAAGTACCTATCTAATTCCCTTTTGAAAGCTACTATTGAATCTGCTTCCACCACCCTTTCAGGCAGTGCATTCCAAACAGCAACAGCTCTCTGGGATGGTTTATATTAACTTGCCATAAACTGAAAACAAAACTTTATCTGTCTATGTCCTAAATTTGAGCCGCAGTGATTAATATTTAATATTGATCATTTAACTATTTAAATGCAATGAGATTTAATATTTTATATTTCTTCCAAATTCCCATATTTCTTCCAAAATCTGCCTCTGTCATCTTAAAGGGAAAATGCCTTTGTAGGGAGTGCGTCGATGCTCAGTATCCCCTGTCCCCCTGATATAGAAGAAAAATCTAATTAAATTACATTCACGAAGTTGAATAAATATGTGTTTTTGCATCTTTTCTGCTAGAAGAAATAAGTTTAAAGGAGGCAGAGCTCTTGAAAAGCGAATTATTTTATTTGGCTAAATGTTTAGCTGTTTATGCAGAATGAATGTAGAGTTTGTGTAACATCTGCAATGAGCGGAACAAATAGCAGCTCCATACAGTTATCCCAACAAACCCGGCCTCTTGACACTGGACAGTAACCTGCCAAACAAATAGGAACCCCACACAGTTACAGACATAAATCTGGACCCATATTTCTTCCAAAATCTTACTCTGTCATCTTAAAGGGAAAATACCTTTGTAGGGAGTACGTCTATGCTCAGTATCCCCTGTCCTCCAGATATAGAAGAAAAATCTAATTATAAAGTTTATGAGTGCCCTAACTTTTAATCTACTGCCTGTGACATGCTTCCTGATGCCGTTAACTCTGTTATGGGGATGAACTGTGTCCAAGATCAGCTCTAATGAGTTTGATAGGGCAAGTGCTTTGGAAACAATTCCTCAGCTCCTGCATGTTTTGAAACAATAATAACAGAGGCCTTTTGCAGGACTGCTGGTACCTTCATTTGATACTATCTCCGGTGAGGACAGGTGTTTAGAGGGAATGAACTTGTTTAGAAAAGCAAGAGTTTATTTGCCACAATTAAAGTTTTTAATTGTATATCTGATTGACGTTGTCAAGAATAACAAAGGGAATTGACAAGTTAGGGAGGGTCTGATGCTGCCCTCTGGTAGAAGGTTCCAAGCCAAGGGGACATAATCTTAAAATTGGAACTAGGTTGGTTAGAATTGAGATCAGAAGATCTTTCTTTACACAGAGGCCTGTAGTAATGTGGATTGCACTGCACCAGAAGATTGTTAGAGGCAGAATCAATTGGGTTGCTTAGTAGATGGGAATATAAATAGATAATAAAGGTGCATGAGGGAAATGGGATTGAAAGGTCTGGCGTGATCTAACTGGTAGGACAGGTTGAATAGCATTTTCTTATTACTTCAGATATCAGTTGGTCGAAATCTTGCCTGTGAGTCAGAATGTCCCATGTCGGGAGTTTGAACATGCGTCATCTCGGCTGACATTCCAATGTAGTGCTGGGGGTGTGCTGCAGTTTTGGAGGTACTCTCCTTAGGATGACACATTAAACTAATTTCCTGTCAGCCTTTTAAGGCAGAAATTAAAGATGCCATGGCACTATTCAAAAAGACAAGGGAGCTTCTCCCAATCTTGGCCAACAAACTTTTGGGATAAAGTTTGTCATTCACTTCTTGGCTGCAACAACAACAAAATTACATTTGTGTAGCGCATTTCACGTCGGGAGGACGTCTCAAGGAGCTGGACAATCTGTGTTTCGGACCCCAGCTGGGGGATTGGGGAGGGTGGAGGGCAGGGGGGACGCAGGGTGATCAAAAGCACGGTCGAAGAGGAGGGTCTTGAGATGGGACTTGAAGGAGGAAAGAGAGGGGCAAGTCTGCTGTGTTCACCTACAAAATACACAGTCACTACACTTTACAGTGTATCTTGTGAAGTGGTTTGGTCCTGCTGAAGTGAAAGGTACAATATCAAATGTAAGTATTTTTAAATTATTCTTATAACTACAATAGAGATTTCCACACTGATTGGCAACAACCACAACACTCGAGGGAAAAATTGTGTAGCTGATAACTCCACACATGCACACAACCAACATTTCTTGCTTACATTGCAGTCCAACTTCGACATCGATGCAGATAAACAGACATGTGGATAGATGGTGAATGGCTAATCTGCTCTACATATTTACCTCTGTAGCCAGGGGAGGGAATACTTGGGAGAGTAACTTCCAATGTCACTTTCCCTTTAAGGCGGCCAAGCCAGATTCTGGAAGAAATATCTGTGCAGATTTATGTGTGTAACTGTATAGAGTTGCTGTCTGCTCGGCAGGGTTCGGGGTCAGTGTCAGAGGCTGTGTTTGTTGTGATATCTGTATGGAGCTGCTGTTTATCCCATCCATTCGTCTGTCTGTTGCCGATTGGAACACAAACACTACATTCATTCTGCCTTAGACTTGCAGGATTTTAGCCAAACAAACAAATAAATAAATACATACATAAATTAAGTGAGTTTTAATCCTTCCATTGTTGAGAAGTGTGCGTCCATTAGTACAAAAAAAATTACTTGTAAAAATAATATATTGTACATCTAAATCTAATGGAATGCATTCTTCCAGACTTGATTTCCCTTTAACCCTTACCTTGCTGAATAGACTGGAACTAATCAACACTGTACAGCAGCTGCAACTTCCAATGCCTTCACTCTTGCTCTGCTGAGGACATTAAAGATATCACGGCACTGCTCGAAAGGAGAAGGGAGTTTCTCTCTCCCAGTGTCCTGGCCAGCAATCCCCCAGATAACACTGATCATTCACTTTGACTGTTTGCTGGATTTTGCTGTGTACAAATCGTCTGCTGTGTTTGGCTACAAAATTCGCAGTCACTACACTTTACAACAAATCCTGTGAAAGGCTTAGTGTCGTCCTCCTGACGTGAAAGGAGCTATATCAAATGAAAGAATCATTATTTATTGTTTAGTCCGGGCTATAATTATTTGAGAGGAACAAGATTGCAGGGCTGTGGGGAGAGAGCGGGGGAGTAGGATTGATTTGGATAGCTCTTTTGAAAAACAGCCGGAGCAGACACGATGGATTGAATGGCCTCCTCTGTGCTGTATAATTCTATGGAAACATTTTAAGAAATATCCAGTCATGGACTTGCTGTTATAAAGCCCTGCCTTAGCTTCTCGGTCAAAAAGCACTGGCTTCTCAAAGACTGTGTTTTGTCGTGTGGTATGGAACGTATTGATTTTGCTGCCTGCCTTTTGGTGGGAAACTTTGTCGTGTAGAAGCTGATGCAGAGAATCCAGAACCCCGAGTACTCCACCACAATGGACGTGGCTCCGTCATCCTGGCCGCTCATCGTAATAACTACGAGATCCTGACGATGCTGCTCAAACAGGACGTGTCGCTCCCCAGGCCTCACGCTGTCGGCTGCGAATGCACCCTCTGCAATGCCAAGAACAAGAAAGACAGCCTGCGCCATTCTAGGTGAGCAAAGCAACACAATGGACTGCTTGCGTTTCCAAGCAAATAATCTGGAAGCCGGTTTCTCTCTGCTTTCTTACCTCACCCCGATGGTTTACCAATCCTGTCATCTTTGTAGCACAGCATCGGAGGGGTTTCCTAAACACGTCTCATGTCCTGGCAGCAGTCACTCTTCGTTGTAACTTATTCCAGTTGTTGATTACTCCTTGAGGTGAAGAAATATTTCCTGGCGTCTGCCTTGCTGCCTTGGGGTATCTGAATGTGCTCAGGGTTTGTTTTCTCTGTCTGATTTTTGTGTATCTTGCACACCTCTGTGAGGCCACCTCTCAGACATTCAAGGCTGAAGTGCGCTAGCTCATCAGTCATCCTCCAATACTGGAATCAGCCTCTAGCACCTCGATGGTTTGTAAAGACATGCAAATCAAAGGAGGAAGCAATAATGTAACGATCTTCCCACAGATTTCGACTTGACATCTACCGCTGCCTGTCCAGCCCGTCATTGATCATGCTCACAGAGGAAGATCCTATCCTAAGGGCCTTTGAGCTCAGTGCGGATCTGAAGGAGCTGAGCCTTGTGGAGGTGGAATTCAGGTAAACCTGGGTGAAAAGAAATTGGATTTGCAGGCAGGAGCATTCACGTGAGATCCAGAGGCAAGAATTCAACAAAGAGAAAACTAGGAACTTGGTAACAAATGTTAAAATGTAGACAAGGCCATAGATGGGACTAATTTTTACTTGTTTAATTTGGAACAATTTTACCCCACTGTGCACCACCTCGGACTTGGAATCATACAGACTAAGCTGATGTTCCAATGCAGTGCTGGGGGTGTGTTGCATTGTTGGAGGTACTGTCCTTCAGATGAGACATTAAACTGAGGTCCTGTCTGCCTGTTCAGGTGGACGTTAAAGATCCCATGGATCCCAACGAAAGGAGAAGTGAGTTTCTCTCTCCCAATTTCCTGGACACTATCCCCCAAATAAATTTGTTCACTCACTCTATGCCTGTTGTGGGACACTGCTGTGCACAATTGGCTGCTGCATTTCGCTCACAAAATACACAGTCACTCCACTTTCAGCATATTTGTGTAGCGCTTTGAGTTGCCTCGATGTCATAAGGAGCAGTATCAAATGCAAGTAACATATTATTTATATTATCTCTCATTACATATACCTAGATGATTTATTTTTTAAAAACTGATTTTTCTTCCTAATTCTCCCACCCTGCTCAGATCTCTGAATGACAAAACACACAGTCACTGCACCTTAGAGTAAATCCTGTGAACTCTTTGAGACATCCTCCTGACATGAAAAGCATTATATCAAATGCAATTATTATTTTAATACCTAGCACAGTCCCTCCCCAATCCCCCAAAAAATACAAACAAGGACCCAAATTCTGGATGGTTGGTTTAGAAACTCTTCACTTGGTGTCAAGTGTAAAACCTTTCAGTTCTCCTCCATAATGTTACAACAACAGACTCCCCCGCAGCCCACCCCCACCCCCACCCCATGCTCCATACTTGCATCTAATCTGCATTTCATTTCCAGTCATTTCAGTTCTGTTTTTAGACACTATCCCTTTGTTTTAAGGGCTGAATGGATGGCAGTCTTAGCTTATATTAAGTAAGTTGGGTTTCTGACTTTTGGAAATGTTTTAGGGAAGAGCACAAATTAAATTCTAACTGTTCCCAGGCACCCTGAGTGTGAACTTCTTGAAAATTCGACCCAGTTGCCAGTCGGATTGTAGTTTCAGCATGTAGGCCATAAGATGGAGTTTGTGGCTATTGCCTACCCTTGGAGCTCTGAACTTGTGTTTTACACAAAATCCTGTGTCCTTGACTCGAGTCCTGTTGTAACCTCTGCATATACTGTTCAACAGGTTTAAATTGCCCGTGTAGAGTCAGTATCATGTCATCTAGTGTACTTTATGTATATGTGAAATTAATGAAGGAACCTTCCAAAACTGATGATAATAATAAATAATCCTTGGATTTCTTCTATTGATCAGGTGCCTTCTTAACATGGTGTCGAAATGTCTCGAAGCTTCATATAATTTTACTGTAAAGTGTAGTGACTGTGTGTCTGTGATGCTGTTGAAGTGCAATTCATCCCAGCAAAATTTACATGTCTGTTTTCAGAAACGATTACGAGCAACTTGCACAACAGTGCAAAACCTTTGCAAAAGACCTCTTGGCCCAGGCCCGCAATTCCCGGGAACTGGAGGTGATCCTTAATCATACGTCCAGCGATGAGCCCATCGACAAGAGAGGATTGCTGGAGGAGAGGATGAACCTCAGCCGCCTTAAACTAGCAATTAAGTACGACCAGAAGGAGGTGAGTGCTGCTCTGGTTGAAGCATTTATTTATTCTGTTGTATTATATACACTGAATATAATGTCTAATGTGAATGCTGTAGCATTCGCCTCCCCAAAACATACACACACTCACTGTACTTTACAGTTTATCCTGTGAAGTGCTTTGGGATGACCTCCTGATGTGAAAGGTGCTGTACCAAATGTAAGGATTATTGTTATTATTATAAACCAGTGATCCATTGTGACTGGACATGATTAGAGCACAAGGACAATCACTTAAGCCCAAATATTCCTCTAAACCTGTGGATGGAAAAAAAATTACGTAATGTTAAATTTTTATCATTAAGCAAACACGCAAAGTGTCTTGAGAATAAAGCAGTACATTTTGTGCTGAAAATTAATTTGCCAGCACAGCTATTTAGTCTCTGATGGCAGTGTTGATGTTTTTTAGACCTCAACATGGCAAATGAATGGAATTCTGTTTGATTCTGCGGCTCTTCAATGGCTGCATTGCTTGTGGGAAATCATCTATAAGTAGAGCCTTGTGATTTCGTTTTCCACCCTGGGACTTTCTGTCAAACACACCTATAACTCACTGACTTCATCTTCTGGCACAACAAGATGCTTTATTGAGACCAAATTGTTGTTGTGCAAGTCACTGGTGATGCAGAACCACCATGTACCCATCCGGGGAATACATCGGTGCTTAGAGTCTCATCTGCCTGTTCAGGTGGACGTTAAAGGTCCCACAGCACTACGCAAAAAGACAAGGGAGTTTCTCCCAGTGTCCTGGTCAACAATCTCCCAGATAAATTCACAGCTGTTGGTTAGCATATTGTTGCCTGCAAACTGGTTTCCACGTTTGCCTACAAAATACATAGTCACTACACTTTACACTGTTAAAGAGTTTTGAGACATTTCGAAGATGTAAGGCGCTCTATCATATATTGCTTTTTGGAAAATGTATTTGTCTATTATTTGTGTGTCAGCCTCACTCTCGCCTCTGATTCAAAAGATTGTGAGTTCAAGCCCACTTGGACTTCGAATCGCATAGTCTAAACTGACACTCTAATCTAGTGCTGGGGGAAGGAGTGTCCTTTGGATGAGATTTTAAACCGAAGTCCCTTCTCTGTTCAGGTAGACATTAAAGATCGCGTGGTTCTATTCGAAAAGAGAAGGCAGTTTCTCCCTTTCCAGTGACCTGACCAACAAATCCCCCAAATAAAATCAGTCACTCACCCATGGCTGTTTGTGGCACACTGCTGTGTGTAACTGGCTGCCACGTTTCACCCACAAAATACACAGTCACTCCACTTTACAATAAATTCCAGTAATCAGTCACTCACTCCATGGCTGTTTGTGGCACACTGCTGTGTGTAACTGGCTGCCACGTTTCACCCACAAAATACACAGTCACTCCACTTTACAATAAATTCCAGTGAAGCATTTTGAGACGTCTCGACGACGTGATAAAGTACTGTAATCAAATGCAAGGATTATTATTATATTAATCCATTGCCCTGGGGCTCTTCCTACTGCTGCTGATGCTGGAGACAATGCCATGTCTTTGAGGGCCCTTGATGTAAGAGTGTAGAAAAGTAACATTAAACGAAAACTTCTATTGGGGACTATTTCTCTTTGTCATCTTGCTGTGTTTCTTTCTTGTCATTTTTGCAGTTCGTGGCTCAGTCCAATTGCCAGCAGTTCCTGAACACAGTCTGGTTCGGGCAAATGGCCAGCTATAGGAGGAAGCACACCTGTAAGAAGATTCTGATTTGTCTGACGGTCGCTGCTCTGTGGCCAGTCTTGTCCCTGTGTTACCTACTGGCGCCAAAGTCTCGAGTGGGGAAAGTCATTCACACACCATTTATGAAGTTCATCATCCACAGTGCTTCATACTGCACCTTTCTACTGTTACTGAACCTATACTCCCTGGTGTACAACGAAGATGAGAAGAACACAATGGGCCCTGCACTAGAGATGATTGACTACCTCCTGATTATATGGATATTTGGTAAGTCACGTTACAGTAGAGTAGAGCATACTCTTGAAATGTAGTTATTTGAAGTTTTGAGTGACAGATTTCTGGCAGAGACTTACAAAGTTCGGATTTGTGTTCTGTGACATGAATCACATGAATCATGAATGACATGGATGCTCTTGCTAACATCATCCGCAGACATGGTGTCAACTTTCACATGTATGCAGATGACACCCAGCTCTACCTCTCTGCCTCCATCCTTGACTCCAGGACCACTGCTGTCCTGATAGAATGTCTGTCAGACATCAAGTCTTGGATGAGAGCTAACTTTCTTCAGTTGAATGTCAACAAGACCGAGGCTCTCCTGATTGGCTCCCGTCAGCACCTCCACACTTCAGGCGCCGACAGCACCACCATCCATGGTTGCACACTCCACCTTGCTAAACCTTGGCATCTTGTTTGACCCTCAACTATCCTTTCTACCCCACATCTGCGCCATGACCCGCTCTGCCTTCCCCCACCTCCGCAACATTGCCCACCTCCCCCACTGTCTTACACCGCAGGCCACCGAAACCCTCATACACGCCTTCATTACATTGAGGCTCGACTACGCAAACTCACTGCTTCTCGGCCTCCCCAAACTCACTGCTTCTCGGCCTCCCCAATTCCTCCCCCCACAGGCTGCAGATCATCCAGAACTCTGCAGCCCGTGTCCTCTCCCACACTGGGCTCCGTGTTGGAGATGCCGTTCTTCAGATGAGATGATAAAACCCTGAATTCCTGTTCAGGTGGGCGTTAAAGATCCTGTGGCACTGCTCAAAAAGTGTCCTGTCCAACAATCCAGTAAAATGAAAACAAAAGGATTTTCATGCCTGTTTGTGGGACATTGCTGGGTGCAAATATACAGTCACAGCGTTTCACAATAAATGAAGTGTTTTGAGCTAGCTGGACAAATAAGATACTCCATCAAATGCGGGTATTTACCAACAGATCAAGATTTCAGCAATTTACGAGGAACCAAATAAACCTACTGAACAGATACCACTTGGGTCTATCTATGGTCTTGAACTGATCTGTGCCACTTTCCTTTAAAGGAAACTTTGAGTTTGTGATACTGTAATCACCAGGGATAAAGGGTTACTCTGTTTCGAAGAGCGACTTGAGAAGTTGTGTTTTTTTTCTCTAGAGCTGAGAAGGTTGGATAGGATGAAACCTGATAAAAGCCTTCAATACCATGAAGGATTGTGATTGAGTGAAAACTAATAGATTATTTCCGTTGGTCGGCAAGTCAGTAATTAGAGAGCACAAATTTAAGATAGTTATAAAAACATTTAAAGGGGAAGTTGGAAAATATTTCTGTTACACAGAGGAGTAGCTGGAATGTTAAGACAGAGTCCATAAATTCTTCTGAAAGGGAATTAGATATATGCTTGAAGAGGAATATTAAAGAGAATAGCGTGTGAGCAAAATGGGATTAGGTTAGGTGTATTATGCAGACAAAAGCACTAACTCAGACTTAAAGAGCTAAATAGCCTGTTTCTATGCTGTAACATTCTGTAACAACTTGTCTGCTCTTTTTTGGGAGTGCGTATATAAAGGAACACATTTTCATGAAATATAATCAGTAGTTCTGTCAGAAAGCCACAAATCCGGTGTTGTGTAACATCTGTTGCTGTATTTCTGAGAAATCCAATTTTTAAAATATCCCATGGTTTGACAGTCTTGGGATTCCATTGCCGTTTGTGGATTGGATTCCATGTTGGATGATATCATTGTGAACTGTTGGTGTACAATATAATCCCCTGCAGAATTGCATATGGGGGATGAAACATGTGTTTGTGATTTGGGTTTGAGTGGGAAGATAGCAAAAGATGTTGCATGCCTGATGTGCGCTGAGTGATGTTTTCCGAACTGGAATGCGTTGTGGGATGGAAGGAAAAGCGAGGATGTTACTTACTGCCCTTGAGAGTACAGGATAGGGCAAAGGAGATGAGATTCCTGGAAGGAATAATACAAATAATAATTCTTACATTTGATGTGGAGCCTTTCGATTCACGAGGATGTCTCAAAGCACTTCACAGGATATACTACCAAGTCAGGATGTAGATTGTGTCAGCCTGGCTCAGTTGGTAGCACTCTTGCCTCCCAAGTCAGAAGGGTGTGGGTTTAAACCCCCCCGTCAGGTTGTTGAATTTGTAGTCTTTGCTTGCAATGCTTGGAGTTGCTCTGCATTGTTAGAGATGCCGCCCAACACAGGATATACTGCCAAGTAGGACAAGGCAGCCAATTTGCACACAACAAATAGCCTTGAAGTAAATGACCAATTTTAAAATCAAAGACTGTTGAGCTTTCTCTCTCCAGATTAAACTGAATATTTTGAAGGTTATAAAGGGAATATGTCACCCTCATCCATGCAAATTGGTTGCCATGGTTAAGTATTCACGTGCTGTGGGATACAAGTTAAGAATTAAAATGTTAGGGAATTGGAAAGGAAGCAGGTGAAATGGTTTTACGTAAATGTTTGTTTTTACCTGGTTGCCCCCAAATCAGTTCGACAGTCGGCAGGTAACCTGTACATAGGCCTCTGCTTCTGTTGAGCCCTAGATCCCGTAAAGGAGTGGCTCAGGTTCATTTCCCCTCTGCTTCCCTGTAGAAGGGACGCCTTTCCTTAGTAGAGATGCCTCTGAGGTCAAATCTCCTGTAACATTGACTGTCAAGGCTCGGCACACTTGAATTATAGTCACTTAGTCACAGTGCCAAAGGGCACCCAAAATTAGAGAAACAATTGGACAATTATAATAATAATCCTTGCATTTGATATATGCCTTATCTTGTCATCAGTACGCCTCAAAGCATTTCACAGGATCTGCTGTAAAGTGGATTGGCTGTGTTTTTTGTGGGTGAAACGTATCAGCCAGTATCATACAAATAGCCATGGAGTGAATGACTAATTTTATCTGAGGGATTGTTGGCCAGGGGGTGGGGATAAGAGGAACTCCCTTTTCTTTTCGAGTATTGCCATGGGATCTTTAACTTGAACAGCCACAAAGAACCTTGGTTTAATGTCTTATCTGAAGGACGACACCTCCGACATTGTAGTCCTAGGGGTTTATTGGATTGGAGTGTCATCTTAGACAAGTCCCAGTGTGGGGCTTGAATCCACAAACGTCTAACTCAGAGGCAAGAGTGCTGACACGCAAATAAGAGGGAGAGAAAGAAAAGCACATTTTATTTATGTGATACATTTTTTTCATTTTTCCTTTCCTTACATTCCTCGCCCTCCCAGCCTGACTCATGCACCATTTTCTGGACCACAGAAGGAGACCGCTCCCAGTAAATGCTACCCTGTAAGTGGATGCTGTCAGATGCATAATCATAACCCGAGCTGACTCATGCTCTTGGATTTAGCTTCTCATTCTGTGGGGAAGCCTTTCCTCAGTGTCGGTGCTTCTTCTGACAGGGCCCCTGCGAGGTTCCTCTGTGTAAAAGCATGGCTTCCTTCTATTTATATGGGTTTGTGTCATGAGGTTGCCCCTTTCTTAAATTTGTAAGTGTGACCTATCAGAAATGCTCTGTGAATGAGTATTGAGTTTTGTTCCATTTTGCTATTTTATGTGCGGGTGCGCGCGCGCGTGTGTTTGTGTGTGTATGTGACTCGCTCTCTTTTTGTCTAGAATATATTATGAAAATGATTAACCAAACTCAGTAGTGTGTGTAGCCCCAGACATGGTTGAGTTTGTGGTCTATCATTTCCTGCAATGTACTAATGTATAATTTGTTTCCAGGAATGGTGTGGTCAGATATGAAGCGATTGTGGTACGAAGGTTTGGAAGATTTCCTCGACGAATCTCGGAATCAGCTCAGTTTTGTCATGAACTCCTTATATTTAGCAACCTTTGCCCTCAAAGTTGTGGCTCACAGTAAGGTAAACCCAGAGACGAGATATGTTTCTCCAGTTATCAGCAAATATTTATAATAATAAATAATACTTTTATTTGATATAGCACCTTATCATGTTGTTTACATCTCAAAGTGCTTCATCTAATATATTGTAAACTGGATTGCCTGTGTATTTTATGGGCGAAAAGCGGCAGCCAAATGCACACAGAAATGTCCCACAAACAGTTGCGGATTGAATGATGAAATGTTTTCTTGTTGGAGGGATTATTACTCCCAGAAAGGAATCCGTCAATCAACTGATAACTGGGTTCCTACTTACTGCTAGGTAAACAGAGATGTGTGGAGTAAGGAAACTTGTCTAAGGTTTTGTTCTGTATGGGAGTCAAACCCAGGTCCTCTCACTTGCGAGGCGAGCTCGCTAACCACTATTGCTACAGAACTCCACGTAACTGCCTGTAACTAAAGGGTATGAGAGTCCATCATTAACTACCCATGGAAGCATGATCAGATTCCGCTTTCTTTCTGTCATACAAACTAATGAGAAAATATTGCTGTGTGCAATCTCTTCCCAACCCCCAACCCAAGCCCAGGCAGCAATAAGAAGGCTCAGGTTACTTGTGAATGTTGCACCCAATCAAGGTACGCAAAAGCCTCTTTCCTGCTGCCGTAACCCTCTGCACTGCCCACCCCCCCAAGCTGTGGCTTTAAATCCTTTTTTATTATGTGTATATTTGGGTTGTGCTTTTGGCTTATGAGCTTATGTAAGGGGATACTTGCTTAAGAAATGCAACTATGCTCTGGGGAGAGGCTGTGAGAAAATGTTTGCTTCTCAGACTGGAAATATGTTGACGATGGGCCAGGTTTTGATCCTTTTAAGAATCCTTCAGGGATGAAGAGGTGAAGAAAGAGTATATTTGATGGCAATGCTGAAAATGCTTGGTGGTTAGTGGGTGGGGGGGGGAGAGGGGGAGGGATTGTTGTAGAATAATGGGAGGTACCTTAAATAATAATAAATTATAATCCTTGCATTTAATACAGAGTTTTATCACCTAGTCGAGACGTCTCAAAGCACTTAATGTGATATCCTATAAAGTGGATTGACTGTATTTTGTGGGTGAAACAAAATCACTTTGTTACTCATGCGAGACCTGTTTTTTCCACTGTCCCTCCAGTTCCACGCAATAGGAGACAGGAAGAATTGGGACGCTTTCCATCCCACTTTAGTGGCTGAAGGTCTGTTTGCCTTTGGCAATGTTCTCAGTTACCTTCGTCTCTTCTTCATGTACACAACCAGCTCCATCCTCGGACCACTGCAGGTATAGCTTGCGCGTTTCTGTATTCTTTAAGTATCAAACGATTGATTATTTTGTCTCCTTCCACTTGCCAGGCTCACCTCTCCACACATACAAAATCAGTGTGACATATAACCTGTTAAACTCAGTCTCTCTGCCCATTCTTCAGGAGGGACGTTAAAGATCCTATGATGATATTCCAAAGAGCAGGGAATCACTTGGAATCACACAATTTAAGCTGACACTCCAATGCAGTGTTGGGGGGGTGGGGGTGTTGTATTGTCAGAGGTGCCGTTCTTTGGATGAGACATTGAATCGAGGTCCCGTCTGCCCGTTCAGATGGTCTTTAAAGAACCTATGGCGCTATTCGAAAAGACAACAGAGTTTCTCTCTCCCGGTGTCCTGGCCAACTATCCTCCAAATAAAATTTGGTCACTCCATGGCTGTTTGTGGGACATTGCTGTGTGCAAATTGACTGCTGGGACCGTCTGCAAAACACACACATCACACCACTTTACACTAAATCCTGTGAAGAGTATCAAATATAAGGATTATTATTAATACTGTAAAGTGCTTTGAGATGTTTTAACTGGCAAAATAAAAATATAAGATAAATTTAGACGAGTTACAGAACAGCCTACTCCAGGGCTTCTCTCCAAATATTTGTAAACTTGCAATACATAGCTTATATATAACACGTTGTGTCCCCCCCAAAAAACAGTCATATTTATATAGGTCAGTATTAATAGAAAGAAAGAAACAGAAAGAAAAGAGTGGAAAAGGCCCAGAGACTCATTGAATCCACTTCTTGGATAATTTCACCTCTCTCCCAATTTCCCTCCTGATTTCCTAAGCACATGTCTCTTCTGTTGCTGGCTGCTCCAGCTAGCCAGAGGAGAGGAGAAAAAAACAAGGCCAATTCAGGGGGAAAATAAGTTGCTGAAAAATTCCTTGCCGACTCCCGAAGGCAGATTGATGTGTTTGAGAGTGGCCCAGCGCCCTTAGATTCCCTTTGATTCTTGTGGCCAGTTCCTGGAGCTCCTGTGTCTTTGCCATTCATTTTAATTGTGATAAATTTCTTATCATAAAGACATCAGAGGTGGATGGGGCGAGGAAGGAGACTATTTAGTGACATTTTAGTGATCGTCGGCAAGACGTCTCAAAGCGCTTCACAGAATATACTGTAAAGTGGATTGACTATATATTTTTTGTGGACAAAATGTGTTATATATATAAACTATGTATTGCAAGTTTACAATGGAGGTATTGTTTGTGCAAATCACATGCCATCTTGAGAGAATGCAATTCCAACCATCTACAACCATCTTGTTTCATCTACCCCAACAGTAGCTTGATCTCTCCCCCTCCACCCACAGCCATATCTGATATATCTAGTTTTTTTTTGCCTTTTGGGTCTCTCTCTGTCCCATGTTCTCCTGTCCAAGAGGATGGACATTAGGACCATTTTGCTTCAACAAATGGAGGTTTGGCACATCAGGACCTCAGTGACTCACCTCTTATACCCTAGCTCCTCTCTAGCATCCAACTTGAGATCTTGACCCACGTGAAATCACATGTACACACCCTGGGACCTGGCACTCTAGAACTCCTATACAGCACTCACAATGAAACATCCCCCCACCCCCAGACCCCCTCCCTCCTGCTTTGTTTATCCCAGATCGATGTGTGCGTGTGTGCGTGGGTGTGCCTGTAACAGCTCAAACTTGAGGTTTAAATCTCGGAGGGAAACAGTGTGAACACTGTCCACAAATGATCTCAACATCGCCCACGCTGACCTTTGGCCATTGCCAATTCAAAGTCAATGGTTTATACAGCAAATACTGTAAACCTAAAAATAGTTGCACTGTAAATATTTTGAAGCTGGTTAAATTTCACACCGATTTTAGTGGTCTATTTGGGAATATAACCATTTCTCTATATCTAAATGTGTTTCTGTAGGTGACCACCTACAGAGATTTGGCTCATAAAAGGACAAACGCTTCTTATGCAATGCCTGACCTGCTTTAGTAATCCGTGGCTAAAAGGATAATGTGATAATCTGATGTAGGGGAGCAAGGTGCTTTAGATCATGTGTCACCCGGTTCATCGCAATCTATCTTCCTATTGTCCCATCACATTCCTTGTGCTGCTTTCCATGTCCCTGCAGTGCCAGAGGTCAGAAATAAACAGTGGAAGCCATTTATCCAAATATCACTTCTCTAAACTTACCAGTTGTCATAATAAATAATAATCATTGCATTTGATACAGCGCTTTTCACGTCAGGTGATTGTTTTGATGGGCTTCACAGCATTTACTGTAAAATGTGGTGAGTATGCATTTTGTACGTGAATGTGGCAACCAATTTGTGCACTGCAATTGCCACATTTAACAGTCATATGGAGTGAGTGACCAGTTTTATTTTGGCGAATTGGTGGCCAGGATACTGGGAGATGCTCTCTTCTGTTTCGACACAGGATCTTTAACGTCCATTTGAACAGGTAGGCGACACCTTGGTTTAATGCTTCATCTGAAGGACATCGCCTTTGACAATGCAGCGTACCCTCAGCATTGAATTGGAATTACCTTAATTTAGACAAGTTCAAACTCCTGACATGGGCTTGAACCCATAATCTTCTGTCTTGGAAGCGAGAGTGCTACCCACTGAGCCAGGTTGACAGTTGCAGGCACTGACTGGGCTTCTCAGAGTGCTCTACTTACACAACCACCTACTTGAATTTACAATGTGCAGCACATTGCTTCAGTGACACACTAAACATTTTGTTTTTATTGCACAATCTCAACAAGTCTCTGTGTTTTTGTATGCTTTCATGCAAGTGTTTTCATAACAGTGCGCAGTCAGTCATTTGAACTTTTCATTTATCTGCAAGGAATGTTTCTTTGACTTGTTGGGGTAAACGGTGCCCCTCATCAGTGTTCTCGAAAGAGGAATAAATTGGCAGCCTCGAGCAGAGAGGCCGAGTTGGAGGGTTAAGGTGGGAAATACAAATATTGCAAATAACACCGCGGGAGAGCTCTGAACTTAGGGTGAATTCCGATTTCTGGGTTAAGTTAGATGATTCAACCTTGCAATAAATTGGTCTGGAAACTCTTAAGCTGTGTGCCAATGTGAAGATTTGGGGGGCAGTGCACAGAAGCTTGTGAGGTGGCATTGTTGAATAGTTTGTCCCTTTTTTTTCACCCACAAAATATACAGCAAATTCAGCTTACAATATATTCTGTGAAGCACTTTGAGACGTCTCAATAGCATGACAACTTGCTATATAAAATGTAACGATTACTATTATTATCATCGTTATCTTACTCTGAAATACTTTAATATTCAGTTACACACAAAGGCTTGACACTTTTTCACCCACACACTCCAATATTTTTGAAGATTCTCGTGGTATCACTGCAGTAATCGTTGTAATCCGCAAGACTGAAATTGCTAGGAACACAGTTCATTTTGAAAGTGAAGCTGAGAACACACCAACCCATGGTTCTGTTGCGGATTTTAGAATTCTAAAAATAAGCCTAAACCAGTTAAGTACTGGTTATATTCCAGTTAACTGTGTGCATTCGTAACTATGGGGGCGGGGGGTGCGGAGGGTGGTCGTGCTCAAAATGTTCAACCTGTCAAAGAGTGTACAGGCCATGTCTTTTCATCAACCAAAAGAGCACCATTAAAAACATTTGCAAGCATTCATGTTTCATCATACATTCAGTTTAAATTCCCAACTGGGACTGAGTGAAGCCAATACCAGAGATCAGAGGTAATACAATAATCAAGAATGATTGGGAATTTTGACCCATATTTTTGAAAAACAAAATGTACATCAGTCGCGTATTCCTCCATGTGCTGTCTTTCCACTGTTTATTTAGAATAGAATAGCTGTGACAAATAACTCTGTTGTGAATGGAACTGATACTTTGTCACACTGGGTTTTTGTGCCTTTCAACTATTGATCGAATTGGCTTGTTGATGAATGCAGTGGGAATGACTTGCAACCAGTTTGGATGGCCAAGTGGTGACACAGGACATTGATGCACCGATAACCCGTGTCACTGAGTCCTAAGGTGAATGTTTTCACCTTCAAATTCCTGCTTCATTGAGTTCCCAACAACAATTAGTCTTGTCAATGGAAACAAGTCTAATGTCATCCCTCTCGACGTAAAGGAGACAGGACTTTATTGAATCAATCAATCTAGTCCTAATCTCTGGTATCTTCTGGTGATCAATTGTGGGATGGCTTTGCCCAAGGAACAGGCTGGTTACCTGCCTATGCTCTTGGTAGGGAAATTGGGAAAGATGCATGACTGATTGATTGGAGAGGCGAGAGGACAGGAAGGAAATGACAGGCATAATTTGGGGGAAAGCCAGAGCCACATATTTTACTCTTGTGTTTTTTGGACTGTTGTGTCCTCATGCATTGCAGTCTTCAACAACAACAACAACAACTTGGACTTATATAGGTCCCTCCATGCAGGGTAGTGTCTCAGAAGGCTTAACAATGGTGGAGTCTGACCTTCAAGATGAAAGGTTGAGCGATAAACTTACTCATAAGCCTCCACGAGACATGGCCTCTTGTTTGTCCCCCACTTCATTCTGATTCAGCATCTCATTACCGTGGAATTGCATCTTCGCTTCTCATTGCATCTTTCAGGCTTTTGAAACCCAAACTTGGCATTGAGTAACCATTACACTTTGAGTTGTTTTATCTGGTCCTACTTCATATATTTTTCTAGCATGGTAACATCCTGCATTTAGTTTATGCCAGGTAACACATTTTTCTCTCCATAAACCATTTACTACTAATAATAAGCTATTACTACCTGTTATTATGAAAATAAGATCTTAAAGAGGAACATTGATTCAAAATGCTGAAAGTGCTATCAAGCAGCAGGAACAGTTGACCACATATTGCCATCACGCCAACCCTCGCACAATTAGAGCATCTGATTGAACATTAACAATGTAGCTAAATATATCCACTGGACAATTTGTAAACACTTCGATAATGATGCTAAGACCAACGGGTATGAATGTCAAACAGTAAAAGTAACATTGAGAAATCATATCCCAATAACCTGGGATTCACAAGTACATACAGATAGAACAGTAATCTGTAACAAACCAGATACCATATATAAAAAAACAACTTGATTGTACATGTAGTATTATTGATGTGGCTTTCCCCCAAGTGAATACAATGTACTGAATAAGGAACTAGAAAAGATGATGAAATGTATCGATCTATAAATTGAATGCAGCCACACCTCGCAATATAAAACAAAGTTCCAATAACATTCGGGGGAACTGGGAACTTAATAAGGCAGTTCAGAAATAGCTTGGCAAAATACCTGGTGAACAAAATATCCACCTCCTGCAGAAAGTAGCTATTTTAGGAAGTTCAAACATACTTAGAAAAGTAACATCCATTCATATGTAACGTGGCAGTGTTGTTGGTCTGGCTGACCCATCACTGAAAACTACTTAGAAACTATCTCTACAGTGATTTAAACTGTCATAACATAATAATAATAACAACTCACTATTGTGCATTTGGTAACAATAATGTCAGGAGGAAGCACTTCACAGTATAAATTGAGGCAATGTGCAGTGACCATGTGCTTTGTGAGCGAAAGCAGCAGCCAATTTGCACACAGCAATGTCCCACAATTACACAAGGAATGAATGATTAATTTTATCTGGTGGATTGTTGGTGAGGACACGAGGAGAAACTCCTTTCTCTTTTTGAATAGTGATTGCCATGGTCGCAGTTTAACATCTTCATCTGAAGGACCGCATTTCTGCAATGCATTGGAGTGTCAGCTTAGACCCTATGAATTTCAAGTCCCAACATGGGGCTCGAACTCACAATCTTCTGACTCCAAGGCCTACCAACTGAGCATGGCTGACACACACACATACACACACACGCAGCCGGACATTCCCACTGACAGTCCATAAAATTTGTTAATCTGTTGTGATTTCTGATTTAGATTTCCATGGGACAAATGCTGCAAGATTTTGGGAAGTTCCTGGGATTGTTCCTGCTTGTGCTGATCTCTTTCACCATTGGCCTGACCCAGCTGTTTGACAAGGACTACTTGACGGCACAAAACAAGGACTGTGGGGCGATCTCCTGTGAACAGCAGAGTAACAACAACATCTTTCACTCGTGAGTTGGCAGGCAGTTTGTGAAGTTATGCGTGTGTGGGGTGGGGGGGGGGTGCTTTTTATATTTTACTAAAACTACTGGCCTTGTATAAATCACATGTAATCTATTGTATAACTCTGGTTGGTGGGGTGGGGAGTGGGGGGAGACATGGTCCAAACTGGGGCAAATTATACCATTAATCTTTAGGTAAAAGACACAGAGGAAATTGCTGCTACTTCAACTCCACTCCTGTCCCCAGCTGTGTGCCACAGGGAGCCGCAGTAATAGCTTCCTCACCCTAACTGGAGCATAACATGGCATCAGAAATGTGAACTGCTGTTTGAAACCAAACCAGTTGTTATTTGGGTGGAGTGGTAATTGCACGCTTGGAACAATTACCACAAAATACATAGTTAATCCAATTTACAGTATATTCAGTGAAGTGCTTTGCGATGTCTCAATAATGTGTTAAGGAGCTAAATCAAATGCAAGGATTATTATTATTATTGGAGTGTTCAGTGTCAGTGCTATTTGGGTTTCCCCTGTTCTGTTCCTGCTCAGAGCGACCAGTCTTTCACCCTAATTACTATTACTAATGTTTCTCAATCCTCCAGGTTTATCGGCACTTGCTACGCCTTGTTCTGGTACATCTTCTCGCTGGCACACGTGGCTCTGTTTGTCACCAGGTTCAGCTACACAGACGAACTGCAGTCCTTCGTGGGAGCCGTTGTCATCGGCACCTACAATGTGGTGGTCGTCATTGTCCTGACCAAGCTGCTGGTGGCCATGTTGCACAAGAGCTTCCGGCTGATAGCTGTAAGTCAGGCCAACTCTGCACTCATCGGTTAAAATAATCCTCGCCCTATACTCGCATCCTAATCATCACTTATTGGTTAGAGGGGCTCGCGTATTGGTTAGAGGGGCTCGCCTCGCACCCGAGAGGACCCGGGTTCGATTCCCGGGCAGGGCAAAACGTTAGGCATGTTTCCTTAGACCATACGACTCTGTTTACCTAACAGTAAGCAGGAACCCGGTTGTTAAGCAATTGGCGGAGCACTTTCCGGGGGGTAATAATCCCTTCAAAAATAAAACAATAATAATTTGGTCATTCAATCCTGCTGTGGCGCAATTGGCTGGCCACAAGATATACAGTCAATTCACTTGCAGTGTATTCTGTGAAGCGCTTTGAGGTGCTATATCGAATGCATATTACACCAACGCACACTCTGGCGTCCCAAACCCTTGACTCTTGTCAATCTGCGCCTCATTACTCTCTGAAATTAGGTTATCAGAGTACGTCACGCCGAGAAGGGAGTGAGCGCATCTCATTCCAAACGTGGGAATTTCCATACATATGTGGACTCGATCTGGTTCGATACTCTTAAGTACAGTAATAGCTTTCCGTGTCTGCCGGACACCCAACTGACCAAAAGAAAATTATCATTCAGTTCTCGTGAATACGCTGGACTCCCTTTGCTGGGCTGGGCTGAATCTATGGTGGAAACTAACTAATTAAACTAACCACAATTTAAACACGCGTTTTCAACCCTACAGCCATTTTACAAAGTTTCTTTTAGCCTTTTTATTCACGTAGACATGTTGCGTAAGCACAAACGCCAGCCTGCTCCCAGACCTTTATCTGCAAACAGAAGCCCCATTTACATTGGGGACCTGAACCCAAGCCAGTATCTTGAGCTCAGGTGTCCCTGTCCATCCCAGCAGAGGTGCCCCAGTTTACACTGTGCAGCATTCTGTCAGCAGAACGACCGTCAACACATAAGGTTTGTGCTGAATCAGGTCAGATGAAATCTCCGAAACCAAACCGTTGAGGATGAGTATGTCTGTTTGTGTGTGTCTGTCTATCTGTCTGTGTTTCTCTGTTTGTGTGTGTGTCTGTGTATGTGTGACTGTCTGTCTGTATGTGAATGTGTGTGTGTCTGTGTGTGTGTGACTGTCTGTGTAGAATCATAGTTGCAGCATGGAAATGGTCCATTTGGCATATTAAATCTGTGCTGTTTTTCCACATGAGATAATCTGTTTCTAATTCCACCCAACTGCTCATTCCAGATGCCTTTTCACACTCCTCTTGAAGCATCCCTTTCCTTTTCCATTAGTGTATGAGCTTTGCTTTGACTTCAGTGTGCAGAGAATTCCATATTCCAACCAACATTTGTATTTGTAGATGTCTGTCTAAATGTATACAATAATTGTAGATATAAACAGCAACAACTTGCATGTATATAGCGCCCTCCACGAAGGGTAGTGTGTCAGAGCGCTTAGCTGTGGCAGAGTCCAACTCCGAGCCGTGGCTGTAAGCACGGTCGAAGAGGAGCTATGTGCATACACCTATATAGATACGTGGGCGCACATGTGTGTGAATGGATGTATGTGGAGATATATATTGCATGTCTGTGTAGATGCATAGTGTGTAGATGTATATAGCACATGCAGATGTAGTATACACGTGTACAGTATGTTGTATGTGTGTAGATGCATATAGTAGTATGTCTCTAGAGATACATAGTATTTCTAGATTGTGTTTGTGCATGTCTGCTGTGCAGATGTGTGTGCAGATGTGTGTGTGTGCAGATGTGTGTGTGTGCAGATGTGTGTGTTTGTGCAGATGTGTGTGTGTGTGCAGATGTGTGTGTGTGTGTGCGCGCGTGCAATTGGACCAAATTCCAGACCTTTCAAACGAACCCCTAGAAATGTCCTGTTTGAACTTAGTTGGATTCGCATGGCGATTTAATGCTCAACAAACCCAAAAATATTTATTGACGTATTTCTTGATATTCTTGATAAATATTTCTTGATTTCAGATAGTGAGCACAAACCACACAGCTCTGCTCTCAAAAAAAAAGCAAACTGCAGAATGAGAAAAAAGTTCATTAATAACCCACGACACCAATTCCTTCCAGCAGACAGTGTTTGATTTGTACAGGTATGGACTGTTCTCAGAGGAGAAAAAAAAACCCACAAGTAAAAGTTCCCAAAAGAGAAAATGTGAATTTTTCCTCCCCACTCCCCGACCTAAATAAAGTATAAAAAATTGGATCTCAGTCTCACATTCTTATGTGAATTACATAAGAATTTCCTTACACAGATGGCAACACTATTGTGCCAACAAGACTATAGGGTTCCTTAAAGTATTTGATACTACGTCTATGCTTACTCATGTCTGTAGCCTTCAGCCCCTTTCATAAACACATATTTGTGGTCACTGACATCACTTGAATTCCTCAATTGGACCACTGTCTTGGAGCTCACCAACAGCCACCCAGTATGCTAAGAAATGTACCCTGTGAGAACAAATAGATTACTGAGGCCGCTCTCTCTTCCCTCTCCAACCCACTGCCCCACCGCCCGCAATTACCGCATCTTGTTATCGGGAAGCCAAATGAAGGTGGTCATTTGCCTAAACACTTAGCCTCAGAATTGTGCACGTAAATAGGGATACATAAAAGAGAGAACATATATGGTTGAGTGATTTTGCAGGGGCACTATTTGGTCTGTCAGTATGATTTGCATAGGTATTCTGCAACTTGATTTTATTTACTTCTAAGAACCATGAGGACAAGGAGTGGAAGTTTGCACGTGCGAAGCTGTGGCTGAGCTATTTCGATGACAAGTCCACCTTGCCCCCACCTTTCAATATCATTCCCTCCCCGAAGACAATCTGTTATCTATTCACGAGCCTCAACAAGTGGATTTGTTCCCGCACCAGCGTCGGCAAGGTGAAAAGGCAAAACAGTCTCAAAGTAAGTAACTGTCAGGAAACATCATTATGAGGAATGCACGTAATTTCTCTTATGGGTGAAGCTTGTGAGCGAACCTGGTGATTTAGTGGATAAAAGCACTGTTCAATGTAGCACTGGGATGCAACCAGCAGATGAGAGGGCACACGCTTACATTGCTTGACTTGGGGAAGGGAGCAACAGGGACAGTGTAGTCGGAGGAGCTGGGAGGGAAGACGGAGCGAGGACATGGAGGGATTTGAATGCGTGAATGAGGATCTTGAACTTGATCCACTGAGGATTTGGGGGGATGGGGAGCCAGTGGAGTCCACCTTCCTATGGCTTCTTGTCTCATTTTGTGGGATATCGCTTGCGCAGAATTGGCTGCATTTCGGTACGTGACATTCGTCAAGACTCAGATAAGTGTCAATTTATTCAAATGCAAGTTAGCTAGATTTCTTTTAGAAAATAATATTTTGGGATACAGTATATGAGTAATTTGAGACATGACAAGTCGGAAAATCTAGGCAACTTTGGATCTAAGGTTCCCAAAGCTTTCCATTAATTTGTGGACTAATTCATACACAATTAATTGCTATCAACATCTTTATTATTTTAGCATGCGATGACCAGGATGGTAGAAGGGGAACTAGATGAACCTTGGTTTTGTGTGGAATGAGGCGCTATGTTTAAATGCCAGTCCCGTTACCTATTTAACGTTCCTTTCTCCCATGCAAAGGAATGGAGGAACCTGAAGCATAAACGTGATGAAAACTACCAGAAGGTGATGTGTTGCTTGGTTCATCGTTACCTGACCACCATGCGGCAGAAGATGCACAGCACAGACCAAGCGACGGAGGAGAACCTGGGGGAACTGCGGCAGGACCTCTCAAAGTTCCGCAACGAAATGAGAGACCTTCTGGGTTTCAGGACATCCAAATACGCCATGTTCTACCAACGCAACTGACCCGCAATGTGGCTTCAGCGTGTAGCACTCACCGCTTTCGAGTTCTTTAACTTGTAACGTAGCACTACATCAATTTCTGCACCAGTGATGTATAGCAACAGTATGAAGTATCCATTTTTTAATATATATATATAAAAAAACTTGTGAAAAAGCAGCAACACCAACAATTGTTATTTTACTGTCACTCTGTTTACTTTGGCTCATGCTTCCGCACTTGTTTTTTTTCCCCCCCCCACTTCAAACAACAAAAGAAAACTTTGGAACTTCTGACCCTTATACCCTCAAGCTATATTGTTTTATCAGTGGCTGAAAATTTGAAAAATGCAACCATTTGACACGTCGGAAGGTCAGTGAGTTAGATTGAAGTCAATGCCCTTATCTTGTGTACAATCTATATGTACACATGGTGTTCAGGTGTTTGATCCGTCAGTTGTCAGAATATTTCTGTTTACCTTCCATTAGTTAAGATCATTAAAGATTTTTCTTAAAAAAAAGGTGCATTCCTTCCTCTACATGAGATTTAGGGTGGAGCAGCAAAGGGAAGGGCAATGCTGACAAATAGAATGATTTTTCAGTTGCCTCATCCTTGTCGTCCCCCCACACCCTCTCCCCCCAATTCCAATCCACATCGAACTGTCACTGGCTTCACTGGCTCTCAATCCTCCAAAAGATTGAGTTCAAGATCCTTGTCCTCACCTCTAAAGCCTTACATGGTCTTACTCCTCCTAACCCCTGTGACCTATGAAAGCTTCACCAACCTGTCCACTCCCTCCTCTCTGACCTCCCAACATGAAAGGTGCTATATGAATGCAATTTGTTGTTGTTATCTAGATCAGGTATTAACTGGATTTGGTGCAGAATTGAGCTCTCTTTGTATTCGCCAGCAAATCTGCCTTGAGCCCTATAACCTCGAGAAGAGTTGTGAATTTTCCGCTCTGCTGGGTCTGGGATGGTAAAAGTGTTGGACAGCTCTGCCTTGCGATTCCACAGATGCAGGATTCAAAGAGGTTTAGGAGTTAGGACGTCAAACTGAAACCTGGCTCCACTCTTGAGGACCTGTTTTTCAGGATGTCTCAGTGATGAGTGTTGGACCAAATATTACTCCTGTCAAAGAATGTAGCAGCAATGTCTGGCGAGTGACACACAACTATCCTGAGGCAAGAGGGTAATTTGTTAGTACCTCGGCCAAAGCCAAACCGTTTGCTTTTACAAGATGTCAACTTCTGCTGAAATGTCCCCTGAAGCACATGCTGTTTTGTTTCAACAATCAAAGCCAGGACTTTTACATGCTTGTTCAGTACGGGAGTGATGTACTGTGTGTCGTTGTCTGTGGTGCATCTGTAAAAGCAAAGGCACTCGCTTTGAAATGTTGGTATGTGCTAATGGGAGAAAACATTTCATGTACATCAACGATGACGTCTAGCCCCGTCTTAATCCAGTCTCGGGGAAAACAAAGTGTGAAAATTTTCTCTGCATCCAGAAAGGTGATAATAATCTTTGCATTTGATATAGCGCTTTATCATGTCTTTGAGACGTCTAAAAGCCCTTTACACTAAGGTTAATTCAATGTTTATTTGGGGGGTGAAACGGGGCAAGCAGTTGCGCACAGCAGTGCTTCCTTTAGCAACGATTAGACAAGAGAGGGCTTTTCAGTCTTGAGAAAACACTTCTAAGAGGAGATTAATAGAGATGCATAAAATTTTGAATGAGATTGAAAAAGTAAACCCAGAACAATACTTTAGGATGAACCAAGACAGTCGAACAGGAAGACCAGGTTTAGAGTTGCCCAAGGCAATTTCAGAACACATACCAACAGTTGGCCCCTGAAATGCTGACTCTCCTACATACGTCAGTTCTAAATAAAACTTATTTTTATTAAGCAGCAGATATATTATTTGCAAAGAGTGACTCAGAAGAAACAATGAAAAGGAAAACACAATACCTGACCAATCATCACTTTTAAATTATTGCACTTAAGTCCTACATTATCCATCACAATATATATGTATGGAAGATCAAGGTAGGCTCAATCATAAGGCTCAATCATCTGTTGTCATTCTCATAAATAGACAGCTCCAACAAGGTATGGCTCCAAAGACTGACCATTCTTTCTGTCCAGATATGCTTCAAGTTCAGATTGTTTTCTGCTGGTGCGAGGACTAGAATAGCCATAGCAGACATCCAAACTCTTGAACACGTTTTTTGCTGTATACATTTCGTCAGCTTTTTATTTGAAGGCTTCTATTTACCTGTGGCAAGTCATCTATAGGTTGCATGTTTTGGCAGTCTGTGAAACGAAAAAAATATCTCCGGCACCATAAATATTGGAAGAAAATCGCTTCTGGTCAATATGTATTCAGCATCTCTTGTTCTTCAAGATGTTCAGGAACCTTTGGTTCCTTGACCTGTAGCTCATGACAAAGCTGTTCGGATACACTCTTCCTCTGCCTGATTCGTCCACTTGACCCATGAAGATGTAATTCAGTCCTGGAGACAAGAAAGAGATGAGCCATTTTAATAAGGTAAAGTCATTGAGTTAATGTACAACAGCAAATTATATTTGTATTGCGCTTTTCATGTTGGAGGACCTCATAAGGTGCTGGACAGTTAACCATTTGTACTCACGCTGGGAGTTGGGATCAGGAGGGGTGGAGAGCAGGGAGGGTAGGGGAAGGAGGGTGACCAAAGGCACTGTCGAAGTGGAAGATCGTGAGACTGGCCTTGAAGGAGGTAAGGGAGGGGTCGAGGCAAAGGGACGTTGGGATAGAGTTCCAAAGGGTGGGTGCAGCAGGCTGAAGGCTCGACCACCGATAAAATCAATGTACCCTGTTGACTTCATTTCAAACCACAAACACTCCACGTTACAGTATATCTGTGGAGCTCTTTGAGGGGCTCTATGAATGGTAAGGATTATTATTATTTCAGTTTGTTGGTAAGTTGTGAAAAATATCAGTTTTTTTGGCTATTCCGAAAAAAATGTATAGTTGGCCATTCCCAGTTCCTGGAAACTCTCCTCCAGACTTGGATTGTGTCGGAGCAGAGCTGAACCTGGAGAAGCATGCTGCACATCCAGTTACCGATTGGGGTTGCAATTTGTGACTTTGCCTCGTTGTTATGAATATCACCCTTTAAGGGTCACGAGGGGATGAGTTAAGGCTGCTGGCAACTAATTTGCTTCATTCCAGATTGATTTCCAAACTCAGCTTAATTGGAGAAAGCCTTGAGCAGGTACTACTACTAATAATCCTTGCATCATGTAGGGAGGACATCTCAAAGCGTTCCACAGAACAAACGGTAAAGGTTAGTGACTGTATTTTGAATGCAAAAGCCACAGCCAATTTGCATACAGTAATTTCAAACACAGAGCCATGGATTGAGGGACCAGTTTTCTTTGGGGGATTGTTGGTCAGGACACCGGGAGAAACAACCTCTCTTTTTGAACAGTGCCATAGGATCTTTAATGTGCCACTCCAACCGGCAGATGGGAGTTTAGTGTAATATCTCATCCGAAGGACAGTGCGTCCAACCATGTAGTACACCCCCAGCACTGCACTGATGTGTCAGTCAGGATTGTATGAGTCAAAGTACATTGAAACTTACCTGTGCTTTATACTCATGAGCTGCCCAGTTACTATCCTTTTTACTGAATGTATGAATCCTAAAAGAGAGGTTGGATTCTGGTTTGAGTTCTTTAGATTATGTGGATGATGGCTGATGGCAAAGAATGTCACCTAAAGGGGTCAGCTAACAGCAGGAATCTAAACAATGATTCAAAAGAGCCTTAAAAATGGCCAACTCACCTCGTTTGACAATTGGACATTTTCTGCAGACGGAGAGGATTTTGACACTCAAGTTCTTCCCTGCCTGTTGAATGGCCAGTGTCCCTTCTTTGTAAATGTTAAGAATGGAGACAGTTACATGCACACTGCTGTTCCGTGTGATAGCAGTTATAACTGTGCCAGATATCACTATAAGAAAGAGGAGAGATTATTAGTGACAGAAACTTAATGGCAAAGTTTTGCTTTCGGAATCATCTCGTGAATAAATGAACAGCATAAAATGGACTCTGAAATACAGAAATCTTTATTTCCATGTTCCTTTCTTTTTTAATTGTCAATCTGCCATCATGAGTGAAATAAACAGTAATTCATGATTTCCAACACACAATTAACCTTAACCTTTGAGTGCTAGTTTTTGATGAATGGGTAGAGTTTGGATACTAATTGTGGGCCACATGCTGGCTCCTTACACTTCACCCTTCATGGGCGTCAGCATTTGTGCTGTTTAAGGTCTGTTTTCTGTCTGTGAGATGCTAGAAATTGAGGGATCCCACGCTCTTCCCTCTACTCCTACTGTTCAATGAGCCAAGAAGAAAATGCTGCTAGGAAGCAAGGTTGTCCTACCGTCTGTAATCATCCTTGCATTTGATATAGCGCCTTTTTCTCTTTGACCGTGCCTTCAGCTCCCCTCTCGACTCTCTACCCCCTCCTCGCTCCCTCCCTTCCCTCCCCTCACCCTGACCATTTCCCCCCTCCTCGCTCCCTCCCTTCCCTCCCCTCACCCTGACCATTTCCCCCCTGCTCGGGTCATGACCCAACTGTGCAGCGCCTTGGGACGTCCTCCTGACGTGAAAGGCACTTTATAAATGGAATCTTGTTGTTGTTGTTGTATCACGTTGTTGAGACATCTCAAAGCACTTCACAGGACATACTGTAAAGTGAATTGACTGTATATTTTATGGGTGAAACGCGCAACCAATTTCGCACAGCAGTATCCTACGAACAGTCATGGATTGAGTGACCAAATTATTATTATTTAATTATTATTTTCTTTTGAAGGGATTATTACCTCTGGAATCAACTATCAACTGCTTTCCTACTTAATGCTAGGTAAACAGAGGAGTAAGGAAATTTGCCTAACGTTTTGCTTTGCCTGGGAATCGAACGTGGGTTTAATCCCTTCTCATTGGGAAATAGCTAGCCTTTAATTGGCACGCAACCGCCATTGCTAAATTGAAATCAAGAAAGCGGCAGCCATGAAATTGATCACTGAACCACAGTAAGTTGTAAGCACAGAAGGAGGTCATTATCCCATTGTGTCTGTACTGGTAACATTGGGCTAGACCTGGCAGACTATTATCTCCCCAGACCAGCTGGTGGTCTGAGCGTTAAGGATGTTATGAATTTAAGTTGAAATGTGCAAACTGGATTATACCAGAGTCTGCTTTTAAAACTGCTGTTTTTCACCATCCACACACTGTTCAAAGCAATCACAATGAGGAATGTTGTGCATATGACAAGTGTAGCATTGTGCCTGGGTTACGGGAACTGGCTGAATGTAACGAGGTGCCAAAATACAAGAACTGAATACTTTTCAATCATTGACAGTTTTGCAACCTGCATTAGGACTGTGGAACTGTATTTGTCTTTTGATACACAGTTTCTCTCTGTTTCTTCAGTAAAGTTTTCTATGAAGCCCTTGAGACCAATATACAAATGACTGAGTTGCAGGTAGCTTAGAGTGAAAAACACAGCCTCCTCCATCCATGGATGCATTGAACAAATGATGACTTATGTTACATAAGACCCTAGTGTACACGTGGCATGTTATGCCCTTTCAAAGGAAAAAGCCCAATCAATGTTTCTTACCAAAGTCACTCGCACAGAAATTGCTCCCAAGAGTGCCGGTCCTTTTGCACTTTCGTTGACATGGAGGTATTGTTGGCTTCACGGCTTAAAAATAGAACGCAGGCAGTGAAACCGTGCTCCCCAACAACTATTCACATTGATAGCACAATTTATAATCCTTCTTTCTACAACTAGGAAATTAACAAGAAATCTCTAAATACTATGGGAAATGCAATAATCTCTACTTTCACCTCTCCATTTCCCAAAGGTCTGCTTATTGATTTTTCTTTATATTCTTAACTCCCAAACTTGTGCTCCTCCAACATCTGCTCTGCTAAAGGAGCAGTGTATTTTTGAACTGCAATTCTTGGATAAGCCATTAAATCAAAGTCTTGTCTTCCTGTTTTGCTAGTTCACATGGAAGTGAAAAATACCAGGATAAAAAAAAGAGTAGGTAGTTCCCCCAATATATCAATATTATCTGTAGCCTTTTGATATCATCCTTCCAGAATGTCTAACCTGCCATCCGCCTATTAGAGCATGATGTTGTTTTTTTTGACTTAATTTACTTCTTGGCGGAAGTAAGAAATAAAAACTCTTGGTTAAACTGACTCATGAGGTGACGTGCCTGGTGTACACTAGTTTCCCTTAATCATGGATTGTTTGCAGATCAGGGCCTTGCAGAGATGTGCTAGGTAATGTGTAATTGAACATTTAAGCATGTATTTCATTGTCTGATTGCGATAATAATGCTTGCCTTTGATATAGCGCATTATCACATCATTGAGACTTTTCTCAGCATTTCACAGGATATACTGTAAAGTGGTGTGCGTTCACTGTGTATTTTGTGGGCAACTGTGTATTGTCATATTTAATTGACTGTGATATTAGCAGTGCATCAAAAGAAAGTCAACCAAAAAATGGTTACTAGCGGCGCCATTTCCTGTGTGCTATGTGCAGTAAGAGCTGCTGATATCACTTCCTTCAGAATGCGACAATCGTGGTGCTTCCTAACCAACGCACACATCAGGCTAGAAATGATGCCATCAGTGACCTGATGACCCAGGAGTCTTTTCGAGCCTGGTATTTTCTTTGGTGTGGAAAGTCGACTGGTCAGAGCAGGAAGCCGGGTAGATAACACTTCTGATCGACCTATGCACTATGCTAGGCATTGTTCTATTGAAAGACGCTATAAAGGGACCCCCCCTACATTAGAATTATTTAAAACACCTACTTGTAGCTATTGTAGTTGTGACCGGTGCAATCGTTGTCCTGAGCGACTTTTTCGATCGGAATTTGTAATGAGCCAGAAAGCCGTCGGCCGTCACGCTTAAATCTGACAGGAATTGCACAAAAATTTCGTTTTCCTGAGACAGAACTGGCCTGTTCCACAGCGAGGATCATGAGGAAATGGAAGAGATCATTACATAAAGTTCCAAACTGATGAGAACGCTGCTAACAATGAGCCGGCTGGATTAGCAAGAGTGAATTAACGCACCGATTTCAGCATGATAGAAAAGCAAATTGTGAAACAAACTGAAAATAATCACATCACAGGATCTCAAGCAGGTACAGATGAAGAATACCCTTTGACACATTTGGTCTCGAACGTCCAGAACATGTACCTTACCTCCTATGACACACCAAGCTATTTCTTAAATGCTCACCGTACTGTCTTCCCTGGCCTGTACCATCCTTCCTCACAACCATTCTATCTAACCACCCTCTTTTTGATGTCTGCCCTAAAATTGGTCTTTGCATCTGTGAACCTGTGCCCAACTGCTCTCCTGACTAGGGAATACCTGAAAGAATTGTTCTTGTTTTTCTTTCCCTTTCGGTTAAGATCTGGCACTGTGGTGAAGCATTCCCAGTCATCGCTGGTTCAAGGCAAGAGGATACCAGGTACTGCCTCACTGAGGAGGAAAGCCTGCGAGAGGTGGGAACAGGGAATTTTTCACACCTGTCTGGCGTGTGACACATATCTGGGAGATGGTGGCTCATCTACCTTGGCTGCAGGAGATCTGCAGCCCAGGCGGCATCACATTTTCCTTGACATTGCTTACCCTCATAGAAGACACACTGGTAATGCTCTCCCTTCGTTGATGTGGGAAAAGAATGAACAGGGACGGCCACTGGGGACAATACTGTATAAAGGAAGAAAGCGAGAAAGTAAGAGGTCCTCAGAAACTTAGATTGTGGGTATAACAATCCAGAAAGATCCTGGTGGTGCTGTAGAGAAATGATTCTTGTGTTCCATGATGTATGTATCATTCCTGTCCTGGTAACTGGTAACTTGTCTTTCACAGCCATTTCTCCCCAACTCCAACTCATTTTGAGTTGTTGAGATGGGACGCTTGACTTTTCACTCCCATTACTCTCTTGAGTTCAGGTGTAGCACAGGTGAGGTGCAGTAATGGTCTTTCAACGGTGTGACTTTCATAGTGAGTCTGGCTCTCAAATCTCTTCTGGTCCTGCTCAGCTGTGGGTTATTATGGCTGTGGACTCAACATCTGTCGCATTGCACTGCCTTTAACAGAGCAATTTGTTCCTCGTCACGTTTCCACCATAATCAATGAAGTTTGCAGTGAGCCAGCCCTTTCATAGCTACAGCAGTGTCCTCAGCAAGCACTCACCTTACTGTTGGTGAAGGGTTTTTGGGAGTTCTTGCGATTGGCTTGAGCAGTAAAACCACTGCCTGGAGTAAAAGGTTTGAGGTTCTGGTCTGTGCTCAATTTACTCACCTCAGACTAATTCTAAACAGGAAAATTGGCTGCAGTTTCTGATCCTAATCACTGTCCAGGTACCTACTCCTGGGAAGATGGATACTGGGTAAGAACACGGCCATTTACTCTGTCCTTTCAGCCAAGCCGTGCGACTCAGGAAGACCAAAGGGAATTGTAGAGAAATAAAGTTTGTAGGCAACTTACGCTGGAGAGCTGTCTCCGCAATACTTCCCGATCCGCTTCGCATCATTTGTTTCACCCCCGTTGAATATGGAGACGTGGTCATAGCGGCAGTAGTTGTCTCTTTCAACATCAAATTTCTCGAATTTTAACTCAATTATCTGTTCAAAGAAAGGAAAGTGGTGAATAGCCAATATTTACTGTGAGACTCGACATGTTATTTTTCCCTGTGTTCTTTAGATCAAGCAGTGATATGTCATGAGGGAGTTTATCATGCCTGATCGTTAACACTGGATTTTCCATTATGAGCATGTAACACGAAGGTCACCAGTTTGGTACATGAGAGTCCCCTGCGTTTAGATGTTCTGGACATGTGTAATGTGTGATCATAGAGCAAAGCCAGGTTCTTCCCAAAGGGAATGAGAAAAGAACCCTACAGAGAGATGAGTCACTGCATAAGCATCTCCATCAGAATGATATTGGATAATAATACTGACTGCACACTCTGCCAGAGTGGACAGCAAGGATGGGGAGGAGAAATAAATTCAGATAAGGTTAATTAATTTTTTGGTGCAATGTTTTCACCCTGTTATCTACTTTGCCTCCTCAAGTACCAACTCCAGTCTGCCGATATTCTATCAGCTTGTCTGGCAGACATCAAGGACTGGATGAGTGTAAATTTCCTGCAGCAGAATATGGACAAGACGGAAGCCATACTCCTTGGCTCCCATCAACATCTTCACTCCTGCGGATCTAAACTCCTCAACCTCCCTGGGCTCTCCCTCAGACTCACTGAACCAATGTGCAACCTAGGCGTCCGGTTTGACCCCCAACTGTCCTTCCTCCCCCACATCCATCTGGTCCCTGACGAGGACTGTTTTCTTCCACCTCCGTCACATTGCCCGCTTCCGACTGTACCTTAATCCAAATGTAGCCAAAACCCTTGTGGCATGTGTTTGTCACCTCCCGCTTGGATTACTCCAACGCATGTCTCCCCAGCTCCACAATTCACAATATCCAGCTCATTCAAACTTCTGCTGCCCACATACTGACCTGGACCAAACTCTGTACCCACATCTCACCAGTTCTGGCCAGGCTCCATTGGATCGATTTCAAGATCCTCACGCTCGTGTTCAAATCCATTCACACCCTGGCACCTTCCTACTTCCCCAACCTCCTCACTCCCCAATCCACCACCCATCGCCTCCGCTCGACTGGCACCAGCCTCCTGCTCATCCCTCGCGCCCTCTGCTCCACCATTGGAGTTCACGCTTTCAGCCACTACACCCAAAACTTTGGCACACTCTCCTTCAATCCCTCTGCCTTGCCCCTTCTCTCCCCACTTTCAAGTCCCGCCTGAAGATTTTCCTGTTCGACCATGCTTACGGCCACCTCCCCTTCTCCCCCGGCTCGGAGTCAGGCTCGGCCACTGTTAAGCGCTCTGAGACGCTACCCTGCGTGGAGGGTGCTATATAAGTGCAAGTTGTTGTTGTTGTTATGTCAGAAGCTTCTACCAATAACCATTTGCAATGTGGTAAGAACCTTTTTCATGTTACCTGGTTTTTGGGAGCCACGATGTGCCATGAGCAGGAGACTCCGGCTGGATAGTCGTGATCGGGCCAGTTGGGCGTTTTGAAGGATCCGGGGGATTTCTGCAGCCTCCCACCACAAAACTGATCATCTGTTAAAGCCAGGTATTGAATGAAAACATTACAATTCAATATGTATCCAATAATAATCATCTCAATCATGCATCATATTAATTCATAACACCCAAAGTAAATACACCATTTATTGAACCAATTTCAAGAAAGTAACGGTATCATTGTGCCAATATTTGACTTTTTTTGTGTCTCGGTTTTCTCTTATCAGTTATTTTTCCTTCCCATTCTCATGGTGTTTTTCAGCCCTTATTTTCTTCTGCAAGAGTACAGTCCCACTGCACTGGTTGCTTTCTGCTACCTTGTTCTGTGGCCTTTGTTACATGTGAGCCTTCACAGTGACTGTTAGCAAGTAGGGTTGGGGCGAGGGTTGGGTGGAATGGAGGGCATCACAATTGAGCCGAATCTTGTCCACACATGGACAGCTCCAGTAATGATTCCTGCAGAGCTACCAGGAGATGGAATTGCTGGTGGGAGAAGTGGGATTAAGTGGGGACTCCTTGAGGCTGAGCTAGCTCCAAGGTGATATACTTGGCAATGGAAGATTGGAATCGAGTCACGGTACTGAGCCAGGCAGGTCCACAGAACTCTATTGGCGCTGCTGAAGACAGACCAGCTAGCTTGGCACGTTGGTAGAGCTTGGAGAGGTAAACTGGTCAATGGGGACGCAGATTTTTCCCACTCGGCTCCTATTAATTCTGCAAGCCAAAGCCTAGCCAGTAAAGTGGTCCTAAGCTGGACAAGCAACGTGAAGCTTGGCGCACATTACTCTCAATGGCAAGCTGTGCCGTTTCAGCTGGTTAGACTTCAGCAGTTACCCCAGTGAGTGTACACACTCCCTCCACCCCCCTTCCCCACCCCCCGAAACCTTCCCAACATGCACCTAATATTCCCTGGAATTAGGTAAGCAGGGTGCATCCCTCCAGGGAGAGAGTGCACATTCCAACCCAGAACCTGGGAAATTTTCATGCATAAGCAACATGCATGTGTGGAACTCTGTCTGGTTTGGATACTCTTAAGCACAGAGATGGGTTTCCACTTGTGTCGACCACCAGGCTGACTAAAATGTAAATTTAATATATTTTGTGTTAGGTTCCTAAAGAAAGCTCAAGGCACTAACAATTTATCAACTTTTTAAATTTAAAAAAAAATATTAACTTTTTAAACAATCGAGGATTGAGTGACCACATTTTTTAAATCACCTGCCAGGGGTAATAATTCCTCCCAAAAAATAATAATTTTGTCACTCAATCCACGACTATCTGTGGGACCCTGCTGTGTGCAATTTGACTGCCACGTTTCACCCACAAAATATACAGTCGATTCACTTTGCATGTTATTCTGTGAAAATAATATATTATTATATTATAATATATATTATGCAGTATATTCTGTGATAAGGTGCTATATCAAATGCAAGGGTTATTATTATGATTATTATAACTTACTGAGGTAACATTAAAAAAAACTCTTGTGATATCTAACTTCTAGTATAAGTGGATTTGTATCATCTGCAGAATGAAAAGCAGGGTTGCATGTTTCCACTTACTGAAGGCAGCCTTTTATCACCAGACGGTGATGGCTGAAAGGACTGGAAATCTAAAAGTTCTTTCTACTTTAGCTTTAAATGTTTTACCATCTGAGTGCAATTGAGCCTCCGCCTTACGGACAATTCCTTCTCTGTTTACTGACTGGCAGAAACCTGTCCTGAATGAGACAACCTAATTAAGTGCCTTTGAGATGATGTTTTTAAGAGGTTTTTCCCCCAATTAGTGTTTTAGTCAACAGTATGACAGTCTAATGTCAAAAAAGTTGCTAATGATCTCACCAAAGTAGTTATGACTGCTTTCAATAAGTGGAAAACGTCCGCTTTGAAAATTTACTGTGTAGATGAAATGAAAAACAAAATTAGTTCTAAAGGCTGGCTAAAGGAGGAGTGGCAGATGGATTTTTAACTGTACATAAATGTAAGGCAATGAACATTGAAACCAGAAACATAAACATGCACACAACAAAGAAATGCCCACAAGCAGAGGTGGAGAAGGGAAAGGATTTTGCTGTGATTATTCACAATATCAAATGCAAGGATTCTTCTTCTTAATAATATATGATCTGACAGTATGCACTGACCCTGTGTAAATCACAGGTGAGGTTATATTTACAACACTGAACAATTTCAAACTCCTGAATTCAAGAAAGATATTGAATTATGGAGGGATGCTGGCAGAGCTGAGGTTACTTTTGTTAGAAACAAGATTGCGAGATGCACCATGAAACTCATCTTTAGATGTTTAAACCTGCTTAATTTTATTGCTAAAACAGTGCTAAAAAGATTACTACCTTTAGTATCTTTTACCTTTCAAGTTGAAGATGGTTATATCCTGATTAGTATGTAAATCACAAATGAGGCCACATTGTGGAGTCCTGTAGCTCAGTGGTTAGTGCACTCACCTTGCAAGCGAGAGACCTGAGTTCAATTCCAGGCAGGGCGAAACCTTGGGCAAGTTTCCTAACTCCACACGCCTAATAATAATCTCTCCAAAACCAAAAACAATAATAATTTGGTCATTTTCAATCTACGACTGTTTGTGGGACATTGCTGTGCGCAATTGGCTGCCGCGTTCGCCCACAAATATACAGTCAATTCACTTTACAGTGTGTTCTGTGAAGCGCTCTGGGACGTCCTCCTGACGTGAAAAGCGCTATATCAAATGCAAGGATTATTATTATTATTATTATTTGTAGCACTGTCTGAAGTTTTCAGGTGCCTACTTTCGAAAGGACACTGAGACATGGAAAACTTTTCGACCCCCTTAACTTTTTGACAAGTTAATCGATCTGCAATTTAAAATAAACTTTGTACCTGTTTCTCCCCTACCCTGATGATGAGAATAAAGTGTAAGATGTATTTATTTTGGTGTCACTGGCTGCAGTATCTCTTCTGTGGCTGCAGAACGTTGAGGTGCAATTAAAGTAAACAGCGTTGTAACGGTTGGGGCCTCAGTCTCACCTCACAGTTTGTGCGTCCCAAACATTTACATTTCTGTGTTTGGTCTGTGATTTGTAAAAGAGTGTCGGAAAACACCATGTGAAAGTGAAGCTGTGAAGCCCATCAGGTCTCGGTTAATTTTGTTGCTGCTTCACAGAATAGTGCATCCGCTGTCCTGTCTGTCAGATCATCAAATTTTTATACCTGGTCTCAGGTAGATCAGGAGACTATACTATGATGAAGTACGTAAACAAGCAAGTGGGAATCAATCCAAAGACTAGAACCTTGTGCAAATAGTTGTATTCAATTCCATACCATAAACGTTTTGAAAAAAATAATTTGATTACTCAATCCACGACTGTTTGTGGGACATTGCTGTGTGCAATATACTGCCGCGTTTCGCCCACAAACCACAGTCAATTCACCTTACAATATATATTGTGATGCCCCTTGAGGACGTCTCGACACGTGATAAGGCGCTATATCAAATGCAAGGATTATTATTACCATCCTGTGATGGATGGTAGAAATCCCATCCGCGATGATGCTGGAAGGTAAGGTTGGCGTTGAACTCTCAGGGTGTGGAACCGAATGAAAGAAGCATTGGGTAGGAAGGTACCAAGTGAGGTGTTTGAGGTAGATTTTGTCAGCGAATTAAAGAGGGAATTGGATAACTATTAAGCAAAGGAATGGATTGAGGAGTATGAGAGATGAGAGGTGAGGGATGAAAGGTTTGGGATTATTTTATTGGGACTAGCCAGAAAGACGCCAATGGTCTTGCCCGTTCCTGTACTTCATCGAGGATACATCGCAGAGCACTTTATATTTCTGGCTTTTCTACTTTCTCCACAGATTTAAAAATTATCATTCTGCCCGTGAGAATTAAATGAATTTACTTCTCTGATTTGGCCGAGATGCGGTATACATTGCAACAAAACCATTTCCGGCCGTATTGGCATCCGATACCATCTGCACCATCATCTTGTTGCCAGTGGAGACAATGGTTCCAGGTTTGGTGGTGCCGCAAAACCTGCCCAGCCGCTGACCGTTGGCAATCCCGTTGTAGACATCCACGTAATCATACCGACAGAGAGTGTCGCTTTCTAGGTCAATGTAACGGAAGGAGAGAGCCACGATCCGGCCCTGGGGAACCTGTGGAGAAGATTGAGAATTGCTGTCAAGTCAAATGTTCATCTCAAATGTTCATCTTGCTCTCCATCTCACGCACTCACTGCACTAATACAGTGCAGGTAGGACCAGATGAATATTCTGCTTGCATTTATTAGTGAAGGATCCTCATTTTTGACGCTCCTTTCAAGTCGTCAGTTTCTGTTTTTAGTTTTTCACACAAAGGTAACGGAAATCTGGAACTCAAGAGGCTGTGGATGCTGGATGAATTTAAAAATTTTTAAGACTGAGGACAATAGATTTTTGTTAGGTCAGGGTATCAAGGGATATGGAGCAATGGCGGGTAAATGGAGATGAGGTACAGATCAGCCGTGATCTAATAGAATGGCAGAACAGATTCGAGGGGCTGAATGGCCTACTCTTGTTCCTGTGTTCCTACCGTTCTAGTGGGTGTTTCTGCACTCATGCTTGTTTCATCTCCCTACAGGCTGCTTTGCTGCTCTCTCTCCTTCTTTGGACAGTGATGTGTAACTGGGTGAACTGGAAAAACGTGGGAGGCTAAAACGGGTGATTGGAAAGGTAGAACTAAAAAAAGACCTTTCTTGACTTAGTCGACTAAATGAAGCCTACTGTCTAAAGGCAAACAGTGGCTGCTTTCAAATGAGCTGTGTCTGGGTTTGTGTTATATAATCCTGCGCATATTGGGGACCATTCGGTTAGTAGTTAAGGCTGGATGATGGCATAGTCACTGATATCTCTCTTGCACCCTCCCTCTCGCACCCTGTGTGTATTTATTTATTTGTGTGTGTGTGTGTCTCTCTCTCTCACACCCTGTTTCTCTCTTGCACCCCCCCCCCCCTCTCTCTCTCTCGCACCTTGTGTGTCTTTGTGTCTCTCTCCCTCTCACACCCTTTCTCTTTCTCTCAGACTCAATCTAGATGCTCCAGTGGCTCATTCAATGGAGTCCTTTAGCTCAGTGGTTAGAATGCTGGGTTTGTTCCCTGCAGGGTGAATCCTTGGGCAAGTTTCCTTCCTCCACATGCCTGATGCTCCTCAAGAAAAAAAACAATAATAAATTGGTCACTGCAATCAACGACTGTTTATGGGATACTGCTGTGCGTAATTGGCTGCCGCATTTTGCCCACAAATATACAGTCAATTCACTTTACAGTGTATTCGGTGAAGTGCTTTGAGAGTCCAGAAGACATGAAAAGCACTGTATCAAATGCAAGGATTATTATTATATGACTTGAGTTTTTCATTAGAGCTGTGAAGGTTGAGGGGTGCCTGATAGAGGGATTCAAAATTATGAAGGGTGAGGATAATGTGAATAGTTATGCATTATTTCCACTAGTTGGGGCGTGGATATTGAGAGGGCACAAATTTGAGATATTCACAAAAAGAATGAGGCGGAGAGTGAAATTAAATTGGCATATTCCACCGGACTCAGTTACACCTATTTCATTAGAAATTCAAAATTTGGTGTGAGATTAAAAATTGCAGAATTTTGTACTTAATGACAGAATGGGTTTGTTGAATTCACTGCCACCACAAAATATGATAGAATGCATTGTCATTCCTCTCAATCTAACACACAGGTAATTTATCATACATTATTATAAATAATAATAATCCTTGTATTTGATATTCTGCTTTTCATGTCAGGAGGACATACCTATACTAAATGCAAGGATTATTATTATTATTATAGCACTTCACAGGGTTTACTGTGAAACGTAGTGACTGTGTGCTTATAGGCGAATGCGGCAGCCTAAAGGTGCACATTAGTGCCCCATAAACAGCCTCTGAAACGAGCCATAAGTTCAAGACACCAAGTGAAAGTCAGGTGTCTACTCTCAAGGAGGGAAAGTGAATTGATGGGGACGTCACCCTGGACAATTGTAGGATTTATCCCAGCAATCGAGTGATATTGGCAGAAAATGAGGAACAATCTCCCTCAAGCTCTATACGGTTTAAGAATAGTGCATGGTGATATAGGAAACAAACTTTGGGGAATAGACATCATAAATGTAGATGGGGTGTAAATAAATGTGAACACTCCACATATGTATTAGAGCACAACAGACAGCCAATGTCAACAGGCTGGAGTTTGAGGAAAGATTGTTCGTGTTCCAGAGTTTCGGGGCGTAGTGACTGAAAGTGCGACCTCCAGTGATGGGGCGGAGTGTGCAAGGGATGAGCAGAAGGCCGGTGCCAGTTGAGGGGAGATGCTGGGTAGTGGATTGGGGAATGAGGAGGTCGGAGAGTGAAAGGATTTGAATGAGAGTGTGAGGATCTTGAAGTTGATCCGTTCGGTGATGGGGAGCCAGTGGAGCCTGGCCAGAACTGGTGAGATGTGGGTACAGAGTTTAGTCCGGGTCAGTATGCAGGCGGCAGAGTTCTGAATGAGCTGGATCTTTTGAAAATTGGAGCTGGGGAGACCAATGAGGAGTGCTTTTGAGTAATCCAGGCAAGAGGTGATAAACGCATGCACAAGGGTTTCGGCTGCATTTGGGCTAACGTACGGTCGGAGGCGGGCAATGTAGCAGAGATGGAAGAAGACAATCCTGGTCGGGGACTGGGTGTGGGGGAGGAAGGACAGCTGAGGATCAAACCGGTTGTCCAGATGGTGCACTGATTCGGTGAGCGTGAAGGAGAGCCCAGGGAAGTTGAGGAGTTCAGATCCACAGGAATGAAGACATTGACGGGAGCCAAAGAATATGGCTTCCACCTTGTCCACATTCAGCTGCAGGAAGTTTCCACTCATCCAGGCTCTGACGTTTGCCAGACATCTCTTACAATCTCTTAAAACTTATTTTCCTGGAAGGTTGTCAAACCCTGCTTCCTTTCCCAGCTGCCGGGCAATGGCAAGAGTCAGGATTTAGATTCAAACATGTATTTTTTCTGGGGGGAGGAGAAAGTGGCTTTGGACCGCAGATAAGATCTGGGTATTTCCAAGAAAAGGTGGACTGAAGGAGGTTGCTTATTACCGAGTCAGTGAACAACTAAATGGAACTGCCTCAGCACATGTTTATGAGCAAATAGAAAAGGAAATAGACTATAAATGTACATAACAAATATTTATCCCAGACACCCTATATTTGATCCTGATTCTGAGCAAATGTTCTCCCCCACCCCCTTTAAATCAAATAATAATTCTTGCATTTGATATAGCGCCTTAACATGTTGTTGAGGCATCTCAAAGCGCTACACAGAATACATTGTAAAGTGTATTGACTGTATTTTTTGGCAAAAAAGATCCCAAAGCTCCCATCAACACATTAATTGCAGACACATTTCTTCCAATATATATTGGCTCTGTTTCTATGATTTTCTCAACGGACGATGGCTTTTAGTCAGAAAATTTAGAGATTTTCCACAATAACCTCTTGCCTGTGAGGCAGGAGTTTATGGTTTCAAATCCCATGTTGGGACTTTCAGTTCATAGTCGGGGGGATGGGGCACTCAAGTGCTATCCTAGGGGAGCGCTGCTTTGCTGCAGGTACCATCCTCAGATGAGATGTTAAACCAAGATGCCAACTGCTTGTTCAGGTGGATGTTAAAGCTCCCACAGAGCTATTTGAAAAGAAAAGGGAGTTTCTCACAGTGTCCTGCTCACCGTTCCCCCAAATAAAATTGATTGCTTACTCCATGGCTGTTTGTGGGACACATTTGCCTACAAAAATACACAGTCAACTTTACTGTAAGACCCCATGAAGCGTTTTGAGAGGTCTTGATGCCATGTGATATGGCACTATAGCAAAATGCAAAGATTATTATTATTTTCTCATGTTACTAAGTCTGGCTTCATGTATCTTTCCCATACATACCGTGATTTTCCAAGTGCATTTGGTGTTTGGTGGGTAGAGTGCTGGGAAACCCTCGCTACCAATATAACCAGACTCTCCTGATAGAATTCCTCCGCATTTAAAGTTCCTGAGTACAAAAAAAAGGACAGACTTAGAGAAAAACATATTCAGCCTGATGCTGTAGCATAGTAGTTAGAACACGTGCCTTGCAAGCAAATCTTAGGCAAGTTTCCTTACTCCACACACCTCAGTTTATCTAGCAGTAAGTAGGAACTTTTAGTCAATTGGCAGATTGCTTTCTGGTGGTAATAATCAATCCACGACTGTTTGTGGGACGCTGCTGTGAGCAATTGGCATGTTGCTGCGATTTTCCCACAAAATATACAACTTTACAGTATATTCTGTGAAGTGCTTTGAGACATTTTAACAACATGATCAAGTGCTATATCAAATACAAAGATTATCATTATTATCTCTACTACTGCAGTATATGATAAAGAATGGCCAAACCAAATCATTGGTCTTGGATAGTTATGACAAAATTGTGATCTGATAAGGAGGAAGAGATCTGCTCAGGATATAATTAATTGCAGGGTTTAAATTATATTTATATATTTCGCCCACAAAATGTACAATCAATTCACTCTGCAGTATATTCTGCGAAGCAGAACTTTGAGACCTTTCCACAACGTGATTAAGGTGCTATATTCAAATGCAAGGATCATTATTATTATAATGTCCCCATAATTTGATCCTCCACATGTTAGATTACTGGCTTGCAATCATTCCCTGTATCTAGTTAGTTAACCAATGCAGTTCAATCCCCTGTATTATTCCTTGGGTTAGTTTGGTGTCAGCAGTCAGTGCTCTCTGCTTAGTTGAATATTCAACGATCAGCACGTAATATGGCAGCAATTGATAAATAAACAAGGATTAATCTGCTTCTAATTTCAGGAAATCCAAGCCCTGGAATAGACAGTGTCCCAGAGAGTGAGGCAATAAGATAGATACACACTGTGTACAGTCAGTCAGTCAATCAGCTCTGAAAGTTAGTCTATGGTGAAGGATTAGAGATTATCTCTGTTCTGAACATTAACACAGAGTGATTATCATTTCATTGTAACCCACTGGCTTCAGACTTTTTGCAGTCCTTACTTGACCTTAACAACATTGCATTTTTTTTTTCTTTTTAAGCATTTTCTTCCATCCAGTCACATACTTAACCTTTAAAGTTAAACATATGACTTGCCCCCTCCTCAAAAAAAAGTTGATCTTAAATCATTATCCAGTAGATTTGAGTCAGATTAACGTGCAGGGCGAGGAGTGGGACAAACCAGTGCTCTTGAAACCTTTTAAAGCTCTTAAGATTTTCCGACCAAATCAAACCAAGACAACTAACATTTGATCCATGGCTTTGCCCGACGTTAAGACTGAGCCTGGAGTTCCAATGCAACCAACCCCCCCACCCCCCCCCCATCCCCATCCCCCCACCCCCACCCCCATCCTCCCCCCCCCCCTTCCTCACAGGAAAAAGTTAGCAAACAGTGTGCAAACAGTTTGCAAAAAATGTTCATTAGCTTAAAAAAAACTGGTTGACAAACTTCTCTGACTTCTGGTTCATAGCCTTATCTGAGACAGTTGACACGAGATGCACAGACCTCAGTCACCCCCACCAAACCCCCCCCTCCACCCCTCACTTCTCAACACCGGAAAAAAAGTTAGCAAAATCGTTGACAGACTTGTTAGAGCAGTTTTTTTTTTTGTGTGTGTGTGTGTGTGTGTGTGCATTGCATTACCTTCTCTGGGGCAGTTGACACGAGATGAGAGAGACGCACAGGAGCCCGAGGTAAGAGTGAGCCACGGTTTTCATTGTGATCAGATCAGATCAGCTCAGCTCAGCTCAGATGGGAAGAGCAGGGGATCTGGGAGGGGGTCTGGGTTTAGCTCAGTCTCTCGCTCGCTGCCTGTGCAAAAAAAAGAGAAGAAATTCCAAATCGTTGTGTGCACAGCCCCTCTGTGTGTCCCTGAAGGATGGCTCTGGGCAGCCCGCACATGAATATCGCGTTTGTTCAGTCGGGGGAGGGAGGGAGGGAAGGAGGGAGAGAAGGAGGGAAGAGAGAGAGAGAGAAGGAGGAGGGAAGGAAAGAGAGCTCCCTTCACCTCACCCCCCCCCTCCAAAAAAAAAACCTTTGCAAATCACTGGGTGTGAGTGTGTCTCAGGTTTGCACTGAAGCCTCCTGTTGCACACAGACATTATAATGCATTATAATTCTCAGTGGGAGAGTAACACAGGGGCTGGTGGGGGGCTGTTGGGTTTCGAGAATGGAAAAAAAATGTATTGATGATACCTACTCCTTTTTAAAAAGACAAGAAATACTGTTATTAGTCTCAACGTTATTGGTCTGCAATAGGATTGCCAGCCAGCAACCACCTACCCTACTCCCCCACACCCAATTTCTGCAGCTCACCTGTGAAAACCCACCACTGTTTGTATTGTCAAGAGGACGATAAGGTGGAAAGAAATAACACCGTAAGATGGCAACGCGACTTCCAAATCTAATCATGGAAGGAAAAGTTAGCATCGGCGAAGAGCGTGAGTTAGTCCTCAGTGTATATGAGCCTGAGACCAGAGGGGCTCAGTTGAATATCCCAAGTTCAGTAATAAACCAGCACACAGCACTGTCCATGATGGGATGTTGATTCCCATCAGTGATTGCATCCATCCCATCACCTGTGTCCTCTTCATCCACCCTTGCCTCCCCCACCCCACCGCCCTTTTCTCTAACTCTCTTTCCCAATCCCTTCACCTCGCTCCTTCAAAATAATTACTCATAAAGTGAGTTCCTAATCTGGGAGAGGTACTGAGAAACAGGGTGATCAGAGCAGAGTGTTATTGTGGCCACTGACATGACAGAATTCACAAGCTCTGGATGGAGACTGCCTTCCATCTGTGTGGACAACCAACAACTTCCATTCATAAAGCGCCCCTCACGCAGGGTAGAGTCCCAGAGGGCTCCACTGTGGACTGCACTGTGGTGCAAGGTATGGGGCGAAGAAAATAATACCTGCCTTACAACCAAAAATAACCTAAGGATAAAAGTAAGGACCTCTGAAGCAGAAATTTTCAATTCCCATTCTGATTCCCCACAAGGTTCAGATGTGTGTTTGTACAGCATGAGCTCCCCCTTCAGGCTTCCACTTGCATTACCGAATCACCCCAACCGTACTTTAAAGTAGGGGAGCCACTGGATTTGTCCAATAGTATCAAGAGAACGTTGTCACCTCCTTTGGCTATTTTATTTGGGCGCCCATTCTCCAGATGCTTCCATGGTCCACGTGGAACTATGTCTGGTCCGGATACTCTTAAGCACGGTGCCGCTGCTGATGGTGGGGCAGAGAGAGCAGAGGCCATTTGTACGTCAGTGTCGGCCAAGCCAAAGGAACGGCTGGGTTAGTATGAGTGAAGGTGGGTGCAGAGGTAGGGCAGGGAGAAACCATGGAGGGATTTAACAGGGAGAACGCAGCTCTTGAAGTTGATACATCAAGATATAACCTGATAAAGTGTCTCACATGGCACCTTAGCTCTTTATCCTGCCGTTCTGCAGGCCAGACATGTAAAGGGTTGACACACTTTCACAAGTGTCAATCCTGGATTGAGGGGACGTGCGGGGGATGGTTGGGGTAAGGAGACACTAAAATTGGACAACATGTCATGTTCCACAACTACAGGACTGATTATTCTTCACTGTAATACAATTTGTAACATGTTTTACATTTGCTCTAATCAGCGGGTGGTCACAATAATAATTACATTAACAGAATTTTTACTTTTTACTGAGTGCAACTTTCAGGTTAATCAGCACCGGGCAAGCCAGCATTGACATGGATATCTTAAGGAAATGAGGACCCAATGGGAAAGGAGAGCACTAGCCTGTGCCAATACATTCCCTAATGCAAAAAAGTAGGATTTCAGTCTGAAATGTTAATTGTTTAATGTACTGAGGAGGAAAAAAGAACTGAACTCAAAAGTGAAGAAAAATGTTTAACGTGATTAGGTGCCAGATCAAATGCAAGGATTATTATTATTATTATTACTGTTATAAGATTGAATGAAAGAAAGAGCAGGATAAAAGTAGAAAATGGCTGCTTTAAAAGAAACGTGCTATTTTTATTTATTTGGGTTTCCTTGTCTCTCACGGCTGAGTCCATGCTGCCCTCACCCACCACCAGGCTGAGTATCTTGGGAATTGTTGGCTGGACAACGAACAGGAGCAGGATGGTTGGCTAATTTTCCTCTCTCCATCCTGAGGGCTGAAAGCAATTGTATTGCTCCCACTGTACTGATCGGCACAGGTTAGGATTGAACATGGAACAACTGCACTAGCAGTGGGTTTACCAGCTGAACAAGTGGAAGACTCATGGAGTCCCATAGCATGGTGGTTAGGGCACTCGCCTCGCAAGCGAGAGGACCCGGATTCGATTCCAGGTCAGGGGGAAACCTTAGGCAAGTTTCTTTACTCCACACACCTCTGTTTGCCTAGCAGTAAGCAGGAACCCAGTTGTTAATTGATTGGCAGATTGCTTTCCATGGGCAATAATCCCTCAAAAAAAATTGGGTCACTCAATCCACAACTATTTGTGGCACACTGCTGTGTACAATTGGCTGCTGTGTTTCACCCACAAAATACACAGTCAATGCACTTTACAATATAGTCTGTGAAGTGCTTTGCGATGTCTCAATGATGTGATAAGGCGTTATATCAAATGCAAGGATTATTACAACAATTGGGAGGGGTGGGGGGTGATAGTATCTCAAACGCTCAGAATCTTGTTGAATAGCTGTTACAGTAAAAGTGTGGCTCAGTCAATTCAATTCAGTCCAATTCTGTTTTCCAGTCGAATCTCTGGTTTCCTAAGGAGTGCTGCTGGAATGTAATCTGCTTGTGTTAAACTAACTGAAAGAACATTTGGGAAAACAATGTCAGGGGCTTCAGGAAGAGCAACCCAGCTCAGCTGCTACTCGAGTTTCCTCCCATCCCTGCCTTCTGCCAGACACATCCAAAGGCTGTGGGAGAGCGAAGAATCCCATTGAAAGATGTGCTGGAACATAAAGCTGGCTTCGTAACTTTGGTTCTTTGCATTTGCGGGACTTGTATTCTCAGCTGGAAAAATAGCCCTTTTTTTAAAAGAATGTTGCTGTATGCCATTTTACATCTTAACTTAAGAATGATAGCCATTCTGCTACCACTCTAACCCGGAGTCCCTTTGCCTCGCCTCGCCCCCTCACTCACCTAGCTCAAGGACCGTCTCAAGATCTACCTCTTTGACCCCCCCCACCATTAAAAACCCCCATTACCTCAAGACCTTTTCGACTGAGTTTTCAGTCACCTATCCCCCTCCCCCCAACTCCTTCCTCAGCTCACCCCATCCCTGGCTTGAGCTCTCAGTCAGCTTTGCAGAACACTTTGAGCAAATGCTCTGAGACACTAACTGCATGGTGGATGCTAAATAAATGCAAATTGTTGTTGTCCTGTTGTAAAACTGGTAGGTTCAGTGATCAAGCACTTCATCAAATGCAAGAATTACTATTAATATTAGATACTGCCTGATCTGCAAGGCTCCAGGACTCTTGCCCATCCCGCAGCACTGAGCAGCTCTAGGCTCCGATCATGACCTCTCTGGGCACTGCCATTTGTGCTCGATGAATTTTGAGCACTGCCCCTCTCCGAGATGGACAAAGCTATTTCAAGGTGTTGGCATGTCAGCTGGTGGATATTCTGTGAACAACGATTCAAGCGAGGCAGAATAAAACGCAACGGTCAATTTTACATAATATCCAGACGTACTGCTAACTATTTGAAGAGGGAAATTTGCGTGCCAACTGGCATCACTAGTTAGTGGAAGTTCACAAGATCTGAATCAGCAGCTTGAAGTATTCCTTCAGCAGAGAATTCTCTGTCCACCATCTGGTGTTTCCATCGAAAGGCTTTTCGAGTGAATGGATTAAAAATATTAGCACAGAATGATAAAAGCAGAAGATATCACTGCATTTAATGTCCTCCTGATGTGAAACGCGCTATACAAATGTAATTTGTTGTTGTTGATCTGTTCAAATGAAACATGCAGAATGGAGTTTGATCTGCTGTAAGTGGGATAACTTTGAGTTGTTGCAAGACATGTTTCAGACAAATAAGGTTATGGCCCCACACTGGGAATACAGTGTAACTTTGGGGTGAAACGCAATGTAAGTTATAAACTACACTCGAACAAATACAAGCTGTGCTGATTGAGATACATGCTCAATTATCTGGGTACCTTATCCATATTAAGTATCCATAGCTCTGAAATGGGGATAACACAAAAATACTCGTAGGAATAGCAGTAGGCAATTCAGCCCCTCGAGCCTATTCTAACAGATCATGGCTGATCTGTACCTCAAATTCAATTATCCACCTTTGCCCCATATCCCTTGATACACTTACCTAACAAACATCTATCCACCTCAGTCTTGAAAATTTTAATGGATCCAGCATCCACAACCTTTTTGGGGAGAGTTCCAGATTTCCAAGACCCTTTGTGTGAAAATATCAAATTATGTCAAACAAATTGCATTTGACACAATAAATATCAACATGTAGCAAACACACAATAAGGTACACTGTTTCAAGCATTGAAATACGGTACAGTATTGGTGTAAAAGCCTTATAAGATGTTGATATTCATGATCCTTCAGATACAAAATTGTAACTGTCAGTGTATGTAACCCTGGACAAGTGTTCTGTATTGTCCCAATTCACTTTGTGTTAGCATTTAATAATGCTTCCCTGTTTGCAATAATTTATGATGGGCAATTTCCTTTTCTTTCTTGTGCTCTTGGGAAGGGCAGGGCAGTCACATAATCCTATGGAACTGTTGCTATCTTAATAGAGAGTTTGCATGTGCACTAACGCATCCTGAGGGTAGCCCGACCTACTTCGGAATACTTTCCTTCCTTGGAAAGAACGTGAAAGGGTACAACACTGCCAAATTGTTTGAATAATAGAGAATTTTTGAGGACTGGATACTGAGGAACAGCAAACATCTGCAATGAATTAAATTGCTTTCTGACAAAGGGAAAGGTTTCATTTATTTAATGAATAAGGATTTATCTTGTGATTCTTACCAACTACACCCTGTGTCATGCTTCCTTTGTTTCCGTTCTCATGAGCTTTGAGTAAAAACTGGTGAGATGTTACGGTGGAGACTAGTCAGTATGGACTGAAACCCTAGCTACACAAAATAGTTGCCACATTCTCCTATAAAAAATAGTCATTATACTGCCAATAAATTGTGTGAAGTGGTTTGAGATGTCCTCTCGATGTCAAAGGCACCAAATGCAAAGATTTTTATATCTATAATGAATAATAATTTCTTTTCAAATTATATTGAGGCAGGAGGGAAGAGAGCAGAAGTTCAAGGTTATGAGGAGCAATTTTACACAACAACTTGAATTTATATAGCGACCTTCATGTGGGGTAGTGTTTTAGATTACTTAATAGTGGTGGAGTTTGAAGCTGAGATGGGGAGAGGGATGAGTTGACCGAAGGCACGGTTTTTAGGACAAATAGAAGGAACCCAGTAGTTGTTAATCGATTGGCGAATCACTTACTGGATGTAATAACCCCTTCAAATTTTTAAAAATAATTTGGTCATTTGTTTTCTCTCGCAGAAAATACACAGTCAATCCACTTTATAGTATATCCTGTGAAGAGCTTTGTGACATCTCAACAACATGTTAAGGCGCCATATCAAATGGAAATATTATTATATAAGATGTTAGTGGGTCCCATGTTGTCAGTTCTACGCTAATGCAAGGATTATGATTGTTAATAATGAAGCAGAGCAATTGTATCCTAACCTCCACAGAATTAAGCCTCTTCTTCCATATCTCAGTGGAAGTCAATCAAAGTTGGTGCCAGCCGTTCCTCTCTAAATCTGTATCAGGATCATCGTGTAAAAAACTGACGCACACAATTGTTAATGTAAGGAAAGATCATCAGTGAAAATTTATAAACAGCGAGAGTGACACATCTTGCAACAGCTTGTGTATTGCAACATTTGTAGCTGTTTATTTTGAGTGATACAATCTAATAATAATCTTTGCATTAAGTGCTTTGGCGGCGTAGATTGTATTGTATTTGATGTAGCACCTTATCACATCATTGAGCTAAATGTCTCAAAGTGCTTCACAGGATTTACTGTAAAGGGTAGTGACTGTGTATTTTTGGTACATCCTCCCAATGTGAAAGGCGCTATACAAATGTCGTTTGCTGTTGTTTTGTGGGCAAACGGCGTAGCCAATTTGCACAATGTCCCACAAACGGTCACGGTCAATTTTTATTTGGGAGATTGTTGGGACAGGACACCGGGAACAAAACACTCTTCACCATTCGAATAAACGGGCACCTTGGCAACGTCTCATCAAAAGGTTGGCACTTCCGACAGTGCAGCACACACACACACCCCCCCCCCCCCCAGCACTGCATTGAAATGTCAGCATCGACTATATGGATTCCAAGGCACAACATCATTCACAATAATGATAATCCTTGCACTTGGTGTCCACGCCTTTCACGTCAGGAGGACATCCCAAAGCGTTTTACGGGATACGCCGTAAAGTGGAGCGGCTGTGCGTTTCGTGGGTGAGGTATTGCTTTTTTTTTGGGGTGGGGGGGTGTGTTGTTTTATTTGCTTTTTTTTTTCGCAGGACCTCCCCACCCATCTGTGGCCGGGATCGGACCGCCTCCGCCACCGCCACCGCCGCCGCCGCCGCCGGGCGGTCCGGGGACGCTACCCTGGCGCGACCGGGTGGGGGTGGGGGTGGGCGGGAGAGGGGGGGCGCCACGTAAAACGCTCGTCGTCGTCGTCGTCTTCAAAGGTGGGAAGAGAAGAAAAAAAAAAGACATTTTGCGGGTTTACATTCCAAATAAAAAAAAACCCCATAAGCCATAAACCCGACCCATCATTGGGGGGCAATGTGTGTGTGTGTGTGTGTGTGTGTGTGGACAGGGCCTCGTGTCACGTGACTCCCCCCTCCCTCCCCCCCACCGCAGCAGCTCCCTATCGACTCCCAGCTCTGACTCGGCGCTCGATTAACCAACTGGATGAGGCAGGAAAATGGCGGAGAGAGCGGCGCTGTCGTCCTCGGGCAAACACAGCCCCGCGCCCGCCTCCAAGGTACCGACCGCGGGCTCCCGGCGGGGGGGGGGGGGTGTGTGTGTGGGGTCGTTTGCGTTTATCTGCGCTGCGGCGACCGGAGGAGGAGGGTCTGAGCGGTCGTTAGTCGCGGGCGGTTTTGGGGAGGCGGAGAGGAGGAGAGGCGTGTGTAGGCCCCAGGCTTGGAGCCTCGCAGGGGCGCCCTTGCGGGAGGCCGCGGCGAGAGGCTCTCGGGCGGGAGAAGAGGGAGAGAGGGGGGAAAGCGAAGGGGGACGAGCAGCCGCCCCACAGCTCCCGTGTCTCAGAGGCGGCTTTCCCTCCCCCTTCCCTCCACCTTCCTCCGCCTCTGCTCTGCTCTGGGTCTGATGCGGGTCCCCCCCACCAAGGCCCGCCCCCCCCCACCCCCAGGCCCGGCCATTAAAATAGGTTTGTAGCCCAAAGTCCACGCACCGTCGGCCCCTAAACAGTGGCCCCGGTACCGTGTGTTGCCCTCCTCTGCACACGGGGCGGCGGGAAGGCCGGTGGTCAGAGGTTAGCGCTTTCCAACCCGTGTAAGAAAAGATCTTCCAAGGAAAGCGTAGTAGTAGTAGTAGTAGTAATAATAATTAATAAAAAAAAGGAAAAATTAAAAACCAGGCCCTCGCCCGAAGTCGCTTAATGTACCCCTCGCAGCCCCCCAACAAAAAACCAGGCTGATTTGGACGTGAACCCCGCCCCCAATCTGCCAACATTATTATTCACAGCGTTGCCGCCCCCGGTCTCTAAAATCAAGCACCAGCACTAACTTTTATCTTATTCCAGCACCTGAATTCTAACTTACTGCTATTCTATAGTGTGTGTGTGTCTGTGTGTGTCTGTATGTCTGTCTGTGTGTCTGTATGTCTGTGTGTGTGTCTGTGTGTGTCTGTATGTCTGTGTGTGTCTGTATGTCTGTGTGTGTGTCTGTATGTCTGTGTGTGTCTGTATGTGTGTGTATATGTCTGTATGTCTGTGTGTGTGTGTCTCTGTGTGTATGTCTGTGTGTCTGTATGTATGTGTGTATGTCTGCGTGTGTATGTCTGTGTCTGTATGTCTGCGTGTGTGTGTCTGTATGTCTGTGTGTGTGTCTGTATGTGTGTGTGTGTGATTCTAATTGTATTGCTTTTAATAGAGCAAAACTCCCATTAGATGCTTTTGGTCTCTTTCAGTGTGCAGGAGTATGATCACGTTGGTTGTAACATTTCAGGATTGTTGGGACTTAAACTGCTGCTTGCCTCGCGCCCACCACCAGCAGCTTCCCCGATGGACACAAGGACGTGTTGAAATCATTTTGGACTTCAACCCGTCTTGTTGAGCACCGGAAATATCGTTAGTTTTGATATTGTGCATGTTTGAAGTCTGGATAACAGCCTGTTCGACCATGCCATCGGCCTTCCCCCCCCCCCCCCACTCCCCGACCCCAGCTCGGGTCTGAAATGCTGTACACTGTCCAGCGCCTTGGGACGTCCTCACGGCATGAAAGGCGCTATACAAATGTAATTTTGTTGTGTTCAATTTTGCACAAATTGTGTACTGCTGAGTGATAGAACATGCTTGATGCTGGATTTTGTGATCTAGAAGTAATACTGATGTCATATAACCTCTGCCCACGAGTGCCTCCAGCATTTTATTTTGTGTGTATTGCAGTAGCTGATTTGGATTTGTGTCTAGATTGTTTAATATCTTAGCCTTATTTAATAATCTTTTGGTCAGCCGAGTGACTGACGAGTGTGGAAAACCATCACTATGCTTCACTATCCAAAATGAGAGTTCCATGTTTGCATCCAACACATGAAACTTCTATGTTTGGAATGGAATGTGCACTCTCCGCAGAAGGATGCATCCTGCTTACTTAATTCAGGAGAGTATTAGACGCAGGCTGTCAAGAGCCAAGGCGATGGGGGTGATCTGGGAACCTGAGATTAACTTATGCATTGATGAAAATAATCTTTTGCTGCCTGTTGTTGAGGATATAATATTTTAGGTTAACTTTAGGTCTATGGTGTCAGTGATGCCGTTGTGATGATGGCTTACAGTGGAAGTTGAAGCTTACAGCTCCATTGTTTGAGTAGCGTAGAAACGTGTGGTCTGCAATTGGCTGTTCACCTCAATTGCCCTCAGTTGTTCTGTGCAATTTACTTTATATTGTAACTTAAATTCCAAACTGATCGCTTAATGCAGATTGATCTTGTGAGGATATTGACTGCAATTGTGTTTTCCAAGTCATAAAAGATCACATGCAAAGCAATGTGGAAATGTACCCTGATGGGTAATTTTGGACTGTGTGGTAGTTTAGTGAGTTAAAAGGACATTGGGTGCTGGGGTGTGCATATTGTTGATTCACCTCTGGGTTCTGGATTTGAATCCAGCCTAGACTGATGAGACAAAGCTCCTCACTCTTGCTTTTGCACGATCACTGAGCTGAAATGCCTTTATATGGATTCAGTTTGGAAAGTTGCATGAACTCCCAACACTCAACCTTTTGATACTAAATTAACTGTCCCTCAGGAAATCAGAAGGATAGTGAGGGAAAGTGAAAGGTTTCGCTGGTGTCAGTGAGATGCTGTTCTGAAGATAAAGTGAGGTTATCTGCAGTTGGCTTCACCTTACTTGCCCTCAGCTCAGCTTTGCCTTACTTAAACCTGAAAACATTTGATCCTGGAATTGTTTAACTTTCAATTGCTAATATTCAACTTGATAGTCATAAGAAATTCCAGAATTCTTGAGTTAAGCACATACAGGAACCCTCTGTTAGGTTTCACAAATTGCATCCAAAAACCTATTTCGTGTTCTTGGTACAGCCCATTATGTTCAGTTTGATTAGTGCTTATTTTCTTAATAAAATTGGGTACTGATGTTTGATGGACAGAGTGTTTTTGTGACTTTTAAACCTAGCCTTTGTAAAGAGCAACTTGTGAATTTGCTTTTTACAGAAGTCATGTTGGATGGAGTCAAGTTGGGTAAGGTATGCATAGGTTTGAGTGTCTTATCTAATTCCTTACAACATTATCCTGGTGTCGTTTTCTTAATTTGGAAAAATTAGTTCAATTCTCTGAATGTTAGCAATCCATTTTCATAACTAGTTATTGATTACTAAGATAATCTTGTTCTCTCTTTTTAGAGTGCTCCAGAAAATAAACTGAAAGCCTTCAGCATTGGTAAAATGAGTTCGTCAAAGAGAACCCTCAGTAAAAAAGAGCAGGAGGAAATTAAAAAAAAGGTATGGGATCTTCACCTTGGAGTACAATATGTGTTTGTTGACCATGTAGAAAAAACTTCACCTTTTCAGAAGTAACTGTTCAAAGGATAATTCAGCTGTGCAGTGCAACATTAAGTTACATAGATTAGAAGGTTGCAGGTTCAATTCCTGTTCATTGTTAGCTGAACTCAGACACCAAAGCAGTAGAGGTTGTTGGATGGCTTTAGCTATCTGGGATACAAAGGGAAACTCAGCCAGGGTTCCTGCTCTTGATCACAATCCAGTGACCTCTGTTGAAAAGTGGGTGTTGGCTAAAACAAGATGACGGTCAGCTCTGGTGTCCTCTATTTGTTAAATAGCCTGTCGTAACTCAATGTCTCGGCTGACATTTGAAGTCCTGGATTTCCGCCAACTATATGACGCCTTACTCCCAATATGATTCCAGTGCCTTCAAAAGAGGAAGAGTGGAGAACATTGGCAAGAAAAAAATTGTCTTCATGATCATACTTGCATTCAGTCTACTTTTGCCCACAAAATACAGTCAATCACTTCACAGTATATTCTGCGAAGCGCTTTGAGATGTCTCAACGTTGCGATAAAGGTGTCATATCAAATACAAGGATCATTATTATTTAATCAATCCTGCCAAGTGGTGACTGACTTTTTCTAGATGCAGTATTTTTCATTTCATTTTTAACTTTAGAATCAGTATCATAAATGGCATATAACACAATATCACATCTGATGACACTAATTCACCTGGTTCATATTCAGCTTTTAAGCTAGCACTAAAATTGTCACTGAAATAACCACAAAAACTCCTGATAATTCAATGGGTAAAAATGCTGGACTTGTGCATTCCTGTGGAACCCAGTGTTACTGAACACAGATTTTTTTAAAAAGAAAACTGTTTTCTGCACTATCAGAATCACAAAGGTTGTTACGTGAAAAATTGTCAATATTAAAACATAAAATAGAATCAAAAGTAAGTACAGAAAGATTATCGACTTGCTATTTACAAATATTCTATGTTCAATGTCAACATACATTGTGCTGTTCATTTAATTATTTTTAAATCGATTGCGACCAAATGTTACCATTATCTATTAGATCTAAACAGATCTCGCAGATCCTGAAATAATTTGTCTGAAACAGCCCCACTAGAAGGAGCATACAAGTTGCCTTTGTGCCACCTGGAGGAGGTTTACTGGAATGGGAGCCCAGGTCCATTAATATTTTGCCAACTGCAAATGAAGTCCTGATTTTTTTTTCAGCGAAAGCAATCTCCCACGTCTTACTCCATGTGGCCTTTGATGGTGGGTCCTTGCGTTTCCACAGCTGCCAACACGCAATCTGGGCAAGCTTTTGGATGGCTTTACCTATATAAGATTCAGGAAGTACCACCAGCAGACAGGGCATCGGATCCAACAGCACCAATTGGCCTGTTTTTTTTTTGATTGTGCTAAGCACAGAAGACCAAAACCCCTGGATCTTTGGGCAATGTCAGAAGATTTAGTAGACAGGATATCTATACTGATCATCCTTGAGAAGTCTCTGGAGTATCGGGGGAGTGGGTCAAACAGACTTGGTGAAGGAGTTTGTGGTGACCCTCCATACTGCAACAAGTGTGAGCCAACTTAAATGTTTGTTTCCAGGCCCAGACTGACAACTGGTCCCAGGTCTGTCTCCTAGACTGTTCTTGTTCTTTCTGTATTATCCTGAGGGCACTTAGCCAGTATGGAGGTCAGTGCTTCAGTATAGTGGGAACCTATGTTACCTTCTCCAGGACCACAGCACTCTGCAAGAAGTGACAGACTTGGAAATATTTAAATAAGTCATCCCATGGAATTCTACATCATTGCCTTAAAAATTGAAAAAGACGGTCAAATCATTACTGATTTACCTACTCGCAATAATTCTGAATTTGGGAATCGATTTACTTTGGATTTTCTTGCGTGAAGATGGTTTGTCTGGTTTATCCACTTACAATACTTTGTTTAGTGCAATAGATTCTCAGTTTCTACTGAGAGGAAGTTATTCTAGTTCTCTGCTTGAAACAACTCATGCTTTACACTGGCTGATATACAAAGCTGACCTCCCTGAGTGCCCTGTTCCCAGCTGCTTTCTTTCCTGTAATGTTCCATTTTGTGACAACCATCTGCAGTACTTGCTATTTTTAAGCCAATTGTCTATCCAATAGTATACTTTACCCCCAGGACATAACTCTTTATTGTATCCATTAATGGTTGACCTGCAACCTTGTCAGAAGCCCTCTGAAAATCCAAGCAATATAATAACTACTGCATTTCACTTGCCCACAATGTCACTAATGGTAAAATCATATAAATTAGATTAGCATAATTGTCCCTTCCTGAATTGGTGCTGACTTCCCTGCAATAATCAGTCCATTTCTAAATGTTCATCCGGACGAGATCCCACAAAATTTCCTTGATGATTTTCCCTGGAATTGATGTTGAATCTATAGGTCTCTAGTTTGCAGCTACACTATGCTACTGGGCCCTTAAATGAATTAGGTAGCCACTTGCTACTCTTTGTGAATCGGTCCTCAATGAGAGCTTACAGAATGGAAATTATATCTTCATGTTTGTTTTGCCCACAAAATATACAGTCAGTTCACTTTACAGTATATTCTGTGAAGCGTTTTGAGACGTCTCAACAACATAAGGCTGTATATCAAATGCAAGGTTTATTAGTTTCAGAACTAATTTGTGGGTGGGTGTTCTCTGTTGGCAGATCATATAATCCACGATTATTTGTGGGACACTGCTGTGTGCAATTGGTTGCCGTGTTTTGCCCACAAAATATACAGTCAATTCACTTTACAGTATATTCTGTGAAGCGCTTTGAGACGTCTCCAAGACGTGATAAGACGTGATATAGCTGTTTTAGAAACTTCCATTGTCGGTTTAATTCCTTTTGATGTAGGTGGTGCAAATTTTCTAAAACAGTGTGAGTTCACTATAATGAGACACTCAGGCGAACAGCACCTCTGTGTAATTGCAGCCATTAATTGTGAATCGCTCTCACATTGGTTTCCAGTAAGTCCTCGGCTTTCTCTTCTGGTTCCCAAGTCCCTGCTTGTGGAACAGGAGCGGCTAATCCTGGATCACCACCTTACTGATGGGGTAAACTGGTGAGAGTGAAGTCCATTGTCTTAACTCCAAGTGTACCAAGGCTATAGAAGCACACCTGCTAAATAAATGTGCTCCATCTGCTCAGTTGAATGACATTATAACATTAAAATGTGGATTGCATTTAGGACATTCACTCAATCAAAGGAGTAACAGGTGACCATATACAACTCAGGTTTATTGTGGTGTTTGATCAAGGCGTGAGCGAAGTTGCAAGCTCAAATGCATGTTCAGCACTTGAAAATAGGTTACCTCAAGCTGAGCTGTCTTGGGAAATGCCGCTGACCCCACTTTGAAGAACATGACGTCAGCTGCACACAGCACACATGTGGAACTCTTAAGGAAGTAAGAGTTCCACATGTGTGGAACATAAGGAACATCAGCAGCGATGGGTGGTGGGGAAGGGACATCCTGATCTTATCGAACCAGATGATTGTGTAATGGGACTGCCTCATGTATAATTTTTTTATGACTATTAGTAGTAAAATGGAGTAATAAGCTTTTCTCTTTTTCTCACCAGGAAGATGAGAAGGCAGCTGCTGAGATATATGAAGAATTCCTGGCTTCGTTTGAGGGGGCTGACTCCAGCAAAGTAAAAGCATTTGTCAGGGGAGGCATTGTAAATGCAGTAAAGGGTGAGCCGCTGAAACGTGCTATATTTCAACATGTTTGTATATTTGTAATCGCCACGTCAGGACTTGGAACTCGTATAATGAAGGCTGACACTCCAATACAGTGATAAAATGTGTTTGTTTGGCTGTATATTATTGGCTTCAATCTATGCTCATTAACTTTCTGACAATTAGAAGGTCAAATCTGGAACACTCTCCCTCAATCCCCCCTCCTTCCTCATCTTCAGGTCGTGCGTGAGGACTTTCCTCTTTTACCGTGTTTACAGTCACCTCCCCCTCAACCCGAGCTCCGCCACTGTCAAGCTCTCTGGGACACTACACTGTTTGAGGGGCGCTGTATAAATGCATGTTATCAACGCTTATGAAAACGTTATTGGGTATTGCCATGATCATCCAGTGAGTTCTATGCTAAATATGTTACTGCAGTAAACATTTTCAGATGGACAATCAATCTAGCAGGCAATCAATAAATGGAGATAAATGAACTTTAATTGGCAATTCCAACGAATGCCAATGTGGTTTCAGGTCTTGAGAGATGGCATTCATTTTCCGCTCCTGAATCCCAGATATACTCTGAAAACATGACTGCAGTGCCCATTCTGCCACATGTTTATCTGCAATCCTCCGGGATATCAGGTGTACAGATATATATTTTAAAGTTAATGAAATGACTAATTTTAAGGGGAAATAACAAAACTCTTGCCGATGATGAAAATGACAATGATCTTGACCGTGAAGAATATTGACTTTTGTGGCTTGTGAAAAGAATATTGATCTTTGTCAAATCAGGAATGTCGTTAGTTACAGTTTACAGCAATGGCAACCCTAGAAATAGTTTTGTGGGTAATGTAATTTTTTTTAATGTATAATAGAAGAACGATTGGAAGAGCAAAAAGGAAAACTGTACAAGCCCTCCACACGGGTTCCAGAAATAAAGGGTTTGGCGCCAGATAAATCCCCTCCAACGACATATTCAGTGGATCCCAAAAAAACAGTAAGTGTCCAAAAGCAGTAATTAAGTTGTGCAGAAATGTAGAGAATTGTGAAGTTGTGTAGCGTATTGCTTGGAGCGCTCACTCACAAGTAAGAGCGCCCGGGTTCGATTCCCGGGCAGAATTCAACCTTAAATTTCCTTATTCCACACGCCTCGGTTTACGTAGCAGTAAGTAGGCACCCGGTTGTTAGCCGATTTGGCAGATCGCTTTCCAGGGGTAATAATGCCTTTAAAAATCAATCGGTCAATCAATCAATGACTGTTCATGGGACACTACTGTGCGTGATTGGCTACAGTATATTCTGTGAAGCGCCTTCACGTGTCAATGTCGTGATAAGGCACTATAGGTCATGCAGTGCAAGGATTACTATTATGAACCGTTTAAAACATTATTGTTATTCAGACATGTGCATGAAGCTGTTAATCACAGACGAGCCCAATTGCATTTTTGTCCTAAGTTCTAGTAGGTACTTTCCAGTAAAGTAATGTTATGGAATGGGCTCCCAGGCTGACTTTTTCCTCCTGTCCCCATCGCAGGTGGTTTGAGACTATTGTAGTTCTGCTGCCACAGATTGGCAACTTGGTTGTCATTCATGGGATTTGAAGTAGGTCAGAGAGTAGTCGATAATTATTTGAATTGGATTGATTTCCCAAGTACTTGAGTTTCTGTTTTGACCGTTCAGCTGCTAACATTTAAAATTAATCTGCTATTTTACTTTTGTGTCTAGGCGAGTATATTATTTTTTGCCAATTCTCTTCCCCTGAGGTGGTTTGGCTCACTTATTTATTTTTTAACTGGGGTACAGTTTTAAGTATGTTTTCCAGTAGTTTGCTGAAGTGCCTTTTGTTCACGTGGGAGCTTGATGGTGAGATTCAGCAGGCTATTTAACTGCAAGAGGTATCTTACAGTTAAACACCGCTTAAAGTCTACTGACAACACTGACTCCTCATAGGGTACAAGAGAAAATTGGAGAACTCGTGACTCTGGGAATGATATGTTTTGCTGGAAGGTTGAGTGATCATGAGAGAGGTATGGCTGAATGCAGCCAATTTGATCTCTTCCTTCCAGTATATCCAATCCACCAACTTCCCATTATAATGTCAAGCTTTTTCTTCAATAAGCAGAACATCCTGACATCAACTACCCTCTCTCTATTCCAGCCATTAATTGCACCCCTCCCAATCCCTGTATAAAAAATATAGGATAGGATCAGCACTGCTTGATTACCAGAGAATGGATAAAGTATAGATTCTTGAAATTAAGGATTGATGGAGCAGGAATCTGCTTGATGGGCTGAACAATCTTTTAGCACTTATTTTATGCATCAATGATTGTCTCCATCTTTCAGATGTATCTTTTAATGTATTCTTAGGCTTGAAAGGGTTTCTGTTTAATAACTGAAGCACAGTTGATTTTCTTTGACAATATTCACATGTTGTGCCACTTTTGAAATATTTGCAGTTTTTGTGAAAACCTTTAACCAGAAACCAATCTTAATTGAAATCATTTGAATTTTCAGGTCCTTAAAAAAGGTGAAAAGGAAAAGAAAAAGAGCAATTTGGAACTGTTCAAAGAAGAATTGAAACAGTAAGCAATGCCTTGATGTTTTGTTAAAAATTGCACGAAGGTCTGATTTGGCCAAACAAAAATGATATTTTGTGTAATAACTAATTAAGTAGCTTTTGTAAATTGTGAAAACGTTAACGTTTCTGTATAAGTAGACAGACCACAGTACTTGACATGGATTCATTTTAGCTCTGTCACACAGACTAGCTGTGTTCAGCTGCCGAGGATGGATATAGTAATCTAATCTGTATAAATTGTAAAATCCGTTCAAGAGTTTCTATTCTTACAAGTTTGAAGTAATTCATACTTTGCATAAGTCATATTAAATGTATGGTCCCAACTGTTACGACTTATAATGTGAGGTTTACTACAATGAATACCTGTTGTTGCGTTGGAAGACTACATAGAAAATTACATAGGATCAAACAAGATTATCTGAGACAGACCTTAGAATAATAGACCCTCATAAATATCGTAGAAACCCATTTATAAAGTGGTTCATTGTATTATTAATTGGGCTGTACAGTCTGAGGACTTAGCCCAGCAATTCAAAATGCTTGGGGTGCTCCAACACCACTTTGAGAAGTGATGGCAGCGACTCAATGTCCAGGAAGTTGGCCATTTTGGTTTCTTGATACTAACAATTTCTTGTTGTGCGATTATGGCCGACTTCACTCCCTGCATGCCATGTGCAGTGAGCAGGAAGTGACGGGCCGATTTAGCTTCCGTGCCCGCTGACGTTTTGTCCTTCTGTGCCCTCTGAATGTGGAAGTGCTGACCAGCGATTGCGCCTTCTTATATATAGTCCTGGTTGGGATTTTATGGATCCCAGCATTATATACAGCACACAAGGAATCCATGTACACCTAAGGTAAAAAATCTGTAGTCAACCACAACAATAATTTACATTTGTATGGCACATTTCATGTCGGGAGGACCTCCCATTAGTCTGTATTTTAAGTTTTTTTTGCCATTTAGAATAATTATTTGTTACATTTGGAAGTTGGTGTCTTTTCGCATCCACTCCTCGGAGAACGTTACGTCTTCAATTTTGACTGATAGGATTGCTATTTGTCCTCAAGTATAGTATAGTAAAATCTCAGTGGGCCTGTTTCAGGCTGCTATGGATTTTGGATTTTTGGAAGTTGGGATGAGGAAGAAGGGGTGATCAGCTTGGACTTTGAATGTGTTTTCTAAAGTGATTCTTCTTCAGATAATGGTCATGGGTATCAATGCTACTCTGTCTCATCTGAAAGCCTCGCAGTCTGGGAGGTGGAAGGAAATGCATGAAGAGGATTGTGTTACATTAAAATGCCTTTCTAATAGATATCGCCTCTAGTCTCTCATAGCAATCATAAAATTGTAAGATGGAGTTTTTTTTCTCTCAGAATTCAAGAAGAGCGTGATGAACGCCAGAAGACGAAGGGGGGCAAGGATACTCCTTTCAGACCCAGCAGATTTGAGCCTCTGCCAGCGGAAGATTCTCAACCGAACCGTCGCTCTTGTGAGTAAATCCCTTTAATCACACAAGAATGCAGCCAATGCTGATTTTCTCCATGGCTGGATGGGTTTGAAAGAGATGGAGCCATGCTGTAAATGTGCAAGCAGGATAACCATGTAATCTGTATGTTTTTACTGTACAACAACAAAATTAAGTTTGTAAAGCTTTTCATGTTGGGGGGACATCCCAAGTTGCTGGACAATCAGTGTTTCGGACCTGAGCTGGGGGTCAAGATCAGGGCGGATGGAGAGCAGGGGTGGAGGAGGCAAGGGAGGGGGCGAGGCAGAGGGACTGAGGGAAGGAGTTCCAGAGGGTGGGGCAGAGTGGCAAAAGGCTCGCCTGCCGATGTACAGTATCATTTTGTATGAAAAGATCCCCCACGGTCCCTCCACCTCGCCCCCTTCCTTGTCTCCTTCAACACTCGTCTCAAGACCCTCTACTTCGACCGTGCCTTCGATCACCCTCCTACCTCTACCCTCGCTGCCCTCCATCGCTCCTGTTACCAACCTCAGGTCCAAATCTTGACTCTCCAGGGCCTTTGGATGACCTCCCGACTTGAAAGCCGCTATACAAATGCAATTCATTGTTGTATGAGAGTTGGAATATTTGAACATAAGTACAACAGAACACCCTCTTTTTCCTGCCACGCCTTTCCTTTCATCTAAATTTGTATGTTGACTCCATTTCAAATTTTCCGCTGTTGAATTACAGCAGTTGCTGTATTGACTACCATGACCCACAATCCTACTTACTCTGCAGAAAATCGAGTTTCTTTCTTTCATATTGTGAATGCCGTTAGTGCGACTGTTACTGTGTAGCTTGGTGAGTGAAAGCAATCTCTTGCTGTTTGCATTCCTAATCATACAGACCCCAATCAGATCATCCTTTGAAAAAAAACACCTTTTGCAATTGCTGTCGAGCCCTGCAACCCTTATAGCAAAATAGTGCTGGGTTTCCATTGCTTTTATATCCTTTTCCATGTTATATGTTGGATCTCAGTGTTTGGATGCCAAATATATCGAGCTCTACTTTTCTCTCTTCAGCGGATTCCTCGAGGAGAAGCCGACAAACGAATGGTAATTATTGTATTGGTGGTTCTAATGAGAATGTTGACATTTCGTAAATTTGTCCTGATGTTGACTTTAAAACTGTACTGAGATATTTCTTCTCATCTTTCAGCACTTGAGGAATTCACACCAGGTTCCCATGATGCAGGCGATCCAACCACCACTAATTTATATATCGGTAACATTAATCCCAAGGTAAAATGAGTTTTTTGTACACAGTCCAACTGAGTAAGAACAGGTTCAGAGTTGTTAATTGGGAATTCGAAATCCAATTGTTAATATGGAAGGTCAATGCTGTTGTGTGTATTTTTTATAATTATATATTATAATTTTTTATATATATATATATATATAGAGAGAGAGAGAGAGAGAGTGAGTCCTAGGTATTTTCTCTAGACTGAGGCTTGGAATACATGTTCAGATTTGCTTTCCTACCAGGCAAGTCCATTAAACTGCTTATACTGGTTACTGCTATATTGTTGTGGTGAGAACTCCAGTTCTCTCTGAAGGCAGTGATTTGTGCAAGGTTTGGCTTGATGATCACTGACCTCTGGTGCTTGAAAAATGGTTATACTGTATTCATGAACTTCAATCAAGAATTATGGCGAGTAGGGGGGGGGAGGGGAATCGAGAAGCAAAATCAGCACAAGTTACATGCTGTGTCAATCTGCATGCCTAAGAGACTTTCAGCAGGTATCACCTGTTAGTCTGCAAGAGAAGAAACCTGACTGAAATATTTCCTACCGTGGCACAAACACACAGGAGGAGGCCAATTCGTTTATTCCCACTTATATCCTGACAGATCTGCAAATTCTGTATAGCTATCTCATTTGAATTTGGGGCCTTTTGTGTCAACACATCAGAGTTTAAGTCTTGGCATCCTGGCAGTGGCTTTGATAACAAATCAAGTATTTTTAGTTTAGCCAAAAAAAATGTTTTAAAGGGTAGCTAAACGTCTGCCTTGCCCATTTACCTGGAGGCCTCTCCTATCTGCTTCACCGTGCTATTACATCTGGCATGGTGGAGTGGAGCTGATGTTTCAACCCTCTTAACAATGTTGCCTTGTAGCTAGCCACAAGGAAGTCGACACAAGCACCTCCCTTCAGTATTCCAAGACTCAGGCCAAAGAAAATACCTAGATTCAATTAATCATCTTTGCCAGTCAGTAGGTTGCAAACTTGCGTCCATTGTGTTTTTAAAGTACATTAAAGGTTTTTTTAAGTTGGAGCATTCATACCTTTTGCTGCTGAACATTTTTTTTAAATGAGGGTTTATAAATGTTTTATTTTGTACTTTGTTTATAAATGTAATTATTTTTGGAATAATTCACACTTTCTGTCCAGAATAAATCTTAGCACGGTCCTGTTTACAGTCTGCGCAGTTTGGTCTGAGTATGATTTCTCTGCGCAAAATGGTAAGATTAAAGAATCCAAACTGCACTTAAATGAAGTTTCACAAACAAACCTTTTGTGTTTTGATGCCTCTAAGTGGAGCAATCTGTTATCCATTTGAAACCTTTTAACATTAGAGTATGCAGGATATTTCAATTGTAGTCTCACAAAGTACATATTGCATGTATATTCTGGGAGAAAACAGACATTCTACAGTAAAAATCTTGTAAGTCTTATCTTATAGCTAGTCCTGTAGCTCAGTGGTTAGAACACTTGCCTCGCAAGCAAGAGCCCTCCAGGCAAGGCGAAACGTTAGGAAAGTTTCCTTACTCCACAGGCCTCTCTTCACCTAGCAGTAAATAGGAACCCGGTTGTTAGTCGATTGGCAGATAGCTTTTCCGGGAGTAATAATTCTTTCATGTGGAAAAAAAAAAGAAAAAATTGGTCACTCAATCCATGACTATTTTTGGGACACTCCTTTTTTTGCAATTGGCTGCCCGTTTCGCCCACAAAATATACAGTCAATTCACTTTACAGTATCTTCTGTGAAGTGCTTTGAGATGTCTCGAAGACATGATAAGACTCTATATCAAATGCAAGTATTATTATTTTTATAAATTGTATAAATACCTAAGTTGTACATTCACCCTAGTCCCATTCAGTTTCAAAACCACTTAGATTTTTTTGTACTATTCATATTATTGACCTCCTAACTCGTAACACGGCTCCCCTACCCTCCATTACTCTTAAGCTTACCGGAGGCCTTGAATTGTGGGAAGTTATGTCCTTGCCCATCAATGCAATGCGCGCTTACCTTTCAGTTGCACTGAAGCGCGGGAAACGTAGTCTTTATCTGTCGTCACATGCATAGCAGAACTTCATTTCCTACAGTTCAGTACGATTCCATCATTTGCAGGGAAGGGCACATGTGGTTACGGGTGAAGATTCATTAAATCACGGGAAATGTAGTCATAACCTGTCACTGTGTGTGCACTTACCAGTTGCAATGACAAATTAGCACATGCGCACTTACCGGCTGCAGTGACAAAGTGTAGCAAACAGACTTACCGGCTGCATTAAATGCCGCACACGCAGTGTAGATTATTGATTAAATTGGATTTTCTACGACTTCTACAATTTGCCCGCAACTCGGACTTCACGTTAAATCATATTAAATGTAATCATCCTGACTGATACGACTTGTGTGAGGTTTACTGTATCCTGTAAAAAATTCATCTCATTAAATAATCTAAATGAATTTGTTAACCGCAACTGTGGTTTCATTGTGCTTTGCAGATGAATGAAGAAATGCTGTGCCAGGAATTTGGACGCTTTGGTCCTCTGGCTAGTGTTAAGATTATGTGGCCAAGAACAGAAGAGGAAAGAGCAAGAGAAAGAAATTGTGGGTTTGTGGCCTACATGAACAGACGAGATGCTGAAAGAGCTTTAAAAAATCTAAATGGTAAGAGAGGGCGAGAATTCATTGACTGCTTTGTCAGACCAGAACGATTAAATATAGGTTCCTTTCTGTACTTGTTAAGGCGAAATAAAATCCTGCATGAAGGATACTTTATAAATAAATGCAGGTGGTTGTTATTGAGCAGAAATATAAATTCTGTTTTTTTAAAAAAAATTCTCCTTCAACCCATTCCACTTCATTACAGACTAAACTTGAAAGTTCAGTTGCTAAAGCCACTGGGTAATGCGTTAGGCTGAGGTAAATTAATGCAGTTCCTTTGACCCATTTCTTGCGCACAAACAATACTTAGTTTGTATTGAATAGATATAACTAATAAACATAATGTTTGAGTTACTTTCCTACACCATGTGTTATAACTTAATGGATCTTTATAACTCTGAGGGTTTTGCTATAGCATAATTATATTTCTTATATTTTGTTCCAGTCAGTTGTTTATTCTGCGTACCAAGTTAACAATTGCCACAAAAACATTAGGTTTTGAAAAATGTAATTGACTCAAGAAGTAGGATACTATTTGGTGTAATGTGCTTTCCTCAACTTCAAAATATCAAAGATAGGGTTTCCAACCCAAGGTTAGAGCTGGCTGAGTAGCAGTATTGCGCTTTTAGTCACTTTTCCTGGATTAACATCCAGACAGTCTGATAACATTCCAGGACATGTTCTAACTTACCTGTAAGATATTCTATATTAAAAATACGTCCCTTGTTATATTTCCCTCCATTGGTAAAAATAGTCTGCTTTCTTCCCCTTACAAATTGACCAAAAGTTGTCACAGACTGTTTGGTGTTTCTGTTTTATGGTAGTTTGTTATTTCGACATTCTGTTATTTGGGGATTGAAAATTGTCTTAATGGGCACCTATTAAGTGGAAAATTTGATCCCACATTTTCACTTCCTTCTAAAGTTTGCATCTAAATGCTGACTGGAATCGAATCAGAGTTTCATTGCAACCTAAACTTGTGTTTAAAATAGTACAATAGCACACTTCCTCTGAAACATTAGAGGTTCGTGAAACGTTGTTGAAAACAGCAATTAAGAGTCTTAAATACTGGCAGTCAATTAAGATGGAAATCAAATTTTCTTCAGACATTGAAGTTCAACACACATGGGAATATTAACCTTGAACTGAATAAGAATTAGTCTTCAAACTGTACTGCAGAGCAACTTTGACAATATTAAAAAGTTCAGATTAGGAATTAATACTTGGCCTGATTGTAGCTGTAATTGTGAGAGTCACTACACTGAGCAACCATGCAGTGGGAAGGAGGTATAACAAGGCAAAGCATTCTAATGGTTCTAGTCATAGCCTAGACACTTTGGGTGTTGTCCGTCATGAGCTGAACAACATTGGGTTTGTGTAGATGTGCTGGAAGCAGATCGAGTGAAAGTGCAGATCCCATCTAGATATTGTTGAAGACTTCGCTGATGCTATCAAGATGGTTAGGCAGGGTTGCAAGCATGCAGGTCCAAGATGATGCCAGGAATGTTGTTGTGCTTCTTTCTTTCATTTTAATCTTAGGGTGGGGTGGGAGCTAGTTGGGGAATTTAATCCCAAGAGAATAATCTTGTATCCTATACCTGTGGAGCAGTGTAGGTTATACTGGTTATGCTGGGTCACGGCTCTGTTTGAAACAGTATCTCTAAGTAGTTTTGCACAGATTTGGAACATCCTTAGAAAACCAATGTCACAGCGAATGAAATGAATGCAAATAATTTTTAATTCAAAAATAACTTATTGTGATGTGTGGCTGCTCCTGCATTACTTCCACGACATTTGATGAAACCTCTGCTTCAGTGAAGCGTGGCTTTCTGGGATGTTTCTAACAGGGTATTCCAGAACAGAATAATTGTCTTTACCAACAATGCTGATCTAGATTGCCTAGCAATCACTTCTGCATTATTTTTCTCTTTCACCCTAGATTCTGCTCATTTAGTTTTTTGTATGCTTCAAAGGCTATGTTAACTGCTCATTATGAGCCTATTTAGTGCCTCGGACTGTTTTCCTCTGTTCCGCTAAAGATTCTTGAGATGCCACCATGCTTGCTTAGACAGGCTAATAACGCCTGATTACAAGGTTAAATGTCATGTTAATGACATAGAGCAGGGCTTTGCTATGTGTGGCTGACTGCTCAAGGTCTTAATCTCCTGGGACCTCTAGAGTGTCCGAATTTGAGGTACAGTAATCAGGCGCCTTACTGTGGTTATGTTTTATTCAACTAATTAATCTGTGCTGTACTTTCCAATCCATGTATTATATCTACATAAAAAACAGTTCCACTCTGGAGGTTATGATTTGCAACTTAAAGAATATTCGATGATGTGTTTGTGCAGATTGCAGATAGTTAACTAATCTGTCCAGATCAATAAAGAGGATAATGATTTAATATTACACTGAAGCAGGTTTAGTAATGCCTTTTGACACCAATTCCGGGAGATAGTTGAACCATGTTTGTTATGCTTGAATGCTGCCCTCTATATTCAGTGCATTTTAAATGACTGTGCAGCACAGCAGACCGCTCTGGATCAGCATTGTTAGTAAAGACTATTATTCTATTCTGGAATACCCTGTTAAAAACATCCTAAAACCCGCCTGCCTGTATATCATGCCAGTTCCAGCCTGGAATTGCTGAAAACAGCTTTCACGAGGACTGGAAACAGCATTGCAGTTAGGCAAGTTTCGATCGTGGGCATGAGTGGGGAGGGGGAATGAATTTGGGTTTTAAAAATTAAATTCTAATTAAAATCATTTTTAACCAATTGACTTTCACATAAAATATGTTTATTGGCATATCACTTCAATAGTGCTTAAGAATTGAACGGTCACCTTTGAAACATTCTGACTGATGACATGTTGATTTGATATTATTACCGCTCAAAATGTTTAGTCTCATCTTCCAAAATAAATCACATGGTTCATCAAAGTTGAATTTGTACTGGGACTGATGAGCTTTCAATGTCTTTCAGGAAAAATAATTATGGAATTTGAAATGAAGCTGGGCTGGGGTAAGGCTGTGCCCATTCCACCTCACCCAATTTATATTCCACCTGCCATGATGGAGTTGACCCTACCGCCACCTCCATCTGGGCTGCCTTTCAATGCCCAACCAAGGGAGAGGCTGAAGAATCCCACCACCCCAGTGATGCAGCCCAAAAATCAAGAGGACTTTGAAAAGGTAATTCAAAAAGTCTAGGTGAGGGGCCTGTCACAATAGACCTGACTAGAAATGTGCACTCGTTTAGCAAATAAATGGTTTAGATGAACTTTTTATAATATTGGTCTATTAACAGAGAATGTTACACAGTTGATAAGGCTTTGCTAGACATGTCTGTCCTAGTTTAGCATATGTTTACTAGGGTTTCTTCAGGGATAGAAATCAACTTTTTTTTGGTCTATGATGTAGCCTGAACTAAATACTCTCCTGATAACATTAATCACTTAAAAAGTTTTTTTTAGTCATTAAATAGTGACTGTAATTGGAACCCATTGTATGGGCCCATGTACATTTCTGATGGCAGTCCTTAGCTCAGGACATAATATAGGTTTTAAAATGTTTGCCCTTGTTCATCACCAAGGTCTCCAATTCTAAACTCATTTATTAATTGAATTCATTTGTAAACGTAGAAAGAGAATATATGAATACCGAGCAAGGAAGGGAGAAAGGATGTTTGACCTGTCAGGATTGTTCTTTCTACCAACCTTGGGAACCACATAGTCTTTTGAGGGAAAGTTCTGCTCTGTTTCTCTTTTCCCTCATTTTCTTCTTTCCGTGCCCCACTTGTTTTTTCCCCTCCCTCCAAAAGGAAGTCAAGCAGGACTACAGAATATCCACCTATGGTTATATTGCTTATTATCTTTTGCTGCTTTTAAAATTCCTTTATGGTCCCATCTACAATAGCTTTGAAGATGCCAATGGTCCTAAAATAAGCATCATTCCTTTTAAATTTTTGTCTTAAGTTTTTTTTTGGGTGGGATATTTACATCTGGCTCTCTCCTTCAGCCTTTTGTCCGTTGATTGTTCACTTGTTGTTTCCTGATGTTTCTTTTGGTGTCAGAGGCTGCCTTCAAATTTCTTTCTCCCATCCTTCCTCTCCATATGGGAGCCTGTCACAACAGTTTGAGCAGCAGAGAATAGACTCCTGCCTTGTTTTCTGATAACCCCTGAAGTAATGCTTGACTTCCTTTCGTGTGCCAGTTTTCCTTTGGATAGTAAAGAAACATTTCCATTGTAGCAGAAAAGAAGCCACTAGCAATAAATTGGGGATGTCCAGTGCTTCTCTCTGACCCTATTTATACTTCTCATGGAAGCATCTTATCCCCAAAGTAAAGAATTTTAACTATAGCTTGCCATGATTAAATTGGAAGTGTTCTTGCTGATTACTTGTGTCAGCAAATTAGATTAAAGATCCTGGTAAATGGTCGAACATTGAATCTCAATGCAGAACTTATTTAAATTAAAATGATGTTTCACATATTTAACGCCAGTCCAAACTTTGAGACTGATCAGCATTTTGAGTGTATTTAAACACCAAACTTCATCAGAGACAGTTGCCACAATAGCTTCCACGGGATTTGTCCTGTTGGCTTTGACCAGTTTGTAGTTAGCATTTTGAAAAGCTGTTTAGATATATTTGTCTTTAATTCTGCTTTGTATATTAGGTCTTGGACAAAGTGCGAGATTACTGAATTTTTCAGTGTTTGTGTATAGTGTCCGCCTATATCTTTTTCAAATTTCAAATTCCATTTAGTCTATAAACCCTCATGGGAGATTGTTCCATACAGCCATAGAATGACTGGCAGAAATGGGATAGGAAGAATATATATTTTTAAGAAGTTTTAACATACTTGCCGAAAGTGTTACAAATTTCCTGGTATTATGTCACAGATTAATTAACATGTAGTACAGTAATAAAATGAACAAGCTGGTGATGTGAGGTTGCCATGACTTCTGTCCACCAGATAGCTGGCTGAACACATCTCATTGCTTGACATTCTGTGCGCACAGTATAAGAAATGCAAAGGATATATTGATGGTGTCGGTTTTGAGCACCCAAAGAGAGTTCTCATGTTAATTTTCTCGACCTGCACAGTGTTTGTCCTAGCTCTAATGTCATAGCAAAGACAAATATCTGCAGTTATTTCTATCCCTGCTTTTTCGTAGCGCATTTCAGTTGTCTTTAATACATGCTTAGACATTTTTTTAATTTGATAAGTATTAACGTATAGCAGTATAAACGTTTGCTTTCTTGAAGGTTTTTAAAATGCATATGTATTTATATTTTTGTGTACTTGCTGCTTACGTTACCAATACTCATATATCCTATCTTTATTATCTGATGTGACTTCATATACAGACTCTGTCGCACGCCATAGTCAAAGTGGTTATCCCAACAGAAAGGTACACGTTTCTTCATTTTTCATTGCTGCTGTTAGTGGAAAGTGTCCCTTGTGTAAAATATGACTTCTCACATGATTGTCATTCATGTGCTCTTGGTGACGATCCTGGATTGCTGAGCAATGGTATCCTTCAACACACCTTCCTTCCCTTCAGGTTGTTTCAGGTAGTAGAGAACTTACAGAATTGTTTACAGCTATAGTTAGAAACATATTTATGTGCCAGTAGATCTGAAAGCGGTCTGGGACGCTACCCCATATGAAGGGTGCTATATAAATGCAAGTTGTTGACTATTTCCAGTTGAGGAAATGTTAAATTGGTGCATTTGATACCTTTTTTTATAAATTGATGGATTAATGAAGTGGCTGTGAGTATGTAATTTGGTTTTAATTTTAACATTGGTGAGAGATGTTTCGGTTTTCCAATCAAGTTGGCCACAATTTAAAACTTTTCAAAGGAAACTATTTGGCAACATTAGTTTGCCATCTCTTAGTTTTCTTGTCTGGGTATCAGTGTTTTGATATAGGATAGTGTAAGCCTGAAATTGAATATGGGAAGTTCATATAGTAGTTATAATCTTTTAAAAAATTGCTTGTGACTGTGGTTGTGTTTGGTTGTTGCCATTTCCTCCCAAACTATATGCTTTGTGCCTGATTGACAGGGACATTGATTAATTTTAGAAGTATATAAAATTCTATACGTTTGACATTTTAAGGATATTTATCAGAAAATCATAGATTTAGCCTAAAGTAGACTGTTTGATTCATTGTGAATGTACTGGCTTCCCCTAGAAATATCAACTTCCGATCCAAATTCCTTCCTTTTCCCCTTAAGTTTGAATACCTATTCTGTTCAGTGAACTGGAAAACATTGCTTATGATTTGGGTTGGATTTTGAAAGTTAACCTTTTTGAGAAGTGACTTCAAATGAATACAGCACCGTTAATTGCTGGCTCCCAGAACGGATCGACTTCAAAATCCTCACATTTGTGTTCAAATGCCTTCACTCTCTGGCACCTCTCTGACCTCCTCACTCCCCATTCCACCACCCGCCACCTCCACTCGACTGGCACAGCCTCCTGCTCGTCCCTCGCACCCTCCGCTCCACCATCGGAGGTCGCGCTTTCAGCCACTATGCCCTGAAACTCTGGAACACTCTCCCTCAATGCCTCTGCCTTGCCCCCTCTCTCCCCCTTTTTAAGTCCCACCTGAAAATCTTGCTCTTCGACCGTGCTTATGGCCACCCCCCACCCTCCACTGTTAAGCGCTCCGAGAATAAACCCTGCGATGAGGGCGCTATGTAAGTACAAGTTGTTGTTACTGTAATTGTTGCCTGTATCTAGTTTGTTTCTGAAGATACTTATCCATTGTTGCTCAATGAAATCAAAATTAAATACCAGAGTGCAGAAATGGTGGTGGTTTAAAGCAGCTATGGTTTGTGTGCCCAGATTGGATTGCATATTTTTGTAATCCTTTTGTCTCCCGAATACAACTAGATTTCTTAGCAGCTGTGGCTCATTTTTCCTTTACCTCTGGAGAGATCCATCTGATGGCTATAGTACTTCTATTTATAAACCATCCACCATATCAAGAGTCGTGGAACAGCCTGCTATGTTAGTTAGGATTTTTAGGCTGAGTAAACTTTCTTGTTGAAATGATATTCAGTGGTGAAATCTACATTCGGATACTCTAGTTTTCTGAAGGACTTAGACATTTTCAGACAACATAATTACATAATTTGCTTTAAACTGTAAAGCAATTTTGACTTTCTTACTTGTGATTTATGGCAGATTGGAAATGGTGTCTGATATAAGTGGTAGCTGTCACTTTTCTTGTTTTGAGTTTGCTCTGGATAAATGGATGTAGAATAGCAGATAACTCTGTTTTAAATAACTGATGATGAGCTAGAAAGCAGTGGCTGTATTTTTGTTGGGTAGTCTAGTATTTCAAACTCTCAGCATCTTAAAACACCTAATGTCTTCCATTATTTACATTTCAGTTTATCTGTCTATAGTGTTCCTTTACTGTGTTGGACTTGATTTGGAAATGGGCCATGAGACTACACTTTAGGAATAATATTAAGGGGTTGTATTTATGAAGGTTCCCCTTGCTCAGCTCAGCCAGAACGTTTTCTTCCAGCGCACATGCAGCAAAATTTCAAGCTAAAGGACCATCACCAAAATTTGGGCACGTGATGGACTCTGATCCTTAATTTTTAAAAAAAAGTTCTTTGTGACGTGTGACGTTGGCCGTGGTGAACAGCACAAGCTGAATTTCCTGTTACAGCGAGGGACCTGAACAAAGCACCACGGAATGGGAAAGTATTTCAGATTTGAGAGTCAATGGTACGATCAGCTTCATTGACTCTAGTTGAATTGTTTTTTTTTAACATCCTTTATTTGTTGGCCTACCCGGGTTGGGGTTTAAATTCTGGCAAACAAAATCCGCCCTGCATACTTTTCTTTTCAAACTTCTTTCCGCTTACATGAAACACCCTGATCATATTAGTCGGGGAGGAGGAAGAACCTCAGCACAAATTTGTCCCTAGTTTTGAATATGTTTCTTTTGGGTACAACTGCACTGTGCAGTTAACTTAAATTTGGTCGATATGCACCAGGCTTTTTAATCCTTTTAGGAATGGAGTTTTCTTTCGAAGCTTTACATACATATATGTCCTACGTAGCACATATTTCTCATCTGATCAACCACTTGAGAAAGCAACTGTTCCAATACACATTCCTCACTTCACGCTATTTTCTCACTACAATTCCGCTTTTTTAAAAAAAATGCTGCCATTGTCCTCCCAAGAATTAAAACCATGTGTTGTGTAGATTTGATGTATTCAAGGCCAACAAAAATTGGATACTGGTCTAAGTAATGAGAGAACACCACTTTTTTAATTAATGTTTTGCATATAGTTATGACCATCTTTTGCAGTGCTTACCTGGTAGTTGAAGTTAGTAGAATGATGCCCTTTTTTATGTGTTTCAAGTTGGACATGTTGTGCTTGGAGTGAGTTTGAACTTGCTGTTGAACACGTGGCATAATTTCCTCCTTCACCTCCCCACCGCGGACCTACAGGAAGATTAACAAACGATACTTCGGATCTCTAACTCGTTTATCTGAAGCATTTTTAAGTCCAGTAAAAGCGTTCTTTTTTACACTTTTTTTAAGCGCACAAGAGAGTTCAATAAAATATGGCACCAACGAAGAGCTCCTTTTGGAAATATCACTGCATCCTTATATCCAATATGAAGTTTTAAAATGCACAATTAGCTTTTGAGATGTTACACGGCTTTGCGTGTAATAATTTTAGGTACCACAAGACTACAACCTGGAGCTTAGTGAGTCAGGCCTGCAGTTCAAGTAGCTTTTTTTTAAACAAAAATCTAAAACCAGGAATTAATTAACGGGAACGTTATTTGTTCTGTGGTTATGATGGTGTTATCACAGTGTTAAACAGTTATTGGAATGCCTTTTTTTTATTTTAACATAGATTAGTTTAGAATAGAACAGACAAAAATTGTAATAATTGTAACTTTTTTGATCTGCTGGTTTTGATACTACAATTTGGAGGGATCTGTACAAAGGGTAACCTGGCAAATTTGTTTCAAGTGTTGAGCTTGAATAACATTGGTAAATGTATAAATATCGGTTTCTTGAACCCTGGGTAACATTTTATCACTTCAGTCGGTTAAAAATGTAGAAATGTGGGCTATAAAGTTTTTATTTTCTATGTAAAAAAAGGGGAAGAGAAAGCCACATTAAAAAAAAATGTGGACCCAATTTGAAAGTGCAATAATATTTCAAAGCTTCTGCCAACGACTCAGTTTGTAAGGTCACCTGTTAGTGTGAAACAGGCCTACAGGGTCCCAGATTTACTGAGGCATTTTCGATATGAAGGCTATGTAATCTTTGATCGTGTTGAAATCATCTATGTAATCTTTATTTGCAGTACTCTTGTCATTTGCATTAATCACTCCTGATTAACTAATACATGCCATACTGTAGGTAAGCCAAGATGTTGACATTTGTTGCAATTTATGAGTACTTTCTGCATATTATATGTTGCCTGATAGGAAGGATATGATCAACAACCACAGATTACATTTGGTTAGCACTTTTCACATCGGGAGGTGCTCCAAAGCAGTATATCAGTGCTATATTGCCAAGGAAAGCAGTCAGTAAAAAGCACTTCTTGCTCTATTCCAGTAGTAAACCTTGGTAGAAGAAATATTGTATTTAATTCCTTTTCTGCAGTCAGTTTTGTTTTACAAAAAGATTTGCTTAGCAGGAGCCAGGGACTGGCTTGCAGCAACTGATTGCACCAATTTCTCAGGAATCCACAGCCTTTCTGCTTCAGGCTGCAGAAAGGGGCAGCTATCATTTTGTAGTTTAGTTCAGCCTCACTTGACTGGTAATGAATTTCAAAATGACAGACACCATTCTCCAGCTCAACATCATTAAACTGAAATGGGTGGTGTTGCTGCCCATTTTTCAGATCATATTGCTAAGATCAATGAAGCAGACTTTTTGATCCAGAAAGGGGCCCCACAAAGCTAAGAAGAGGGAATAGAAAGGAAGATTAGTTCTACTGAGGGTGAATTGGTTATGGAAAAGCTTGAAGGGCCAATACTATAATTTGAGTAGTTTAGAATAGCCCATAACCACAAAACAGTAAACAGAAATAGATTATTTTGAGGGGAAATGTTTGTGGCAAGCAGACGAGGATCATCTCTTTGGTTCTTCATATTTTCCAAATATTTTTAGTAATAAGCCATTTTTGACCTGGTAACTAAAGGGGTGGATGGGAAGCAATGGGCTTAGGAAAGGACAGTTCTGGCCACTGGTGCTATTTGTTTGGCTATTTACTGACTCTTGGCTGCCCCACTGGAATGGAATGCATTCCAACTTAAAGAGAATGGGGAACTGCAGAAGACCTTTTTGGGTATCCTTCTGCAATTGACCATTGTGTTATGTGATCAAGCAAGTGTGAAAATAATTTGTGTACTAGTAAGTGTAATTGAATGGGCGATGAGGGGTGGGGGTGGAGTAGGGAATAGAGACTGAAATGAAGGAGATAGGTCATCAGCCAAATGTGGAAATGGAGACATCGTAGCTATAGGAATGAATGTTTATAGTCCATGGATAGGAGTGTACTTTACACGAGACATTACTTACTTGCAACCTATTTATTTTAAACAGACCTTCAACATTGAAAAATTGTTAAAATAGGTTGGCGTTATTTTGGTTTTCTGCAGTATGATGCCAAATTTGTTGCATCTTGAATGTTAAACTGCTGTTTTTTTCCCAGTACATGTTGGGCCTGAATGCCATTAACAAAGCTGCTACATTTCTAAAAATGTTGTTAAACCTTTAGTGAATAACTTCAAGTTGTTGTACAAACTGTTTCCATATTTCGATTTCCAGCATCCTTTACAAATGCGGGGGGTGGGGGGGCATATGAGAAGCATTTACTTTAGCCCTGGTTACTTATTGTAGGAACCTTAATGTTTCTCCTATGTGTTTGTTTTTTTTAATAAAATTTGCATCTTTTTCCTGTGGTCAGAGCTTTGAAAGTAATGTACCAAATGTGTGTTTCGGTAAAGTTAGTTACTATACATGTGAAACATCATTCCATCAACTCTTCTGAATTGCATGTTCTTTGAAAACGTGTCTGCCAATATTGTCCCTGCAGTCAAAGCCCTAGTGTACAATACTGAAATGGATTTTTAAAAGAGCAAATCTTAAAGTACCCCCACGATTAACACCAAGAGAGTCTTATGTGTCTAAAACATATATTCAGGGTGAATCATAGGACTCCAGGCAAATCGCTTAGAATAAACTGGAGGGTTTGCTTGCAGTTTTGAAGGAACACTATTTGAGGTAGACAGTAGAACGTTTAGCCCTTTAAAAAATATTGTGTTGCAAGCACAATCTAGTCAACATACTAGCATTGGTTACCTAAAGTGATTTGCAAAGCCACAGGTTGGTAATCTTGCTCCACATTAATGAGAACTACCTGCTTGCTGTGTTGTGGAACTTTTGTTGCATAAGACTCGTTTCTTCATTCAACATTGCTGGCCCTTGGCCCTGAATGGATTTTCCTCATTTTGTTTTGTTTAGAAACTTGATGTGTGTTATTCACCGGATGATCGAATTTGTGGTGCGTGAAGGACCCATGTTTGAAGCCATGATCATGAACCGAGAAATCAACAACCCCATGTTCAGGTTTTATTCTTAATCCATTATATGTCTTCATCATTTACCTTTTGTGGTTTGGCATTTGGGAGAATGTAAGAATAGTTGCAAAATGCACTTGATTTCAAGTTTGAAATAAGTTTTATTGGATTTTTCAGATTCCTCTTTGAGAATCAAAGTCCAGCCCACATTTACTACAGATGGAAATTGTATTCAATACTGCAGGTAATCCTACTATTCTGCATAGATATGATTTAGTTAAATATGGCTTGACAACTTGATTAATTATTGTTTCAAATTGTGGCTGTTCCTTCTTGACAGGGGGACTCGCCAACCAAGTGGCGTACAGTAGATTTCCGCATGTTCAAAAATGGCTCACTGTGGCGACCACCTCCTTTAAACCCATATCTACAGGAGCTGCTGGAAGAAACTGAGGCACGAGTTGAGGAGCATGTGAAAAAGGGCCAACTGAAAGAAGAGTATGTTACAATAATACAACTGTTTGTGGGACACTGCTGTGCGCAATTGGCTGCTATGTTTCACCCACAAAATACACAGTCATTCTACTTTACAATATACTCTGAAGTGCTTCGTGTTTCAACAGCATGATAAGGTGCTATATCAAATACAAGGATTTTCAAGCTAAAAATAGTAACTGATTGCAAATCCATGTTTACTAATACTACAACAGTTGCAATGGACAGAAATGGATAAGCAAACTTCTTGCATTTTAATAACATAATACCTTTAATATTGCAATGACAGAAGTGAGGGTTTTTTCGACTCCTTATACAATGCAAATTTACTGTGGAGCAGGTTTACATTAATCCTTTCTTTTCTGGCACTTTATACTTTAATGCAAAACAAAAGTTTAATGGTGAATCAGTAAATTCTAATAGCAAATCGTAAATTCTAATAGATCCAGGCAAGCTGCTGTTGTCAGTGAAATTAGTATTTTCTTTGAATATAATTGAGCTATGAAGTACAGCTTGAAATGATGTACTAAATCTATTTTTTTTTTTGTATTATTGAAGTCAAAGAGATAAGTTGGAGGAGCTGCTGCGTGGCCTGACGCCACGGAAGAATGACGTGGGCGATGCCATGATCTTCTGTCTGAATCATGCGGAAGCTGCTGAAGAGATTGTGGAATGTATTGCTGAGTCTTTGTCTATTCTCAAAACGCCATTACCCAAAAAGGTTTGTTCTGAAGCATGATGTTTGCAGATCCTTAATTTCAAGATCCTCACATTTGTCTGCAAATCCTTACCGCCTTATTATTACCACCTGGCTACCTCTCCGACCTGCTTACTTAACTCCACTGCTCAGCTGGCTCTAGCTTCCTGCTAGTCTCTCGTCCCCTCTGCTCCATCATCGGAGGTCGTGATTTCACCCACTACACCCCGAAACTTTGGAACTCTCCCTCAATCCCTCTGCCTTGCCCCCACCTTCCCCCTCTTCAGCTCCTGAAGATCTTTCTCTTTAACTGTGCTTAAGGTAACCTCTGCAGGCTTAGAGTCAGGCTCCGCCACTTAAGCACTCAGATGCTATCCCATGTGAAGGGTGCTATACAGTCGATGATATTGTTCATACCGTATAAATGTGAAACTAGACCAAATTAAACTGGAACATATAGAGCCTAAGTTTCATATGGTGTGTGGGATGTTTATGTTTTTTAAAATAACACAAAAATCCAAAATATATTTCACCACCCCTTATGCTGCCTCAAAAGAGAGCTGGGCAACTTGTAATTGTTCATTGAGCATGGCTTCCCCTGCATCAGCTCTACAAGTTCCACCCAATCCTGCCAGCAAGTGCTAGAGAGGCTATGGCCAAATGCATTGCAAGTTGCACGCGTCCCTTTCTACACCTCTTGAGCATGGGCCCTGCACACCCAGAGAATGAGGGGGTTGGGGGTGGGGGTTGGAAGTGTGTGGGTGGGTGGGTTGGTCGTGTGGGTGGGTGGGGGGGTATGTGTGTGTCAACAGCAGATTTCAAAATTAAACTTAATCACAAACCAAACTTGCGTTCCTTAGGTTGGTTAACTATTTTATATTCCAGATTGCCAGACTTTATTTGGTCTCGGATGTTTTGTATAATTCTTCTGCTAAGGTTGCAAATGCCTCGTACTACAGAAAATTGTAAGTATTCATGTTTACAAATGTAATAATTAATTTGATAATTTGGTCGTGAGTTACTGAACAAATTATTTGGTATAAATGGGTGCAAATGACCTTTTACATATAAATAATCTGTGGTTGAAATAAATTGGTATAGTATCAATTACATAATGGTCCAGATCGCAAATCGCTCTTTTATCTTCATGGTGACTGTGCTGCACTTAGTGCATCGACCACATTTTTTTAAAAAAAGCCTAGAAACCAATTAAATAAGCAGAGTTTAGGTTTCATTAGAAAGAAAAACATTGGCCATTTTTTCAAGGAACTATTAACTTTATTGAGGAACTTTATCAAAGCCAGTGCAGTGCGTCAGCTGGGTTGAAAATAAGAAAGGAAAGCAGTTAAGCAGTGGCTGGATGCAATATTTAGATTTTAGAATTCTATGGATATTGGGAGAAAGAGAAATCTGATGAAGATGAGCTCCAGCTCATGAGGGCCAAGGAACAATGGCACACTCTTAGAGCAACTTTCATTTTAGAGTGAACATGTTGAAGTGCTTCATAAAGAATACATTAAGAGTAGGAAATGGTGATCTTAATGCCAGTGTTAAGTGTAATGGAGTGGATGGAGTTGGTAGAGAGGAGGTTAATCATATGAAGATGGAACAAAGTGGGATTGAATGTCTGCTTTCCAACAGCTAATTCCTTTATCCAAACTAATCCATGCAGCCAACCTACCAGTGACTGGAAGGCTTGAAAAGTCTCCATTTAATCTCAGTCATGACTACAATGACATTGATGCCTTCTTGGTTTTACTGCTTTGAAACACCTCCTTATGTTTTTATACATATTTCATTATTGTAATTGGCAAGAGGTTAGACTCATTTTATTCACCCGCAAGTACCACTGTCATTACACTTCACAGTAAATCCCATGTTGCTGTTTGAGATGTTTTGATGACATGGTAAGGTACCATATCAAATGAAAGCTTTTTAAAATTATTCCCATTTTCGGATAAAATATACCGTATTTATCAATACAATCGGAACATTTAATCATTGGGAGAACCTAATTAACGAACTCTGAGCTTCACTGCTTGTCAGTATTTGGCTGAGTTCCCGCATTGTCCCTAGTTTTTCCTCATTTTGCACTCTCTGCTGGTGCACTTTGACTAGCTTGCATCAGGAATTAGTTTTTTTTAGAATTTTCTATGTTATGAAACAGTTGACTGGCCCAAAAGCTTCCAACTTCTGAATAAAATGTGCAAACCACTTGCAATATTGCTTGCTGCCAGGAGAGGCTGTTGATGCTATGTGCAAAGCTCTGTATGAGGTTCTGATAAGCCTTAGCAAACTCAGTTCAGCAACTTGACTACCTCTTCAGGCATCGCAGACTGCCCTAATTGTGTTAAGGATTATTACAAAATTTTTGTGGGTTATTGTCATACCTTATGGTAGAGTCCCAAAGTGATTTTTGCACCGTGGCTTACTTTAACTAGCTGTTATATGGACAACCAATGCTCTGTGCCAGCAATATCCAACAAACAGCACTGTGAAGGACAAATCAAACTATTTTTGTAAAAGGTTGCATGAGGGAAAAATATTGGCCAGCAGATCGCGCCTAATTAATTCCATATGATTTTTAATCTCCATCTGAATGACCAGAATTGGCAGGCTGGACAGTTTAGACATCTGCTAACAATGTAGCTCCCTTAATCCACAAGTGTTGGCCTCCATGAATGTTGGTCTAGAATATGTATTCAAATCCTGTTTTTGATCGTGAAACCTCAACTTTCAGACAGAGGCCAGAGCCAAACCATCTAATTCTGTCAATGGTTGAACTGATGTAAAAAAAAAAACACCCGGCTTCAGTTGTAGCTTTCTTCTTTCCTCAAGCATCATTAACAGTCAGAATTTGCACAGGTTTGTGTAAATAGGACTTGTCTGAGCTTTCAAACTTGTTGCAGCTTATCAGCCACTTATACTTATGTTTGGGAAGTCCAGTGAAATTGAAACTTTCTTGAGCAACTGACTTGCTGTTGCACTACTCAAGATGATCTTGTTGCAAGATGATGAAGTTTTTTTAAAATTATTGAGTCTGACTAGATTGTTCAAAGAAACCTGCTGGTACTGACCTGCAGTCCTTTCTCTTCAGTTGTGTAGACCCCAGTTTATTTACTGAATTTAAATGCGATTTATTTTCTGCCATAATTAATTTTCTGCAATTTGGAAATCGATGTGGGAGCAATTGAATACTGTAGAAGCTAATCTGTAGATGAGTAATGAAGGTTTTTGTTGTTCAGACCGGAATGTAGCTGATGCCAAGGAGATCCTCTTAATCTGTTGTGCTGTTGAAGGGGATTTTAATCTGTGATTAGAATCCCTGCTAGCACAGCAAATGCATTTGTTTTCAAGTATACACGTGGAGCTGAACTGGCTCCAAGGTGATGTGTGCTCGGCAAAGGAATGTCAGAAATGAGTCAACCCTCTGCGGTTTGGTTCTTGAGCCAGGAGGATCCATGCTACTCCAGGACATTGATGATGACAGATCAGTCAGTCTGCCTCATCAGCAGGTCTTGGAGGGGCAGACCTGTCACTGGGAGCAGAGATTCTACCCACTCAGCTCCCATTAACCCTGTGAGCCTAAACTCTAAAAGGTAGGATGGTCCTAGCTGGACAAGCAGTAGGAAGTTTACCAGGCAGTGCTTTCAATGGTGAGCTAGGCAGTTTTAGCTAGTTAATCTCCCATGAGTACCACAAAGCACGCTCTGGGGTTCCCACTTGCCGACTTGACATCTATTACTCTTTGGAATTGGGTAAGTAGGTTGCGTCCCTCCAGGGAGAGAGTGTGTGATCCAAATAGGGATCGAGGTAAATGAATAGTTGGGGCATTTAGAACTGATAAAGTCAGATCAGTACACCAGGTGAGTTTGTATTTATTTGCTCAATGCTGATAAGCTCCCACAGAAGGAGAAACGTATATATTTTCACCAATGGCAGCATTTCATACTTAAAATGTTTCCAGCCTGCATGGTCACAGCAGCAAACTTTGAGAATGAGGGTCATTTTCACAGTTTCTCTTCTGTGTTACTTGTTTACACTGCTTATGCTTATTGATAATTACTTGTTTCTCAAATAAGACCACTGAAAGCACAATAAAACGATATAGTGAAAGTTAGTCCATGCTGAACAAAGTACTTTAAATCGTTATATTAAAACAAATTGGAAACCCTAGCTATGAGTTAATTTGTTTGGTTTGCCTCACGCATTGATATTTCTGTTTTACTTGCAGTTTTGAATCTAAGCTATGTCAGATATTTGCAAACCTTAATGCAACGTATAAGTCAATACAAGGTCACTTACAGTCGGAGAATTTCAAGGTAATTAGATGATTACTGTAACCACTTTAATTGGTCAATCATTTTTAAAGGCTACGCACATTCACATTACATAACAGATGTGTGCTACTAAGTGGGGCAATGATATTACTCTGGCCGTCCTCTGAGACTTTGGTTACTTTTTTGAGAGTTACATCATCTGTTTGCCGCAGCAGTAACTCAACGTGTGCTTTAATGTTTCAGATGTTCTGTTCTAAATGTTTCAACTGCTGTGTGTTCCAGGATACCTCAACCATAACTGCATGGATTTGATCTTTCGTAAATAAGTTCTTGGAACAAATTACAATCCCTATTAATTAATTCCGTCTCTGATTTGTTGCTGCTGTCACTTTTTTTATGATGTGATGTTGGCTTGAACGTGGGCAAATTTTCTTGTACAAACAAATCTCTTCTTGAAAGAATGTGTTTTACTATTTACAACTATGCGTAGTAGGCTCCAGACCCTCCTCCGGAGGGCCGGAGAGGGAAGCAGGGTTTCCTAGGAGCTGAACTGACTTCAAGGTGACATACTTAGCAATAGAACGTTAGAATTGTCAATATTCTGTGATGGCCTTAATGGTTTAGTTCCTGAGACAGGCAGTACTGCAGTTCTCCAGGGCACTGGCTCCGCAGCAGGACTTGGAGGGGCAGACCAATCACTGGCGGCAGGATTCTTCCCACTCCATTCCTGTTAATTTCTCAAGCCAAAGCCCTAATAGGTAAGGTGGTCTTAGCTGGATAAGCAGCGGGAAGCTTGCTACACAGTACCCTTAATAGCAAGCTATGCAGTTTAGCTGGTTAAACTTTTGCAGTACCCCAATACGCATTCCGAGATCCCCATATTTAAACCCTTACCAACTTAAATCTAATACCGTCCAAAATTAGGTCCCTCCAGGGTGAGAGTGTGCAATCCAGACACAAGGAACTTTCCATATGTGGGTGGCGTATAATCCCAACTCTAATGTGGAACTCAGTCTGGTTTGCATACTCTTAAGCATGGTGATGGGTTTCCACATATGTTCAACATCTGCTGACCCAAAATAGCAAGTGTTAAGACATATAGTAATTTTTTATATTGCAGCGACTCTGGATTGGGGAAGATTGCGGGACGAGGGGCAGTATATCTACCAACACCTTGGGGCTACCATCGGTGGCTGAGCCTTCAGTCACTATGTCACTAACCTTTGGAACTTCTTGACTTTGTCTGGCCTCGCCTCCTCTCTGTTTGTCTTGAAATCCCATCTTAAAACCTATTTCTTCGACCACGCTTATGGTCACCTCTCCCTTTTCCCATGCTCGGCCGGCGTCTGTCCCTGCCACTGTGATGTGTGCTGAGACGTAATCCTACGTGAAGGATATGTATAGGTTGTTATAAATTTACTCCAGAATAGCTTGTTTGTCTGAACTTTTCTCCTGATCCTTTTTTTAATAATAAGCTACTAAAAATGAGGCCATCTTGCATCCTGAATGTAAATGTTATCCGATGTAATATCTGTCATTTTCATAAACCAAGCCATTGCGCTGTAAAATTGTAAAGCGAGAACTCTTGTGTGGCAAAGCTGTTTTCACTAGTATGCTTTCTGCTGCATTTCAGAGAACCCTAGAAAATTGACAGCACTGAAAGAGGCCTTTGCTGAAACTAGCTCACTCCTGTTGGAGCTATGTGCTCGAAACCCATTTATTTTCCCTCTTATATCTCTTTCATCTTTTTCCTCATATTTATCCAATCCCTTTTAAGTCCTGTTCCAGACATAACTTGGAACATCCATTTTTTTTCCTAACCTCTCTTTCTTATCCTGCAGACGTAGGAATGCTGTTTAAATTATATCAGCAATTATGTTTGGGTTTTTTGTATTGCCAGTAGTGTTTTGGGAGCAGCAGTTAAAGTCAAACTATGTCAGGAGCCAGCAGTTTGGAAGCATTTCTTGTCGATCTACATTTCATGCTGTGTGTGCAGTATACATTAGGGACTTAAAGCACAAACGATGGTGTACGCCAAACAACATAAAATATCTGTTTGAACGGTTTCAGGCATTTGGCTGCTAATGACAGATTATTTGATGATGGAAAAAGTTGGCCAGTTATGATGATTCTCGCTGAGCTCCTGAATTGATTAACTGGGTTGTGGGGAGAGCAGAGAGATAGGTCTGTAAGGAAGACCATAGCATGGAACCATATGGTTCAGCAGGAAGCTATTTGTCCCATTGTATTGGTGTCAGTGCTTATACCTTCAATGAAGCCTTGCATCCCGATTCCAATTTTGGATGCTCTTAAGCGTGGTGATGGGTATGTGTCAGACACCTGGCTGACCCCAAAAAATCAAATTCTGTGCTCTATCATCCTACCCTTTAATACTCTTCCTCCACATATGCTTCTCTAATTCCCTTTTTTTTAAAACAAACTGCTCTAATGAATTAGCAGAAACTCTTGGCTAATGGAAAAGGGCTCAGCGACGAGTTATCAGTAGTGCTGAGTTAGGCATAATACATAAATAATTGTGGATGTGATTTTGACAGCATGATGACTTAAGAAGTGATGGTGGCAAGATAAAATGGATTGTGTTATCATGAGTTTTACTGTATAAGGAAAGAAGGTGATGGAGGAAATTGGGGGAGGGTATTGTAAGAAAAAAATTAATCTGAATAAAAACAGAGTATCTTGAGAAAAATGAAAGCAGTGAAAATAAATTAAAATAAACATGGGAGGGGTGGAAATGACCAAGAAGAAAGAGAAATGTAGGTCGTGTCTCAGCAGCCAACAACAGCACATAACACTGGCAGATGGCTTTCTGTTCCAACAAATTCAAGCAGTGTGGGCTACAAGACAATAACTCCGTACAGATCTGTGAACTTTATTTACATCCTGTTTAGTAAAGTGTCTGACATTAAGTCGCTGCAGTGTAACGTGATGTCGCTGTTTGTGACCTTTCCCCAATTGTTTTTAAAGCAAAGGGTGATGGGCTGCTTTAGAGCCTGGGAGGACTGGACGGTTTATCCTGATGCCTTCCTCATTAAACTTCAAAATATATTTCTTGGCCTCGTGGACCTGGAGGAAGAAATCAAAGAGATCTCTAAATCCCAGGTAGTTCAAACTATGGTCAGTGAAACCTTTTTTGTACCTTTTCTTTGAATGTGTAATTTAACACAAAATATTGTATTTGTTCATGGGCCAGACTTTTATTTAAATTAATCAATAACACTTTTCAGTTCATTTTTAATTTTGCTGTGGCAGTGCCTAGCTCATATTGACTCTCCCCACTTTGTTATTCCCCAGGCTATCTATCTTGGATTGGTGGACGTTGAAGAGAACAAAGATGTTGTCTGTAAGCGACAGGTAAGAAACAGTGATCAGTGAAGGCTGTGCTTTGTAAATATAGACATTGGGTTACTTATTCTACAGAATCTTAAAATGGCTATTGGTAAATGTGCAGTGAAAAGTAGCTTGGGGGCAATCTTTTAGCTATTTTCATGAAGTGAAATGGTCATCAAATTGAAACATACATATCCAGATGAAGCATTTTTGGTGTGGATTTAAAAATGCACCTATGATTGGTGCATTTTAAAAGAAAACAAATATTTCAGTATGTTTGTAGATCACAGTGAGTGTCTTGGACTGTGACAGCACAATGCATCGATAAAGACCTTAAAATGCAATATACTTAAATGTGCAATGATTGTCTGGTGAAATAAGTGATCAAATTCTCAACTGATATTTAAGGATCGGTAAGTTACCATCCATGTCATAGTTACAGCAGCCTCTGAAACCAGCAAAAAGACGTACTATAATTATCAAGTGCAGTTGACAAGAAAAAAACATTATACCGAATGTGAAACTGCCAATGGTGAACTGATAACAATGCTAAATATACACGTCTTTCATTTCTCTATTTTTGCCCATTTTAACGTACTTTTATGGTTTAGATTCCTTTGCCATTTACAATTCATTAATATTCAGTATCATTAGTACTTTTGTTTTTCTTCATCCACTAATTACAATAATCTATCATTTTAATTTGCACGGAAATTGAAGTTTCAGAATGCATTGATGGGAATTGAGATGATTGAGTTTTTTACTTCTTAAAAAAAAGTTCTATACTTTGTAAATTTTACATGTGCAAAGCTGCATGAAGCGGTGTGATTGGATCAGTTAAGGTAATTTAAGAATGGTTAGGCTATTGGATTGATGAAATAGGCAGACAAGAAGCAGTGAAAATTAACAGTGTACGAGTAAACAATGCATGCACATCACGTTGCATTCAGTTACTCTGTGTTTATGCAATGGCATTTCATATTCTGAAATCGAGGCGTTTATGTGATTAAAAATGCAATTAATTGAAGCACTATTTGAAAATGCCCATGGGGTGATCAAATCACGTCACACTTGTTTCCTAAACATCAGCACCATCAATGTGTTTTAAATACGTTTTTAGAATGCTTTGAGACTTTCCCACGGGAAGTGTTATAAAATATTGGCAAACATTGTAAGTAACAACAATACTGCTATATTGCAAATTGTTGTTTTAATCATCCCAGGTGGTACACGTTGCATAAAGTAACCTACTGTGGAGGAAGTTTGCTAGCAAAATGTCACTGATTTCAATGATATTCAGAAATCATCCTTGTGGTTCATGCCTTGTTTAATTTGGATTTCAGCAACACAACTCATTTACAATGTTTGCCAATACTTTGTTAACATTTGCCTGGCTTTCAATAGGATGTAAAATCGTCAATTTGTTTTTCAAATGAGTTGAAACACAGTTAGAAAATGAAGGAACTGAAAAAGAGTGGTAGATTGTCCTGATCTATTTGTAGAATCTAATGTTTGACAAGTGATGTAGTTGTGGTAACCATGTGGATTGTATATTTGATAGCCAGAGCCTGAAGAACTGGATGGAACACCTGTTGAGGAAGAACTTGATGGAGCACCATTGGAGGATGTAGATGGAATCCCAATTGACGGAACTGTTTTAGAGGACCTTGATGGTATACCATTGAAGGTGCTAGATGATGACCTTGATGGTGTTCCAAGTAAGTGATTGTTTTATTTTTGAGATTTTTTAAATTTGGAAACCAAGGCCCATAATGCAAGAGGGAATTGAGAGGCATAGATAAATCAAGAGGTAGCAATTAGAAGTTTGCAAACTTGGGACTCCAATGTCTAGATTGCAGGAAGAAGGAAAGACGGAGGAAAGATTTGCACAGTCGAGATGTCCTGCAAAAGAATTAGCTTGGAGTAAAAAATAATAATAATAATCCTTGCATTTGATATGGTGCCTCATAACGTCGTTGAGATGTCTGAAAGTGCTTCACAGAATACTATAAAGTGAATTGACTATGTTTCTGGGCAAAACGTGGCAGCCAATTGCACACAGCAGTGTCTCACAAATAGTCATGGATTGAGTGACCAAATTATTCCACAACTCTGAACTACCTAATATATGCAAAATACTGCAGATGCTGGAAATCTGAGACAAAAACAGAAGTCGCTGGGAATACTCAGCAGGTCAGGCAGCATCTATGGAGAAAGGAAAGTGAATCAACGTTTTGGGTCCACGACTCTTTGTCAGAACGGTTGATGTTCTGACGAAGGGTCGTGGACTAGAAACGTTGACTCAGTTTCCTTTGTCCATAGATGCTGCGTTGACCTGCTGAGTCTTCCCAGCGACTTCTGTTTTGGTACCTAATATATATTTTATATTCAGTAATACCTTGGCTTTTTAAAGTTGTGGTTTGGTTTACAACTCTGGAGTGGCAGGATATGGATTTGAACTGCAGTTCCACTCAGCAGCAAGTTTGGGAACTTGGTCATGTCACAGATATTGCTACTCCAATAATATGTAAAATCCATTGGGTTGTTTAAAGGAGGCGATAGATACTTGGGAAATACGGATATCAAAGAATAACGAGAAAAGGAAAAAAGGATTAAAATGGGCAATGATCCAATTTCTACTCTTTTTATGGGTCTAAAGAGTGAAGTAGGAAGGAAAACTTAAATGACTTTGACAGTAAAGACAGAATCTGCTCACATGACAGACTGAGCAACAGCCAAGATGCTATCATGCAGTCTTCAGTATTTTATTGCTTCATTTTCTCAATCCATTGTGCCTTTTTATAGCTCCGTTCCCATTTCTGATTAAAAGACCTGACTATAATCCTACGTTTTTGGCTAATTGTTTTTTTTATTAACTGTCTTTATTTTTTCATCAGTCGATGGCCTTGAAGAGTCCAAGAAGTTTCAGTCGGTGTTTAAAGTTGCTCCTTCAAAATGGGAAGCTGTAGATGAAGCACAATTAGAATCTCAAGGTATGTTGTAAAATAATTGTTTAACATGCTCGCAGCAATGCACGCAAAATGGAAATGTCTGATTTATACCAAGCTTTTACGAGATTTAACTTTACTAACAACTCTAACGCTTTTGAGAAAGCACCTTTTTGTTACTGATTAAACTAGCAGCAAGCATATTAGCAATTATTGCCTTCATTAACGCTGTGTGCTATTCTTATAGCTGTAACGACGTCAAAATGGGAGCTTTTTGATCAGCCTACCGAATCGGAAGAGGAGGAACAGCAAACGTATGTTGATGATTTGACACTTCGTAGTGGCAGATGCGCAACAGGGAACAGTGGAAAAACAGCTTATTGCACTGGAGACAAAACCCTAAGGGCTGAGAAGGAATGAACTCGCAATGAGTTCTGATCATTCTTGTGAGTGGAATGAGCTTGGTTTTCCCTGTTCTCCATTGTGTATTCTCTTCTTGCAGTGGCTGTGAGGGTGTTTTTTTTTAATTTTCCTTTAAATATGCAGTATTGCAGGGATGAAAAGTGTTTAATGCACTATTAAATGATTTGAACATAAAGCATAGAATGGGGCCTCTTCTTCACCACCACCCTAGCCGCCAGCACCTCCAAATCAATCAAACAAGAAGTCTATAATCGTAGATTTTGAAGTGAATATTGGGGTCCACACCCCAGTCGTGGTATAAGTAAGCCTGTGTTATAACAAAGCACTTTATAAAGGGGTTCTACAGTATTTGGTGGATAGAAAACCATGTCTTCTTTATATGAGACACACTATTATGAGTTATTTTGTAATACAGTTGGGAAGTTTTTTCTTGAATGTTATAAGGATCCAAGATTGTGTGTGTGTGGTGATTGACAGAGATGTTCAGCTGAAGGAAAGCGATGAAGATGATGATGACGATAACTCTAGGTCAGAGGAACAATATTATTTTTCCAACCCAATGAAAGAGGAGCCAATGGAAAGCAGGCCATTGAAGTACTCTGAAATGTCTGAAGAAAAGCGTGCAAAACTTCGAGAAATTGAGGTGAGATTCCCTATGTTGTATTGCTCAGAAAGTTTAGGTTAAGATTATTCCTAACTAGTGCCGAATCATAGCTTCACAAGCAATTATAAAAATATTGGATACTGCGAATTTTGTGATGTGTGTAGAGATGCCTGAAGTGTTTTTGTTAGCAAATCAGCTGTTTCTGATGTTTGTAGTTGACCGTTACACTTAACCTGTTTATTTTTCTCTTACCTCCTCTGTGTTCAAGATACCAAGCAAATGCTGCATTATAGTTACACGGATAGCAGTCCTCTGGTACCTTTCCCAGTGGTCATTCATACAATAATAATTGTTGAATTTGATATAGCATCTTATCGCATCTTTGCGACGTCTCAAATGCTTCACAGGTGCTTTATACTGTAAAGTAAATTGACTGAATATTTTGTGGGAGAATTTAGTGCCTGAGCTTCAGTAAAATCCTGAAAATTCATCGCTCCAAGGGGAAAGGGCTCAGTGGCGAGTTAGGCATTATGTATAAATACATAAATAAATGTGGTCGGGATATTGACAGCATGATGACTTTAGTGGTAGCAACCAGTTAAGCCAGAGTTATCAGTTCACTGTTTGTCATGAGGCACCTCAACTGAGCAGAGGGTTTACATGGTATTAATGCGGATTTGCTGGGCATGCCTTTGCTATTTTCCTGGACTTTATAAACAAAAATGTAACATTAGAATTAAATTGACTTGTGCATTCCTGCCCCCAAAAGGTCATTATACTTTTGATTTAAATAACATTTCAGTACCACAAGGTGATGTTGTTTCTTCTGCTCAAATTCCTTTAAATTTTCAGACCTTGGTTCACTGAGGTCTGTCAGCAACATTGGTTTCAGACAACAGCCCTTTGGTCTCCAGTGGTTGTCAGTTCTCAGTTTCAAGAGCTGCCAATCCTAATGATTGGTTATTAAAAACTCTTGTACTAAGCGCAGGGGAGGGATGAAGCATAATTTCTTCGTCGGTGTAGAAGAGACAGGGAGGCACACTCTCCGTATATAATAGAAATAAAATAAATCTGGAATGGCTTAATAGATTTCCAACAAATGACTCGGGTCTACCTCTCAGTTGATAGGTTTCTGTTTGAAGAGGCTTTTTCAACATAAAGAAACAAAAATGGTGTTTGGATTTTATGAAATTAGCTTGTTGGTGGTGTGTGGCTCCTTTTAATTACAAATTTATTTCACTTGTTTTTCAGTTGAAAGTAATGAAGTTCCAGGATGAGATAGAATCGGGAAAAAGGCCTAAAAAGGCTGGTCAGAATATTCAGGACCAAGTGGAACATTACAGAGACAAACTGCTTCAAAGAGTGAGTACCGTACACATATCATTCTGATTTGCTTGTGCCACGGTTTCTTAATGAACCATAATGTACCTTCTGAAACTCTGCCTCAAACCCTCTGCTTAGTCCGCTCGTTGACTGTCTTTAAATCACACCTGAAGACCTTTCTACCATCATCTCCCCTCTCCCTGTTTCGGCATCGCCACCACTGTTAAGCATTCAAATGCTACCCCACATGAAGGGCACTATATAAATGCAAATTGTTGTTGTAATTGATGGTGCTCATATATCCCATCTTCTTTTTCTCTGGGGTGGGTGGGAGAGAAACTCCTGAATGTCCCAATCTTAGCCCTCTTGTGTTGGGAGGGAGAACTGCTGGCTGAAGAGATATATTGGTGGAGGCACTGTGCTGGCCTCTTCACACCCTCAACCTGTGTGCTGATTTTCCTCGCATGAGTAGACAGAAAGCTTTCTGTGTTTAGATTTCTGTCTCCCCATTCGCCAGTCTAAATACGTCTCCCCAGAACACGGTTCATTCAAGAAAGTGCTTGATGTTGTAATGGGGAGCTATTAGGTTAGGTATTCTGGGAAGATCAGATCAAAGGCCTTCTTCATCCGTATCTCTTTCTTAACTACTGTAACCAGCACTCATAGTAGTACAAACAAATGATTGACTCTGCAACAAGATATGACCTGCTTAAAGTGAATAAAAATGTGACAAATTGTAAGTTAACAAAAATGAAATGAGGTAATCCCAGTTGATACAACAGCATTTATTTAGCGCCCCTCATGTAAGGTAGCATCCCGGAGTGCTTGATAGTGGCGGAGCATGACGCCGAGCCGGAGGGAGGGGGGAGATGGTACGATCGAATATAAAGGTCTTTGGGTGCGATTTCGGGAGTAGTGGCTGAAAGCACAGCCACCGATGGTGCAACAGAGGGCACAAGAAGTGGGTTGGGGAGTAAGTAGGTCGGAGAGGTAGGGAGGTGTCAGGGCATGAAGGGATTTGAAAACTTGAACTCAATCAGTTTGATGGTCATTACTTTGGGTTAAGGGTCCAGACAGTGGGGGCAATTTGTTTTGATGCCTCTACTCTAGAGAGGGAAAAATGCAGCCAGCGAATTCAGCACCAGGAAAGTGTCAAGCTGGCTGAGATCCTTCCTCTATTTTAAATTTTTAAAATATTTTTGCTTGCATCATTTTGTTAACTGAATGCTTATTATACCTGCATTGTGTGACCTTAGCTGTGTTTTTGTTATGTTTAGGAGAAGGAGAAGGAAATGGAAAGAGAGAGGGAACGAGACAAAAAGGACAAGGATATAATCAAATCAGAGGCACGTGTAAAAGATAGGAAAGAACGGGAGAGTTCTTCATCCCCTTCAAACAAAGAAAGGTACAGTTTTAGTCTGATTGACACTTTATGAAAAGTTTGAGTAAATTGTGTATTTTGTGCATAAAAATGCAGTAAAGTGTAGATCTGTATTTTCGTATGTTAAGGATACCACAAGGGTCAGGTGTGTTAAATAACTTCACCTTTCACCGCACTTTGCTTTGTCTATCGTTTGCTTTGCGCATATATATGAAAGCCAATCTGTTTTTGAAAGAGAATGACTTAGTCAGTTATATATTAATAATAATAATCCTTGCATTTGATATATTTAGAAACACCAGAGTATAGGAAAAAAAAGTGTTTGCTGCCTCATAAGATGGTGAATTCTGTACTTTGTTAGGACTTTAAGTATTAGGACTGATTGTGTTAATTAATCTGTTGCTGATTTGACAGGAAGCGGAAACACAGTACATCTGTCAGTCCGACTCGCATCAGCCGGCGTGTCAAATCTCCATCCCCAAGGTCAGAGCGCTCCGACAGATCACGTACCAAAGACAGTCCCCACTCCCGATCACATAAAGAAACCCCGAAAGATATAAGTAAAAAATCCAAAAGGTATGTTGTATGTGGAGCCCATGTGTTAATTTACTGGGTTTGGTATATTTATATTTCGCCCACGAAATGCAAGTTGTTCTACAAAGCACTTTGAGAAGCACAAAGCATGTCTCAAAGCGCTTTGCAGGATTCACTGTCAAGCGGTGTGACTCTGTATTTCTTGGGGAAACGCCACATCGAATTTGTACACTGCAATGTCCTACCAACATCCATGGAGAGAATGTCCAATTTTATTTTGGGATATTGGGGCCGAGAAACTGCCTTCTCTTTTCGAATAGTGCCAGTGGACCTTTAACATCCCCCTGAACAGGCAGATGGGTTAGACTACATTTGCAATACTGTGCAATTCTGGTCACTATTATAGGAAGGATATTGTAGCATTGCAGAGTGCAGTGTAGATTTACAAGGGTATTACTAGGGATGAGCTTTCAAGAAAAATTGGATAGGTTGGAGCTTTCCTCTTTTGAGATGAGGTGATTAAGAGGGACCTGATAGAAGTATTTAAGATCATGAAAGGATTCATTAAGGTGGAAGTCAATCAGCTGTTTTACACTTGCAGCTGTGTCCAAAATGAAGTGGCATAAATATAAGATGGCTAGTAGCAGATCTAAAAGTAAATTTATGAATAATATTGCTTGCATTTGTTATAGTGCCTCATTGCTTCATGGAATATACTGTAAAGTGAATTGACTGTATGTTTTGTGGGTGAAAAGCAGCCAATTGTGCGCAGCAGTATTCCACAAACAGCCATGAAGTGAATGACCAATTTTATTGAGTTCAGGAGGAACTTCTTTGCTGTAAGCGGTAATTGAAGCAAAAAGAATCAAGATTTCTAAGAGGAAACTTGATGCATGCATGAAGGAGAGGGGAATAGAGATGTTAGGAGACGCAGAAGCTCGTGTGGAGCATATACACTGACATAGGCTATGTGGGTTGAATGGCCCGTTTCTGTGCCTATCATTATCTGTCATTTTATGTTATATTCTGTTTTTTGTTAAATCAGTGGCGTTAAGACTGAGAAGTAGATACTTTCCTACTTGAGTACCTCATATCAGTATCAAGCGCACAAGTGAAATGTAGCATAGTGGGATGCGAAAGAAGCTCCATCTCCTCTACACAAACCTCAGATAGAGCACTCTGTGGTGAATTAATGTGACATTTTCTATTTACAACACCAGACATTTGGTTGTTATTCCAGATTGATTGCCAATCTAGAGGCAGTTTTATATTGTTGGCCGATGCACACTTGGATGTGGTTTGTGGCTGCTGATTTAATGTAGCAGGTTTCATGTTTCACTCATTTCAGGGTCCTGCAGGTGACAGGAAGAACATCTGCTAACCTTACTTTCTGTAAAGATCAGCAGTCAACTGCTATGTGGCTTTATCCTCCTTTTGACTAATTTGCAGGCTCAGAACAATGCTAAATAGGGTATTAGCCCGGTTCAATTCGTGGCACTCTTCTCGCTGAGTCAGAATGTTGAGAGTTTGAACTCACAGTTTAGGCTAACAATTCAATGCAGTGCCGCATTGCTGGAGATGCCTTCAAATGAGGCGTAAAACACGTCTCATTTAGGTGGGTGTTAAAGATCCGACAGCACTATTTGAAAAGAGAAAGGACTTTCTCCTCGTGTCCTGGCCAAGATAAAATTTGTCATTTTTGCTTCATGGCTATTTGTGGAACATCGTTATAGCCACTGGGGGCAGGGAGTCATCCCATGCAAATCCTGCAAACCAAAGTCCTAAAGGGTAGGGTGGTCCTAGCTGGACAAGCAGCAGGAAACCTTGCTAGACAGTACCAGAAGTTATGTGATTTTAGCTGGTTAGACTCCAGCAGTATCCCAACCCACACGCTGGGGTCCCCAAGGCTTGGCTCTTGTCAACATGTGCCTAATACTTTCTGTAATTAGGTAAGCAGGACGCGTCCCTCAAGGAGAAAGTGCATTCAAACAATCTATCTCTAGGAGTTTCCATGTATAGGTGGGATGCTTGGAATTCTCAGTTTGGTTTGGGTACTCTTAAGCACAGTGACGGGTTTCCCCATGTGTCAGACACCCAGCTGACCCCAAAAATATTATATGCAAATTGACTGATGTGTTTGTCCACAAAATGCAGAATCTACTGCGTGCTTTGAGATATCCTTTCCTGACGTGAAAGTTGCAATATTAAGTGCAGTTATTATTAAATATTTGAGCATGATAAAACTGAAACATTCATATATTGAAGTCTTTTTTTGCACTCAACTGTACGTGAACCCAAATTTACAATGGAAGAAAACCCATTAAATGCCCCAAATATAACCTCAGCCTTGCAAGGTATAATTACAGTGACTGTAATTGGTTCTTGCAGTGTGCGATCTGACCTGTAGAAAGATGTGCATGTTTGTTTAATCGAGGAGATACGTGGCTCAATCATCACTGTTCCAGCATTGCCAAACTGTGCAATAGAAATTCGTTTCAGAAAGCAATTTACTGGCCTGAGCAGTGGCAGACCCATGCACCATCCACTCTCGGGTTTGCTTGTTACATTCTCCGGACATTACGCTGAAGTATTTTCCTTATGCTGTCACTTTGAATCAGTAATACTAGATGTACATGGAAAACTAATCCAAAATGTGTGATCCGATCTTTTCTGACATGGTCTAAGTGTATGCTATTGAGCCGCGCGCAGTAATTATTGATGAACAAAATGTCAGTTGAAATCCTGCAAGTTTTCCACTATTCTAACTATTTTAAATATGTTCATTATAAGATGGGCTGATCTTATTGACATGAGGCATTGTCTTAAATGGGTTTCATTTGTGACAGTGGATAGCTTCAATAATAATATTAATAATAATTCTTGCATTTGATATAGCACCTTATGTCATTGAGACATCTCAAAGCGCTTCACAGAATATTGTAAAGTGGATTGACTGTATTTTGTGGAGGAAATGCAGCAGCCAGTTGTGTACAGCAGTGTCGTGGATTGAGTGACAATTATGTTGGGGGAGAGGGATATCCCTGGAAAATTATTATATTATTTAAGATATCCAGTTTCTGTTTTTCTGAACCTGGTACATAAATTGGATTACCCGATTTAGCGCAACATTGTTGGGATATTGTCTCAAGATAATGCCACTTTTATATTCATTAGTTAATTATAGGTCATTATTTTTAGCGCAGGTTCTTTGGTTGAAGCTAAGTGATCTATGTGAATAATTTTGAATAGTTGCTGATTTTTACTATGTTCCTATTGCAGATCGCGGTCTGGCTCACGGACGCCTAAAAGGTCGAAACGGTCACGTTCGAAGACGCCCAGGAAATCGTCTAAAAAGTCTAGATCCCAATCCAGATCTCCACACCGATCGCACAAGAAATCCAAGAAAAGCAAACACTAGTGAACTGTCCACAACCTTTTCTGTCATTTTTAGTTTTGTCCTGTGCCTGAAACAAACTGTTAAGGAATCTTATTCCTGACTTTTTTTTTGAATGCACATATATTCATTATGAATATTCAACTCCAGTAAATCTGTGTGCTTTTTTTTGTATATGAATGAATTTGACGACTTTAGTGCTATGGCTCCCTAGACTTGTCGTATAGATTGTGTAAAAAAAACAGATCCTTTTTATGTTAGACTTCTCATCAGAAACCTCCGTGTCTCCACCAGCAGTAGTCGTGTCGTATTTGAATAGGTGTATGAGGAAGCCTGAAGCAGAAATGTTTTCCTTTTGTAATTTTTAACATTTCAATGAGAGTTGAATAAAAATCAGCACAGAAAATTATATAATTTCTTCTTTTGTAATAAAGCAAATGCCATAATGTTTGAACCATTGAACCATTAATACAGTATTTGAAGAAAATGTAGCCTAATACCGTATGGATTTGTTCACCCAGCGGTCTTGACACTTGACTTGGAGTCTATATCTTTCATTTGTCACGCAGGCTGCATTTTAAAACCGTTCATGCAAACTTCTAATTCTCTGTGGTTTTAGCAGCTTATGACAAACTGTTTGTCACAAAAGCTGCAGCTTGGCTATAATTTCAGCCAGCCTGCTTAATCTGTTTGATGTGGAATTCAATATGCAAAACTGATAGTATTTGGAATATGAATTAGAACTCCCAACATCATATGAAAGACCCTGTCTTTGTTGTAAGTGCTATTGTAGATCTCACCACTTTTCCATCCTCCAGGACCTTCTAAAACAAAAAAAAATGACCTTTGGTTAGGACGTTGAGATAGTTGAGCCTACAAACCTCCAAATGCAGTCAGTCGTGCTTCTTGTTCAGCTCGAGTGAAACTCTTGTGTTGGAGCAATATGAGGAGGGAATCCTACCAACCATTTTCCTCAGCTGTTTTCAGAAGACTCTTGGCTAAGAAAAAAAAGATCCTTTATTTTTTAGTTCTGCGTTTTCTTGTCAATAAATTGCAATGTAAACTGTTCCAGTTCCATTGCTGTTTTTGTTTTTGAAATTCACAGAGTTAAACCCGCAGTGCAAGGTGAAGATTACTTTTTGAGTACAATACGAACATCATTCTTTCAAAATCGGACATTAGATGGGGCGGCCCAGCCTCTCGGATCTCTATTCCAAGCTTGGTTGATTTCTGGCAAGGATTTTTCATGTGTTACAGCGTTACACACAGACTGGTTAAGCTCTCAGGGTTCAGGTAAACAACTGCAGAGCAAGTTAAAATATTGGAAAGTGCAGATAGATCAAATACAAAGCAATGATAAAATGTACACTTCTCCCACATTACCCTAATGATTTCCACTACCCTTTGCCATTTAATCTTATCTACAAGGTGATCTTCAAATGAGAAATTTGTACGGTGTTATACATAAATCTGACAGTAAGTTATCACCACATAGTTCTTGGTGTTGGAAAGAAAATGTATTATCTTGATCTCCACGTCTATTTTGATTGTAGTTTTGTCCTACAAAACCAAGTTTACTTACTAATGTAAATGGCAGTCTTTTAATATAAATAGTCCTAGCTTTATTTGTACCTCGATTCCAGTTGAAAATGCTCCAATACGCTACAGGTTGTGAAGAGTACTCTTATGTTAATGCAAGTCATTGAGAGAAAACAGGCAAGCAATCTGTTTCCTCACTTCTAAATATAATAATAATTTGGTCACTCAATCCATGACTGTTTGTGGGACAACATTGTGCGCAATTTACCCACATAATATACAGTCATTTCACTTCAGTCTATTCTGTGAGACACTTTGAGAAGTCTTGAAGACGTGATAAGGCGCTATAATCAAATACAAGGCTAATTGTTATTACTCTCAATGCAATTCTCCAGTCAACCACCAGGAGATTCATAAGTAGAATAATAATAATGCTTGTATGACCTGGGATGACATTTTGCATTGTCATTTGCTTGTTCTTCACACCTCTCTGATGGCACAGCTATCTGTTATCCATATGGGCACTGAGATATGCCCAACTATTCTGAGGCACTGCCTGCAGCAAGATCCATAACTTTTTTTCACCTGAAGTTGAGGTCGTCCAACTTGTGAAAGCTGAATTCACTTGTACATTTTAGTAATTTTTGGGTATAGATATATTTTTTTAAGGATGTAATGCATTAAGCTAANTTTTTTGACTAGTTGTCTATAGGTAAAGTGTGTTGTGCCAGTATGAAAGCAATCTGAGGAATTACAGTATGCTGGGGAATGATAGTATAATTTTGTTACACATGGTTTCTGTCCTGGAGAATGTTTAACAGCCTGGCTCAGTTGGTGGCACTTTTGCCTCTGAGTCAGAAGGATGTGGGTTCAAGTTATACGTTAGGGCTTGGAACTCATAGCGTAGGCTGACACTCCAGTGTAGTGCTGGGATGTGCTGCGTTCGAGATATTAAACTGAGATCTCATCTGCCTGTTGAGGTGGACGTTAAAAATTCAATGGCACTATTTGAAAAGAGAAGGGAATTTCTCCCATTGTCCTGGACAAGGATCACACCCCCCCCTAAAATAAAAATTGGTCACTCATTCCATGGATGTTTGTGGGACACTGTTGTGTGCAAATCGGCCTCTGCATTCACAAAACAGGCACAGCATATCCTATGAAATGTCCTCCCAATGTGAAAGGCGTGAATGCATTTAATATCATTAATGAGACATCAATGCAAGCTGTACATAGAACACAGAAATGAGAATATTATCCTGCAAATTCAAATTGGAAGTGTGTGTGTGTAAGGTATATCAATCAGCAATTGGATATGGTGGAACCAGGTGAATATGTGGAATGGACCCCTACATGTGATTGGCAGGTTTTGTTGATGATTTCAGGATAACTAGTTGGTGAAGAAATTGATGTCCGATGCACTTGGGTGTGTTTTTTTTATTAGGAATAGACTGAAGGCCTTTTACAGCCTTGTAGTCCTGTGTTCCTAAGGATGTTATTGTTGAGGCCAGTAGGTGGCAGAATTCACTCTGAATGAAAGTCAAATTTACCCTTAAATGCACCTTTCCATTTATTAGGATAATTTATTAGCAGTTTAGTGGTATGGACACAATCCCTAATGGAGCTGACAGTGGAATCAGTGTCAACATTGAATAGTTCCACTCATATTAATGATGTACAAGCCCTGTTATTTACCCTATGATTTGTTCAAAAATATTCACGGTTCTGCATTAATTAGGACTGGCTCCAAAACAGCTAGTGTGGATGGTTGGACACAAAATTCAAATGGTGCTAACTAAAATGTTGTTCCATTAGAAGTTGTACTGTCATTGTAATATTCTATGCTCGTGCCCTCTCATTCTCCCCCTTTGTTTCTGAGTCTCTAACTTTTTCTGACTCGTCACCACACACTGTATAAAAGTAATGTGCTGTTTAACCTTGTGAGACTGACCTTGATGTTACCGGGGGAGGGGGAAATATAGTGTTCTGCGCATATGTGAAGTTGCATACAGTTGCCAACAACTCTGCTCAGAGCAACTGTATTATGTCCTTAATAACTGAGTGTGCATGTGTGCAACTTAATACGTGCACAAGGCAGGGTTTTTTTTTGCCAGCAATGCTTCTGCTTGGTGTGCAGGTAAACCAGGTTCTATAATAATGTACACATATTCACCAGGTTCCACCATATCTATTTGCTGATATATATACCTTATAAACACACTTCCAATTTGATACTTGCAGGATAATATTTTATAATAATAAACTTGCATTTGATAGAGCCTTATATCTGAAGGATATCTCAAAATGCTTCACAAGATTTACTGTGAAATGGAGTGGCAGTGTATTTGGAGGCAAAAGAGTCAGCACAATTGTGCACAGCAATGTCCCAGAAATGGATATGAAAGGAATAACCCATTTCATCTGGGGGACTGTTGGCCAGGCCACCGGGAATACTCCCGTCTCTTTTTGACATATGATCTTGATCATCCACTTGATCAGGCAGACGTGACCTTGGCTTAAAGTCTCAATCAATGCTTGATTCCCTCTCTTTCGCATCTCTCCCGATTCCATTTCCAGGTAAGAATAATACATTAAATACAGTACTACTGTGGCCTTCAGAAAGAATGGTAAGAATTAAAAAGAAAACATGGTGTTGAACCAGCAGGCTAGGGAGGTGCATAGAGAAAACTAGGTTGTGACTAAAGGGTTTGGTATGGAGAGTTTGGAGGGGTTATCTGAGGCTGTTAAATCCATTATTCATTACTTAATTCAGTAAACATCATTCCTTCTGTGATGTATCCCTCCGGCTTACCGCTTCCCCCATTTTCAGGTTATGCTTGAAGATTTTCCTTTTCGACCGTGCCTATAGTCACCTCTTGGCTTGGCATTGTGCTCTACCACGGTCAAGCCCTCTGGGGTGCTACCCTGTGTGAGGGGCACTATATAAATGCAAGTTTTATATCATAACTGAATAGCTCTAGTAGAGTATTGAAAATCATTGGTTATTAAAAACTTTCTGTACAATATTACCTGATGTTTCAAGTACCAATGCTTTAGACTGATGTAAAATCTCTGGTACACTATTAACTTATTCTATTTCCTTTTTATAGGTGAACCATCTTGAGCCATCCATCTAGCATACAGAGGATAATGCACTGCATTAAAACTCGTGTATATATTTTCTACAAAAGCAAGCACCAGCATCAATAAAGAGTTGCTTGAGACCTCAGTATGTGGAGTTTTCATTGGTTGATGGCATACAGAGAGAGGCCAGTGCTGAGTTGTAGGCATCATAGAACTGAGAATCCAAGAGCCCTAGGACATTGGGCCAAAGTCCAAAGTGAGAGTCTGAGCATCAGAAAGAAACGTGTAAATGTATGATTAAGGTGCATGGTACAATGATGATACAAAACATGCTACACCAAAGATTACCCCAATGCTGCCCACTGTGGTAACCAATATTGTGACCCAGAAACTAAGCAGTACAAAGGTATTGCTCAAGTTTCCTTTTCCAGTAAGTAAAAATCAGGGTTTCTGTTACACAGTTCCGGGCAGTATAAGCTTAGCATTATCAGTAGAAACTGATACTCTAGACAGAACGCTGGTGACGGAAAGATTCAAGCTGTGATAATTTGGTAAATTGGAATGTCAGTATGAAGAGGCAGTCGAGGTAAACTATCCCAACTGTGTGACCGACCCATTGTGCTCAGCATTGTTCAATCTTCTAATGAGATGGAGCAATGTTTTCACAATAGGAAGTGAGACGAATTGTGCCGCCTTCTGGGGAAAATTTGATCTCAGTACATGATCTCTTTAAACTATTATATTCTTGACTTTCCATTATTTTTAAGTACACATAGTTAAATA